ACTTTTTATTATTATAATTTATATGAAAAAGGCTAAACATGACTGAATGGAAGCATAAGAGTAAATAAATATTTCGGATCATTATTATAATTTATATAAAAATTGCTATACATAACTGAATGGATGCCTGCATCGTTATTTCGCTACCGACTTAATCGCTAAAGCATGATTTCATTTCGTTGGTTGTTCAAACGTAATTTTCTATAATGAATGATGCCTTTTCTTTGAAAATATTCTCGAGCGATTCTATATAATACTTATTTGTTTGCCGTTTTTTACAAGGGTAATTTTTGTCAATTTTCTTTTACTTTTTAAGTGAAAATAGGTCGATGTGTACATAGATAAAGTCAAAGGTGGGCGCAGTGCCATTTTTGTGCAATTCTGGTATTTCTTTTAAAGTGAAAATAGGTCGATTTGCACATGGATATCGAGTATGTGCAATTCTTATAAAACGCTTCAAACAGTGGGTGATTCTGCACTTTACCCAAAATTCTATTGCCGACTTTTCGCCATGGGCAATTCCCAAATTGTTAAATCCTTAGGATATTAAAAAAGGATTTAAAATCAAAAAAGGATTTAAAAATTAACCTAGTATTTCAATGGCGTCTGAAGAAATATATATAAACTTATGCAATCTGAAATCAGCGCGTACGCTAGATTTGGCGTGCTGTTAAATGGGCGCGTTTGCTAGATTTGGCGCTTTTGCGCATACATTTTCGCTGCAATTTTTTACGGTCCTCAAAACGGAATAGTACCGAAATATTTTTTATGATTAAATATTGTAAATGGTAAAAATATTAAGAAGTGTGTATTTTTTAATCCCCCAATTTATTACAAGTAATTTATGATTGTAATTTAAAAGCTAAAATTAAATTATCATAATGAGTAAATTTTGTACCAATGGTAATAATAACACAATCATCGTAAATGATGATTTCTGTGAAAAATTCGAACATTCATTGGAATCCACTAGTGGGTGGAGTGATAGCCACTGAAACAGTGGTAGTTCAGGCTGGCTATATGGGAGTTTTAGTAGTTTTTCCGTAGATGTATGTAATGTGAATCTGAGCCAGTTTCTCTTAAAAAATACTTTATGAAGGTATCCTTCTTCTGCCAGCCAGCATATGTATTTATTTTCTATTCATAATTCTCTCTTATTTTCTTATTTCTTAATTCTAAATCTTACTTCTGAAGAGAAGAAGTGTTGCATCTATAGGTTGAAAAATATGGTCAATATGTTTGCAAAATCCTGTCAGTTTTGGAAAGCATTTAAATAAACTAAATAATTTGTATGTGATGCAAACAAAAATGCATTATACTATTTCATGTACTGAATAATTAATCAGGGAACAAAGTATATTGTAACGTTCCTTTATTTTGTAACCAGAGTTATTTTATGCTTGGGATCTTTACTGTCAATTTCGTCCATCCATTTTCTCACCAGAATCCAAATGACGTTTTTATTTTGTAAAACAACTGTTTGTTTGCCTTTTGAGGCCACATTAATAGGTTGCTAAATAAGAAAAGATTTGTAGTCTTCAGCCTTGCATTATAATTGCTGATAGTTGAATTCCATGCCAGTTAAGTTTTTAACCAACTTTGCATTAAATTGATTTGTGCAGCCTTTGGGCTACAAATTTATTTGAATTTAAATTTTACATTTGAACTTAATTGTTATCATAAGTTATCTTGCCACAAGTGGTTGACTGAGTCGTAAGCACAAAGTGTGCCTTCTGTTCTGTACATCTAAACTTTCTGTACATCTTACTTTTATTCTATTATAAGTATATCTTAACTTAATAAGAATATATCTAACTTTATGATAATAACATTTAAAGACTTTGAAATCAGTATCTAAGTGCTTGCCATGTAGTCAAATCTTTATATATAAATTGTACTCTTACTTTTATTATAGAGTTTTTATTACAAAAAATTCAGATTTTTGTTAGATAAAATGTTTAAGTAATGTAGAAAATTTGCATAAAATTTAAAATAAAAAGTCGACTGTTTTGTCAACATACTATTAATAAAAGTAATAATACTCAGTGAAGGTTATTCGTATACAGCTGTTAGGTTGTAAGATTAACAAAATTTGAGAACTCTAAATTATAAGCAATATATTCCATAATCTAAGCAACATTATATTTTTTATAGTCAGACAAATTATGAAAATGTTATCAAAGCAATAATTAAACCTGATTTTGGTCCTGATTTGAACCTATGAATTCATGCAATTACACATCCCTATAGTTCTGATATGAGGTAAATAAGTATTTTTTAGACCATGGTAATTTTGATCTCCTTAGCACAGGAAACACCAAGAGTTTACCTCATGCTACTGAAAATGTGTGTTTTTTTCCGTTGGGGGGGGGGTGGAGTTTATAATAATATGCAGAGTTGACATATGAAAAAATGTCAAGACTCGTGTGATGTAATATTAAAAGCACCAGTTTTAACTATCAAAAATTTGGCTTTTTAAAAAATATTTTAAATGTTGTGCTTTCCTAACACAAAAGTAACTTTAAGAATAATGCACAATTTATCCCTTCTGCCATCAAAGCTCTGATACCTATTAAATTCGTTAAGTTACGTGGACAGAAATGGCGGCATTTTTGAAGCTCAGTATTTAGGGTTACCAAGATTATCATAATTTTTCATTTATCACTCCAAAATGTCGCCAAACAAATTTCTCGCCAAAAAGGACTAATACTAAAGCCGTGCCATTCATATTTTGATATTAGATAAATACAGAAATTGCTTACAAAGAAAATTAAATTACTTTTTTTCGTTTAAAAGTCTTAGAAACTTTTCTGTTTTGCTATCACCGCTTTAATTATTTTGCTTTTAGGTTTTAATTCTCACTTTTTTTTTCCTTTTATCAAGAAAAAAAGAAACTAAGTTTTTTTTTAAAGGTCCAGTATATGAATATCAGGTGAGATCTCAAAACTCCCCCAGACCCAGAGAGTTTTTGTAAATATAGAGTACCTCTCTTGATAAGAGTAGAATGACCCTACTAAAAAATTGCATTCCATATATCGATTTATGTGACCCAAATTGCTTAATTAAAGCATTCAGAAATTTATTGAAACTGCTGCACCCCCACTTCCAACTTCTGATTCTAATACTTAGGATAATGCATAGGGTTCTATGCTGCAGTAAACATAAATTTGCTTTGCTTGCTTACTTTAAAAAGCATTATGTCGCTACATACATGTTTCTCCGAATTTATCATAATCTAAGCAAAAAATGTATAAAAAGCCTGTTTCTTTATCTGCTAATCTTTAACGCTGAGTAAAATTGCCACCCTGCAAAGCTAGATTATTTATCTTGTTGTTGACTCTTTCTTTTATAAGTGCTACAGCAAGTATGGAATATTGGTGGTACACTTTGTTCTTGTTTTACATAGCTTAATTTAAACTACAGTTAATAAAGTTTAAGTATTGCATGACCTTCAAAGTATTTATAGTTAAAATAAATTTTGATAATTTTTCATAATTGTAAATAATTTAATTTGGGGGGAGATATTTTAAATAAAATAAGTTTATGGAATCTAAAAATAAAAATAAATAGTAAATAAAGTAAAATCAATAATTTTTTTACTTGCATATTTTTGTTTGTTTCCATATTAATTTAAATTTACTAATGTTGGTTTGATTGTTTAGCCAGTTATGTAATTATATTCTTAGAAGTACATTCTTTTACACTATTTTGAATTTTGTAGAGTCTTAGATGTTTTTGTAACATACACTAAGTCAAGACTCCTATATAAGAAACTTATATTTTTAGATAAGTTATCATCCCATATAAGCAAACAGAAACATATGAATGGTGTAAAAGACCCTTTTATTTAAAATTAAGTAAATGGAACAGAAGGCACTTACAAATCAGCCAGCGTTTATGGCATGAACTCAAAAGTAGAATTTTAAATTAAAACTAAATCTAAGTCTTTATTAGCCAAAGGCTACACAGAGGTATTTAAACATGTAAGTTAGCCTTAAGCAATGTTGTAGACAGGAATATTTATTATAAAATAACTACTTGGCATTCAGCAGGCAGAACACTCTCTAAACAATCTGAAACCTTCACTTAAATACACATGAGCTAATTTGCACTCTGGCAGGAAAAGGGAGAGGTGACTGTATAGATTCGTAACATTGAATAACTGATTAGTTAACATAAATAAGCCTTATAGTTTTATGAAATTAAGTGAATAAAACTGGTTATCGCCCAACTTGTACTTGAGTTAGAGATCTAGCTGTATGTTATTCTACTTAAGTTAGAGATGTGGCTGTGTGTTATTCTGTTATAATAACTGGTGCAAAAAGTTCCCATTTGATGAGGTTGTATTAAATCCATTTTCACTGTCGTTATCATGCCACATAACCTTTTTTTTTTTTTTTTTTGTAAAATCTGAGAGATCACTATAATAAAAGATGACTGCATATTATAATAAATGTTAATATTAACTTATCAGTAAATTTACAGTTTAAAAAAATATTAAATACTGATATTTTGATTTACAGATGAAGTTACACTGAATATATTGTATGTTTCTTCTCATTTCTAAGATTTAATGTTTCATATTAATGAAAAATACTTCCTTTTACTTTTATCATAATTTTAATAGTAGGCAGTTATTAAAGGCGTAATTTTGTCATTCATGTTTTTGTGGCCAAAACGTTAGCTAATACAGCTGACTGCTTTATATATTCATTGAAAATGCTTTCTTCATATTATATTTTAATCGTTATTTAATTGTCAGTTTGTGAGCAGACTGAAAAGTTATTTATAATGTTAATACGATTTTTGTTTTAGTTTATTTTGTGGATTTCAAATAAAACTGAAATATTAAAAAAAATGTTCTGCATTTCTGTCAATAATTTTATTTCTTCAATACTTAATGGTGAATTCAAAAATTAAAAGCATTAAAGCTCTAAAAAATTATAGAAAATCTGAAGTTGTCAAATAACTCAAAGCTGCATTTTCCTTGTTTCTTGCAGACGAAGCCAGTTGCCTTTGCTGTTCGAACGAATGTTGCATATGATGGGAACCTAGATGACGATTCTCCAGTGCATGGTTGTGCAATTTCTTTTGGAATTAAGGATTACTTGCACATCAAAGAAGTATGTATTAGCAAAATTTTGTCAGTCTTCGGGGTAATTAGTAGATGAAATTACATAAAATAATATTTTTATAATTCACATAAGAAATATTTATTATTATATGAATTACGAAAGTGTTATTTTATACATTTATTATGAATATAATGAACAAAGAAATAACTTTTAAAACTCTATTGTTAAATTTATTTACTCCATCAACAAAATTATTATATAATTCTTAAATACTTAATTTAGAACACGTTCCAAAGAAACAACCACTTGATTTACAAAAATGAAATTCTTTGCATTATGTTAAATGTCTGAATGACTAGAAATATTTTAAAGCATAGCAATAAGATTAAAAATTCTATCAAAAAGTTTCTTAAAATAATGCGTATATTTTCAAAGTTTGTCATTGCATGCATTAGAAATCAGCATATTGGATGCTCATTTGAATTTACTCGGTTTTATGAGTACTTTTTTTTATATTGAATTTGGTATCTTTAGAAGTCTTATTCGTAGAGGGTGATAATTTGAAAGAAAAGCTTGTATGCAAATACTCAGCAAATTCTTTCTGAAGGCATAGTATGAAGGTTTTGGGGAAAGAGGGGAGAGAGGAGAGAATAAACTGCAATATTTCAATTAATTTAACTCTTTCAACGGTGATCATATTGGTTAGAGATGATGATCAATATCTTACCTACATAACATCCAAACACTGTATGACAATTTTTCATCTTAATCCAGATTCAAAAATGTTTCAAGGATCTTTAATAGCTTGTCACTACAAATTTTGCCACATGAATTTAATCTCGTGTCTGGTTCATGAAAATTTATATATATTCATGGAATAATATTAGGTGCATCAAAAGTAGATCATAAAAAAGCCCAATCTTCCTTTTTTACAATGCTATTGTTAATAAATTTGATTAAAGGATGTCTTCTTATTTAAATTACATTAACCTGATGTTGATTAGTTTCTTTCTTCTTCTTCATAAGCTCCACAGCCTGTTACAGGCCAAGACTGCCTCTCCACCTGACCCCATTCAACACAATAGCCTTCCATCAGTTAACTCTAATTAACCTTAAATCTTGCTCGACATCATCTATCCATCTAGTGGGCGGTCTTCCTTTTTTGTCTTACTCCCTCAATTCTTGAAAAGGTTGTCTTTTTGATTGGAAATGCATCATCATATCTAAACACATGGCCGAGCCATTTGGTACGAAATGCCTTTATGATTCTCACAATATCAGTTTTACCATATTCTTAATATTTTCCATATAGTTCATGATTATAGAGCATCCTTCACATGCCATTTTGTTGTACCAGTCCAAAGATCTTACGATTTTTCTTTCAAAAGTTGATATCAGGTCTTTCTCTGCTCTGTTAAGTATCCAACATTCACTTCTGTAAATGGCAACAGGCCTTATTAAAGATTTATATAAATTTAATTTAGTTTTTATGCTGATTGGTTTGAATTTAAGTGGTTTCTTAAGGCCATAGTAACAGCTATTAGCCATAAATATTCGATTCTTTATTTCAATTTTTATATCATTGCAACTTTAATCAGTGTGCCCAGATATTTAAATTGTTTTATGGTTTTGAAGGTATGACTGTGTATCTTCAATGGAGATAAATCAACATTTTTATTAGATGCAATCATAAATTATGTTTTGTCTTCATTTATGATTAGGCCCATCTTTCTTGCTGCATTTTTAAGTGAGACAAATGCTTCGACCACAGCTCGTTTTGATCGCCCAATGATATCAATGTCATCGGTGAAGGCCAGCATTTAAATGGTTCTGTGCAAGATGGTTCCACTTGACTTTATTCCAGAGTCTCTTATGGCCTTTTTAGTAGCTATATTAAACTGCAGGCAAGATAGTAAGTCTCCCTGTCTTAATCCTTTTTCAGTATAAAAGGGTTCTGAAAGGTATGTTGAAATTTTTAATTTTTATATCACTTTTTTTAGAGTCATCTATGCGAGGCTTGTCAGTTTCTTCAGAATATTAAATTCTAACATCGCTTCAAGTAGTTTTTCTCTCTTAATATTGTCATAGGCAGCTTTAAAGTCAACGAACAGGTGGTAGTGTCAATATTATATTCCTTAGTTCTTTCCAAGATTTGTCTAATAAAAATACAATTGATTGTTGTTGTTTTTCCTTTCTGGAATCCACACTTGTAATTCTCAATAACATTAGAAGTACAGTCAAAAGTTGTTAATCCGGACTCGTCGGGACTTCGGCGATTCTGGATTATCGATTTTTCCAGAATATAGATCATCAGTTTAAATCTGATAAGATGGCATGCAGAAATTATAAAATTAAAAATATGAAACCATAATTTATGAATAAAGAACAATTATGATCTAAAGGGTATCAAAATTTACAAAAGAAAAGCTTAATATTTATTTGTTTACTTTATTAAACATTTCTTTCAATGTAAGTTGTTTAAGTTGCTTCGTTTTTTATGTGATAATACATTCTCTTTAATTCTTTAAACAGACATAATTTCTTGTTCAGTTACAAAGTTCTGCTGTTCAAGTCCTATAATTGCTGTGTTGAGAATACCGACTAATTTGTCAATTGAAATTTTTTCATTTTCAATAACCTCTGTTACTTTCTTCGCTATCGGAAGCGAATTACAATGATGAGGAATTTGATTTAAATCATATCAAAGATGGAGTACATCGAGATGAAATACTACATTTAATAAGTAATTATAAGCCATATAAAATAAAAACATCTGCTCTGAAGATAAGGATAGTGCTGACAGATCAACTTCCAATTCATTGCGGGGTGTTAAAGGTAAACAAAGTTTAGATAAACAAACGTTAAAGTTTAGATAAACAAAGGATATGCCTTTATCCATTTTTTGTAGCAATTCTACTTTTTGTTTAATGAACTTCGAAACATACTTTCGCTTTGTAGATCATTTACATATTAATAAATGTAAATCAGAAATTCTACTTGACATAATTCTACTTGACTTAAATTCAAAGTTCAAGCTTACTTTTATAAAATTGCTCTAACAGTCTGCATAAAATAATAAGCCGGATCCAATTCGAAGATTAAGGAACAAAGCAATCTGCAACATTAACTGAAATAGATAATTAAAAAATAATTTTAGCTTAGCTTATACCGTTCGTTATACATTAAACGCACACTCGTAAACGTATTTTGCGCACAAGCATATTCTCAGCCGACGCATGCGCAGAAAGTTTGAAGCTTTGAGGTTCGGATTATAGATCATTCCGGATTATGGGTGTCCGAATTAACGACTTTTGACTGTATATGTAAGCAATTGTTTATACAAAATAATGGAGAAGATTTTATATGCTGAATTCAGTAAGGTAATTCCTCTGTAATTATAACATTTTAGCTTGTCTCTTTTCTTATAAATAGATAGATTCTTTTATTATAAATAGGACAAACAGATCCTTCTTCCCACTCAGTGGGCATTTGTTCTTGTGCCCATATGCAACAAATTAGATAATGGATTGCTTTATTTAAATTGATATTTAAAAGCTCTGCCTTGTAGCCATCTGGTCCAGCTAATTTATTAGTATTTAACATTTTAATTGCCAGTTCAACTTCATATAAAGTTGGTGGATTATGCTCCATAACCTCACATTCATAACACATAGTAGGCAGCATGTAGTTATCTCCTCTTCTCTATCTCTACCTGAAAGCAGACCCTTAAAATACTCACGCCAACAAACCAGAACTTCCTTCCATGTCTCTGGTGTGATTTCCCTATTTTTTCCCTTACAAGTTATTGTTCTGGGATTAAAACCAGTTCTAATATTATTTATCAGCTGATAAAATATCTTGGCTTCTTTCTGTGTTTTTAGATTTTTCAATATCCCTGTAAACTTCATCCAGGTACAACTGCTTTTTCTTTCTGTGAATTCTCTTCTTAATTCCTTGTACCTTCCCTCTGCATTTCTAGTGTAATGTCTTTGGATTATTAGTTTATATGCCTCATTCTTCCTTTTTGTAATCTCACTGCATTCCTCAAACCAATGATTATGTTTACTTTTCAGGTATTCTGGTATTGTATTCTCAGATGCTTCAACAATAATTTTCTTTAGATTTTGCCAAGCATTCTCAGCTGCTGGGGTTTCCCCACTTGTCGACAGTTTATTTTGTAGTTCTCTCCTATACTTTTCAATTATCTGTTTTCTTCAGTTGTTCAGTATCAAGCTTTTTAGATTTTTGTTTTCTCCTTTTATTGTAAGATCTGTTGATCTTAAAGCACAATTTCAAAATAATTAGAAAATGGTCAGAATTCAAATTCGCACCTCTGAATGTGCGTACATCTATAAGACTACTTCTGTGTCTTAGGTCTATCAATATGTGATCTATTTGATTTTGAGTTTTTCCATTTGGAGATTTTGTCGGGAATGTGCCAGTCAGAATGTGGAAGATTCCTTTTGAGATTTCTGAATTGGAAGTTTTTCTGAGGCAAAGGGATTGGCCTTGGGCTCAACCCCTAACCTGGATGGCCAGGCCTTCAAATTCATAAACTCCCTGGAGGCAGGGGTGCCCAGCTATACATCCGGACTCTGGGTACCCATTTTAGTCACCTTTTATGACATGCATGAGGTACATTGGGACTATTCTTTCACACCCTGTCACCACATTGGTGGATTAATTTCTTTAGCACTGCAAAAGCTGTTTTCAAAGAGTTTTCATGCTAATGAGATTATAAACCTTAGTTCTGGCTAGTGACTTTCTGTGGGAGGAGCACTTTGTGCTAAGTAGAAACAAGTAATTTTATCCTCTTCAACATGTCTGCTTAAACTGCACTGGCCATGTAATAATTGTTGATATTCAATATCATGACAATTATATATCATCCTTCTTTCTTATTTTCTTTAACTGCCTACAACTTTTTGAAATTTAAGGTTAAACTAAAGTGAAGATTAGGTCTGTAGAAAGAGTCCAAAAAGTTAATTGTGGCTGGTGTGGAAATCATAATGAAAGTTTTGCACAATTCATTCCAATCTGTGTAAGGTACTGGGGAATAATGTTGGGGAAGGAGATTGAGTTTGTAATAAGTTAATATTTTTTTTTTTTTTTTTTTTTTTTTTTTTTGAAATTTGGCATATATTTGGGTAGTACTGGCATTTGGTAGTCAAAATTAAATAGTGACTAATAAGCTGGGGTGCTGCATCTTTTTGTAGTTTCAATCAGATTTATGTAACTTTACAAAATCTGATTTGATTCTTGTGCTGGCCTGCTGTACTTGAAATACATAAATATATTAAAACCATTTTTTAAATTATTACACAGGAACACTAAAACAGGAAACTAGCCACACTTTCACTAAGCAATTGATGTTAGTTTTGTGTTGCTGATACTAAATAATATTTGGTAGGCCTTCAAGTAATTTTTAAAGGAGTACATAATACAAATTTATGTTGCAACTGTTGTGAAACTTTTGATTATAGACACGTAGGCATCATGCGTTAATACTGTTAGGTGGTGTTAGCAGCTCATATCTTTAGTTTTACATTTATTAGTTGTAGAATTTTTGCTAAACAATTGTCCAGTTTCCTCCTTCTTCTTTCTCACCCCACCCCACCCTTAAGTAATTTAGAATATTTTTATAATGTTGTAAGTAATTCTAAATATTGAAATAAATTAAATTGCTTTTAAGTATTTCTCATTTTCTGATATCTACCAACATTTTAACCACTGTTAATTATCAAAAAATTTAACATTAATCTATAGCATGTCTAAATTAGTTCTTTTCTAAATATAGCAGCCTTGTCTGGAATTTGATTACATAAGATAATTTGTGTTTTAGTACTTTTACATTGTGTATGTATGCATGCTTAATGTATGTATGATATGTGTTAACACAGTACTTAACGTTTTGTTTATATTATACATAATTGATTATTTTTATTTCTGTTTCCTTAGAAATATAATAATGACTGGTGGATAGGTCGTTTAGTGAAAGAAAACAGTGATATTGGTTTCATCCCTAGTCCTGTAAAATTAGAAAATCTGCGGTTGCAGCAAACGCAACATAGTGGTAACAAGAAAATAAATCCTAGGTAAGTATTATTTAAAGTTGACTTGTAGCATATCTGCCGATGAAAATTTAATGAAAGTAGCCTGTTATTTTTTATATATGCATATATGTATCTGTTATTATTTTATGATCACTTCACAAATGTTTAAACTATTTTTTATATATGCGTATACATATTTGTTATTCTTTTGTTTATCATCATTTCACAGATTTTAACATTTACAAAACACATATCTTTTTAAGTGTGTATGGGCAGGTGCATATCGGGCATTGGTTATACTGTAACTCAGGAAGTATATTTGGCTCTTTAGCCTCTTAAAAGGCAGCTCACTTTGTAAAAATAGTAGTTTTATTTTTTTAATGTAATTTGAAACTGGAACTGTACTTTTTACAACAGTAAGTAATTTTTTATTACATTATATGCATAATAATTTTAAATTATTTCAGACTGAGCATTGTGTGCTAATCATCAAAATAAAAAACAAAATAAAAATAATTCATTTTCTGCTAGTATAAAAACAAAATTGTTATCAGGATAGAAGAAAAAGCAGTTAGGTTGGAAAAACCTATTGCACTACTGATGTGTCTCAGATATGAAAAGTATGACAAATTTGTTTAATTGTGACTTTCATTAGAAGACAAAACATATCACACATCTAGTTCTTCTCATAAAGTATATTATTGAATGATTTAAGTCTGAACTTGATAAATCTGAATTATTATATTTGAGCAAAAATATTGTTGCAAAAATGTATTTTTATTTCAGTAAAGCTAGTTCTGCTTCAAATATCGGTGGTGTAACTAATGATGTAACAAATGTCAGGTCAACCTCTAGAGGTTCAACTCCAACTACTCCAGGTAAGAAGACTTTACGCTTTAATGTAAAATGTGAAAAAAACACTAGATATCTAATTTTGTTGCAAGTATAGGAATTGGTCGCTAAACCGAATAACGAAATATAAAAGTGAAGAAAAGATTGACTCGTTAAAAGTAGAAGTTTTATAGCAGAGTATTTTATTGAAATTCTTTGTATAGTTTAAAAAGAAAAGTTATAAATATATGTTTTGCAGTAATTTAATTTCAATAATTGTCATTCATCATTGCTGTTTTAGATGTTGCTTTTTATGCTACATTCTAAAGAAAATAATTGTAGAAGTTCTTTTGAGTTTTTAGAAACAACATATTCCATTGCTACAGCTCGTTCAGCTGTTCAGAATAGTTAGAGTAACATTATAATCATGTTGCAATCTCATGATTTTAAGTTTCTGGAAGGAAATATATTATATTACACATATTTTTCCTTCCGATTCTAAACCACACATTCTTCCTGTATAAATGTTATTAAAATCAAGATGTATCACAGACACAAGGTCAAATCAGAGACTTTTACTAGTTATATCAAAATAATTAATTTCTCTAAATTACTAGTATGAAAAATGTTATTTTTGACCTCTTAATGTTTTTGTTACTTTGAGAGAAATCATTCAGAATAGTCAACTGAAGATAGTTAAAATTTGAGTATTTTATTTCAAAATGAAAATTTGTACAGTTGTTGAGACAGGTTTCTGAAAATATTTAATAGGTATTTGAGTAGTATGTATGTATTTATTTATGGTTTATTAATGCAAATTTTTACTTGGGCATAAGTGCTAAGAGGTTGATTAAACACGATCAGTTACTAGAAGGGTATACAGTTTAAAATTTTACTTCAGTTATTTTATTTGCTCAAACTAAAGCCTCTCTCTCTTTTTTTTTTCCTGTTAATTGCATTGAAACTGAGAGGTACATGTTAAATTCAATAGTCTTTGATTTTTAAGTGATATGATATATATGCATAAATAAATAAATAGAAAAAAAATCTGGAAGTACATGAGAATAGGCACATAAACAATTCCATAACAATTCCATAATAAATTTCATTTTTAAATTTTGGGTAAAGTGTGTTTTATGTACTTTAGAATTAAAATTAGTTTATGATTTAATGTATTGTTAGTGTCTGTTCATTGTTAAATTATTGTTTTTATTATTTTTCTGCATACATTTATATTTTTCCTGTAGCTTTTTAGTCCCAGTAACTAATGGGGTGTGTGCATTATTTTGGCTCATATATGAACATTTAAGCAATTACAGCTCCTCAGGAAATATAACTATGAATTTTCTTTTTCTTTCTCTAATTATAAATCTGTTTTACATATTACCTTTGCACATGGATCAATAAAACTTGAGGAGTATAAAGTATTCATTTACATTAATATTTTATATGCATGTATTTAATTTGATGACACATTATATACAAGATGCAGCAGGGAAACTACCTTATTTTAAAAATGAATAACACAAATAGTATAAGCAATATCAGTTTAATTTTCCCCCGCAAGTTATAGAAAGACACGTAAAGTTTTTTTTTTTTTTTATGTGGTTTAAAAATAATATCAAGGTGGCCTCCGTTCTGGTCAATGCATTGAGATAGTCGAGTTTTGAAGTTTCTTTCCACTTTTACCAGCATATCACCGGGTATGTTGTTGATAGCAGCTTGAAAATTGTTCTTCAGTTGAGCCAGGGACGTTAGAGATTTCAGATAGCCCCCACAAAAAGAAACCACATGGGGCTAAATCAGGCGAGTGCATTGGCCACTGACAATTGCCTTGTAAGGAGATAAGGCGTCCAGGGAAATGTGCTCCAAAAAATCATGGTCCAATCAGTGCTTAAATTGCGCTGGAGCCCGTTGGAGCCCGGCTCCGGTGCTTCTCAATTTTTAAGATAAATTACAATTTTAGACACAGCGCACTGGAGCCCTAAATAAGATGAACTCCGGTACTTCTTTTTATGAAACTGAACCACAATTTAAAGGGAAAAAAATGTAGAATTTTTAACGTTTCAGTTTAACAGTAAGCAGACCTTGCAATACTCTATTTCCCTAGAAATACGAACTCATGAGACGTTTAAGTAAAGTCCCCTCACTCACATGCGAAAACCTTTCCCTTTAAGAAGGGCAATAAATTTGGGGGAGTTTGCTTAGGAATGCCTAAATTTCTCACCATGCCATTGTATCTAGTGTATTGTTACCGATGCTTACAGTTAGTTATCTTCGCAGGAAGGAAAATTTGTGTTCTTAAATGTGCGTTAAGTGACAGCGAGTACAATAAGAGTGAAATACTGAGAAAAACTGTTCGAGCACGTCCTATACATCATCTTCCCACAGTATCCACTTATGAGGGAAAGCATAACCAGCAACTTTACATTTAGGAGTCCAATTCAGTCACCCCTGACACCCATCTGCTTGATGGCTATAATTGTATCAACAGAGAGCCGCGGTCAAAGAGAACGTTTTCTCTCACCAAGATTCCCCTCATTTTTTGTTTCCACCCACTCACACCCTTATTCTGTTTCGCCCTGGAATTTTCATCAGCTATACTTTAAAGTAAATTTAATTTTTGTGATGATAAAAGAACTCCCCCCCCCCCCCCCTACGATCAGAACTTAAATTGGGCCGGAACCCAACGGATCTCGGCTCCGGTGCTTCTTAGTTTTTGTAAAAAATCATAATTCTAGCCGGAATGCACCGGAGCCCTGAATAAGAAGGCTGCGGCACTTTTTTTTATGTAATTGAATAAGAATTCAGTAAAAATTTTATCTCAAATTTTATTTTAACAATACAATTATATTAAAAATCGCGTATTAAATTTCATTTATCTCTTTACATTTATTTAATTTTTAATTAGTTAATTACTTCAACTTAATTTTCAATAAATAATAATTATCTAATAATTAAATTAAATATAATTAATTATATAATTATTAATTAAATAACAATTTATAAACATTAATTTTAAATTTATTAATGAGTTTAATAGTCATTTTATTATTTATTTACTCTTCCTCTCTGCTGAAGGTCTTCCATAGGGCTCCGGCACTTCTAATCTTAGAAATTAAGCCCTGGGTCCAATGATACCTATTCTGGACAATGCACACCAAACAGTCATATGTCCTGTATGAAGGGGCTGTTCATGAAATTCTCGGGAATTCATGCCACTCCATTATCGCATGTTTTGCTTAATGCATCCTGCAACCAGAAAGATGAAAATGAGCCTCATCGCTAAAGAACATGAGGCATCATGAGGCGTATTGTCAAGAACGGTGTTGCATGTATTTTGCATGGATTAAATTTTTACACCACTGCCAATTTATATGGATGAAAATATAGTATATTGAAAAGTACGAAAACATGCGCTCCTGTCTTGTCCGCTGCATGATCGGTATTAAACCTACATGACATAAAACTTTAGATACCATTCTTTTCAATGAGCACGACTTCACCCTTCTGGGAATAAATGTCACTAGATGGCGTACGTTTCAAATAAGGAAGTTTCTCTGCCATACCCTGTACAACAATACCGGACTTATGTGAACTCGAAGTTGTTCCTTAGTTTTCCATTCTTTTTCAAAACTGTGATAAAAACTGATCAAATTATGCATATGGTAGAAGAAGTTGTCATTCATGCTGAGCTATTACATTTGAAAATTGATAGTGATAATATCAGTGAACTGTTCGACTCGCGTAGCAGAGAGGTGATGATAAAACACAAAGTGACTACTATGAATGTGACAAGCAAATATTGCACAGGAACTCTGCAAATATTTGAACAGCACATATGATGTGCATTAATATACCCAGTTGATATTGTTCAGTATAATGCATGAGAATAACTTATATCCAAGTTACCACTGACTTCTAGAGTAAAAATTCTCTGTAAACTCCGAATTACAATGCGTAAAACATTGGTAAAATCCTCATTCAGTACAGTCAAAGTCTTGACAGTGTCTCTTTAATAACCACAGGTCACAAATACACATCTTTAGTAACTTTATAAATTCTGCTACAAATTGTAATGTTCTATAGAGACTTTTGCATAGGCCTAGCAACAATAGAATGCTCCACCAATTGAGTACAAATGCTGATAGTCATATGACAGGCAGTATAGCAACTCAGCTAGTGGCAAGTTTGTGGGCTGATAGAGAAGAATGAGCAGTGTGTTATGTAAGGCACTAACACTTCAGATCCAGATCCACTGAAAAAGCATATAATAATTGCAAGCTTGACAGGAAGTCTTGGTGGTGTTCAAAATGCATTATAAATTTTGGAGAACATAGATTCTTGCAAGACAAGGAATAAATGTGAATGTTTGCTATGAAGAAATTTTACTTGATAAAAAATAATCATTCAGCCATTAAGTTTATTAAAGTTTTCCAAATTGTTGGTGTTCAAATAACTGTTTTATACATCACATTTATTTTAATACTATTTCATATTGGCTTTGTATGAAAATTACATTCTTTATTACAATTTCTTTTCTGAACAAGAATTTTTTTATCCCATGATTCTATTTAACTAAAATTCATATGTATTTATATGCAAATAAACTCCAACTTATCCAATTTGACTTATGTTGCTTTTTGTCATTCTAGCTTGTCACATAACATCAAGGTATTACTGTACAGTGGTAACTTGACTCACAAACTCAATTTTTTCTTTTTTGCTATTCATACCTTGAAACCTAGTTCTCCATTTCATGTGATATGAAATTGTTATTCCATTCTGAGATATAGAGTTTCTGGGAGGGGGGATAAAAACAGTATGCATTTATGTAGAATTTATTAGTTTTATTTATAAAATCCTTGTTTTTCTATGTTTGGTATAAAACAAATAATTCATTTTCTTTTAAAACTTAATTTACTTTGTACACTGCAGAAGGTTTCATATTGGTATGTTAAAGTACAGTCAGTCCACAATATAGTGATCAATTCCACAATCCACACAATGCAAATAGATGGCCCTCTGCGAGTTCAGGTTTTGGTATTTTCGGAGTTGAAAAATAGTTAATAAAGACTTGAAAAATAGTTAATAAAGACTTAAGAAGTAAATATTAAATAGTCAATTTTTAAATATAATCGAAACATGAGCAATCTTTATCACATTAACTGTTTTATATATGTATGCATTTTCAAGAAATAAATAAGATGCATTTTTGATGGAGCTGATAGAAAATAGTTTACAAATCCATATCGTATTGTTAAAAAGTATGCATTGTAAGGTTGAAAATATTATAGTGTATCATATCTCGAGAATAATTTCAAATCTAGAGGCGAACATCAGATATAAAAATATTTCTTATCTTGAAATGTTTGCCTTTTAAATGGTTCATAAATTGAGATGTCTCTGTATATTCTTTATGATAAGGTTTATTTATCCACAGTGACATTATTAGTGATAATCATAACAGTAAGGTGTACTTGTAATAATCGATTTAACAGTATGAAAAAAGATTTAGAAAGTTTTAGGATTTGGGATTTTAAAAATAAAGAAACAATCAAATTAAATCAGAGAGGGAAAAATTTCTGCTTCTTTTCAGAAAAACAGATAAGTTTAAAAGTCTTTTAATGCTCACTAAGAAAAATTTTATTATGCGACAAACTAATGGTAAACTCTTTTTGGAGAAATGTTAAAATTATTATAATTTAATAATTAGCCAAAAGTTGATTGTTAGTGAAAATATTCCACACAGACTAGTCTCTTGCAATATCTGTATGTCGTGGGTGATTAGTCATGGTAGAAATAAGCAGCCTTCATAGAAACTTGGTTTATGTGCATTGCTCTGTATTAGTTTAGATATTCCCTTAGTTATGATACTCCAAATCGTGGGTGAGAGGCTGTATGTTGCCTTGGTCAAAAGCCTTTCTGATAGTGCACTGTTAGTAAAAATATAAATTGCAGTAGGTAATCGATGACCAGAGAGAGAGATTCTTGAAACTTCATGTAATTGCAATTGCTGTGTGTAATAAAAGTCGTGTGACATAAATTAATTTTAGTAGAATTTAATGGATAAATTGTATGTACTTATGCATTACATTCATTGAATAAAAAATAATGATGTACTGCATGCTGCATTTTACATTTATAGTTTTTCATTGTGTGTCATATACATATATAAAGTATACAGATTTAGATGATTGCTTAAACCATACTTTCCATGAAACTACTCTATCAGCGATGATGCATCAACATATGTATGCATTCAATGTTGCAACTATAATAGGTGGACAATACCAATGCTGAATATATCTGAGCTGTTGTATTAACTTTTTTCACCTGGTGTGCATTTTAAGACTTTGGTATGTATGCATAGTATAGATAATTAACTGTACTATAAAATGCAAATTACATGTAATTTTCTGTTTCATTATTTATTGTAAATATTGACAGAATGAACTTATAAATTACATTCAATGGGAAATTTGACAGCAAAATTTTATCTGATTTGTAACTGAATATTTATGTAATGATCTTACGTATTTCAAGATTTTTCATTTATTTATATTTACATTTTCCTCTTCCTTTCTTGTAAAAGTATTTCCTTGTAATTATATTCATTTCATCCTCAAATGTCGGTATAATATGAATTATTAGTCATCTCAATAGTTAGCTTTTCTCTTGAAATATTTATATATTTTGCATTGTTAACTGACTATATAAGTAAGGTTTTTGTTTCATATACTAACTTGCTGAAAATTCTTTATTTTAGTCTTCGACGTGGATCAAAATGGGTTAGAAACTGTTGTTGGGGACGACAGTGACAGTCTGGGCAACAGTAAACTTGGAAAGACTGTCACTACGCCGCCAGCCAAAGAAAAAAAGAAACCATTTTTTAAAAAAGTAATCTTAAAAATCCACTATATACATTAAAAAATCTTATGTAAATATTTTTTGATAAATGTCTGCTGTATGTCTCTTACTTTAAAACTAAGATATTTTTAATCGAATTGTTGAATCTTTTAACTAAATTAAAAGTGTGTCAAAATACTGTGTTCCATATGTTAGCAGAAAATACTTATAGGGCAATTCCATTTGAAAGTTTAAAAAAAAAATTTATTACTTAATTACCATCAAAGTAACATCCATAAGAATGTATGCATTTGTTCCAACACCCCTGATATTTTGGTAGAATACTTTTAATTATTGGAACTAGACAGGCTGTCATATTGGTTTTTAGAGCTTAAATTGTCTTAAAATGCTGATCATATAGATACAACTTGGTAAGAAAGGCAAAAAGAAACAGAGAATGGAAGTTTTGCCTGATGTGGTTATTGTCCAGACAAGGATTTCTCTATGATCATATGAACTCGGTCTTTTGTGCTAAAACAGCTTTTGCCCGAAAAATACATCCAAATAGTCAAAAGATATTTTAAACTCTGCTCTGTAACATGAACTGCATCATCTGGATGACATCATACATTCTGTAGACAGCAATGGAAGTTTCCTGCGTATATATATATATATATATATATTGTGTGTGTGCGAACTTGTTAAACAGAGCGATGCATATATTTTAAACAATTAATTTTTTTATTTAAAAAAATTAACTGAAATACAAAAGTTATAAGTTAATAAGTAGCATTTAAATGGTATGTTTTTCTTTCTGTAGTCATTATCCTATCTAATTAGGTACTGAGGTAGATGTTTATGCTGAATATCTTGTTTATGGCCTGACTAAACAATTACTAGAGAAAAGAATATTAACTTTTCTTTTTGGTAAAAAATGAAGAGAGTCTAGATTTGCTATTTTATTTCTCAGTAGCACTTCTTGAAAAATTTTGCATTTAAATTGCTATTTGTTTTTCTCTTTATACATTTAAATGTTCTGAATCTGTCTTGATATGTTTTATTTGATATGCAACAAAACAATATTACTTTAAGTTTATGACTATTTGGTTCCCTACTTTTTTATCAAACATTTATAATTTTAAGTAAAAATTAAATATATTGATGTGTGCAAAAAAGGAGTGTACGTATTTGAAAAATGATTTTTTTAAAGAATGATAAATTTTGTTTTTTAAGTCAGATTTTGGAGTTATTCCCCTACCTCGTCAAAATTTCTTACATATAGTTACTGTGTGATGACACTTCTCTGAAAATTACCACAATTTTTTACTGTAGATTGTAAGAAAAGGTCTGTGTTTTCCCGATTAGCATTGCTTGTTGTTATTTATAGTTCACTAGATGCATTTTATTATTTAGATATTACAAAAATGGTTGTTGTATATCTAAAAATTTCGTTATGAAAAGGATGTCTTTTTGAGTGATTGTTTAACTGCAGAAATTGGTTTTAACTTTTTTCAGCTTCTGATATCAGTATAAAGGTGATTATATATCTGTACACAAAATGTGGTTTACAATTAAATAAATTTTAATTAAAGATGTTAGTGATGTAAGTATAATTCTGAGTGTTAGCTATTTTTGATTGTGTTAGAAGTATGTGTATATGTTATGGGTAAATATGTAAAATTTATGTTTTCTTTTGCAGTCTGAGAACATTCCCCCATATGATGTAGTGCCTTCAATGCGACCCGTTGTCTTGGTAGGGCCTTCCCTCAAAGGTTATGAGGTCACAGATATGATGCAGAAAGCTTTGTTTGATTACCTGAAACATCGGTTCGAGGGACGGTAAGTATGAAAATTTAATAATTGTTTAGAGCATTGAATTTATATTTTCATGCAGTTTTTGTAGTTGATATCGAGTAGAATTGTTCATATAATTGCAGTTATTTTAGATAACATGTTTTTTTTTTTCCAAATAAGAGAAGTCTTCCATAGAAATAATAACAATAAAAATGTAGGGCACAAAGTCTCTGTTCCCTCTGGATACCGTAATATATCATATATGATATGATATGATAGTGTAACGAAATGTCCGCAATGGTAAGATAGCTTTCTCGCAAAGTGGGTTTAGGATTGCCAGATTTGGCACTAAATCGCCCATTTGGCGACATAGAGAACATTCTAGAATGCTTACTAAAGCAAGACTGGATTTTCATTAATTTAATATTTTTCAAATTCTGTGTTCTCTTCATAAAAGCTGCTGCCTCTTTTCCAGCTTTATGAACCATATTCAGAAATATTTTGAAAAAAGTACAATTATTGACATGAAATCTTTATCATTTCTTATGTTTGACTTATGGCTGCTTAAATTCTTAACAGAATTATCATCACGAGGGTTACAGCAGACATATCATTGGCAAAAAGATCGCTGCTGAATAATCCAAGTAAACGAGCTATTATGGAAAGAGCAAACAGCCGGTCATCTTGTTTAGGTAAGCTGTTTTAAGTTCAAAATATTAAATAATAAAGCAAAAACTTAAGTTGTGCCTGAATGATTTTTTGAAAATATGGTTTCCAGAATAAAGTTTTCTTCAAAATATGAGTATTATTTTAAGGTAGATACTTTTGTTATATATTTATTTTGAACTGTAATCACATAAATGCAAATCTGCATTTTGTGCTGTTCTCACCTAAATAAATTTGAAAACATTATTTTCAACATTTTGTGCTATGACCCCCCCTTCCCGGCCCTTAAAAAAAATATTTTACGTTATTTTTTTTTTTTTTAAAGAAAACTGTTATGTAGAAGTTAGAATTTGATTTTTCATCAATTTATTTTTTTCTACTTTTAAAATACATTTTTTCAGAACCAGATTCTGTAGATCCATGGTTTTGTTGATATGTTATAATTCACGGTGTATTTTAATGCCTGATATATGAAAGAATCAAATCCAAAAGTAAAATTGACCAACAGATTAGTTATTTTTAATTCAAATAATACTAAATGGATTCTTTTGAACTATGAATATTATTTGCAAAATCTGTGTTTTTCATATGGAAAGAAATTTTTGTTAAATTTCTCCTCTTGAATACACTCAACACTTTTCAGCATAATGGGCTGAAGCCTGTAATCAGAGCCGGATAATATCAACATAAAAGGTTACCATGCTGTTTGGTATTCAATTTTTTTTTTTTTTTTTTTTTTTTTTTTTTTTTTTTTAAGTTCCTGTATGTGTCATTTCTCAAGCTGTGTCTTTTCTCAAGCTGCCATGTATTAACAATTACTTTCTGATAAAATGAAAGAGAAATTCATAAAAAAAAAAAATCTGAATGCTTTCAGATTTGTTTTTATTACACCCAAACAGGCACTATTTTCATTTACAGACACGTACATGTTTCAAGAGCATTTGGGCTAATGCCACATTGTGCTAAAAATATTTAAAAATGGCATATCGTTAGAATTTCCAATAGACAAGTCTCATGCACTAGAGATAAAAAAAAATTTTATTCCCTACAGTGTTGCCACTGCTCACTTTGAAATTGTTTAGCTTTTTAATCAAAAATTCCTTAAAATTTTTTGAAATAGACAATTAAACAAATTCCAAATCCCAAATTTGGGCTTTCAGGAGCCCATGTTCATGTGGAATACTATGTTATTCAAAATTTGATGACTCTAGTTACCGTTGTTTTTCACAGTGTAAGAAACATTCATGCAGATTCTTCATTATTTAGTTTCTCTAAATATAATACAATACGATAATATTTGGTGTCAACAATTTGAAAAGTGATTCAATGCAAAATGACATTTTGAGACTAATAATCTTTCGGGGCTAACGCTCATTTCAGCTTAAAAAAAGGATTCACCAGTGGCATCAGGGTCATAAGTTAATTTTTTTATGGTCATCAATGAGCTCATCTCTTATTCTAATTATGCACTGCAGTGCTGGCAGATGAAAACAGCTCACATTACAAATTTATGACTGGCAAATATCATGCATATTTTGAAGAAAGAATTGCTTAGTCAGCAATGAACTTGGTATAATGGTTTGAGATGTATGCCGAGTAAAAAGGCAGCTATAGACCCAGATTATTGACCATACAGATTTATGCTAATAAATGATTGTGTTTCTTCAACATGGAAGTTTTTTTATTTAGCTCCTAGGCAGAATTAAGGATGAGGATCTTCCAGATGCTTTATTATGAAAAAAATGTTTACTGCTCATGTGTGAAGCATTAATTTTAAAGCAAGATGCTGTTCTTGAATTCTTTCTCCCTTTAAAAAAAAAAAAAAAAAAAAAAAATCTGAAATGTTTCAGATTTTAAATTACGTCCAAAGGGGTGTTTTTTAACATTTTGTGTGTTACCTTTCTTTATTAAATATCATGTTCCTCGCACTTAAACCATAAGATCCAGTGCAACAGCAATATCGCAAAATAGTTTTAAAACGAGCATATCTTTAGAATTTCCGATACAGAGACTCACGCGCTGGAGATAAAAATGTTTTTTCTGCACAACGTTGCCATTGCTCGCTTTGAAATCCTTGAGTTTGTTAATCAAAAATTCGTCAAAGTTTTAAAAAATAGGATATCGATCATAAAACAAATTTCAAATTTCAAATTTGGTCTTCCACATGCTCATATTCGTTGGAGGATTACGTTATTCAAAATTCGATGACTCTATGTACCGTTATTTTATGACAATGTGAGAAATATACATACATTTATGCAGATTTTCATTATTTAATTTCTTCAAATATAATGCAGGACTCTAACATTTTATGGCAACAGTTTGAAAAGTGAACCGACATTTATCCATCCGACGCAAAATGCCAAAACGAAACTAATAGTCCTTCGGGATTCAAATCCCTTTGGACTAAAAAAAAAAAAAAAAAAAATCCCACCCTGCCTGGTGGTTTGTAGGTCCAGATATTAGAACATTCCAAGCATTGAATATCTGGATTTTGGATACTGCACTGTATAATTCAGTTATAACATATGTGGGATATAGTTGTCATTTAGTAGCTTAACAAGCCTTTCTTTAGAAGTTCTTGTATTAATATTTGATATTGCAACGACACTTTATTTACATTTCCATTAACGTATTGCAGTGATTTTACAGACCATTGTTGAGAACTGGAAACACCATAGTTTCCATCAATTAATATCAAACTGCCAATTTTTATTTTATTTTCATTTTTTCGTGCTTTATTGATTGGATTTAAAGTATGCTCCAAGTGTAGGCTTTAATACTCTGTCTTTTATTTATGCAAACAAGCTCAATTGCTACAAAGTCCTCCCCCATTGCACAGTGTGATATTTGAAAGTGCAGCTGTTTTGCGAGTAAATCTTTTGCATTGACAGCTTAATTTATGATCCCCAAAATGCTGAGGACATATCTGCAAGTCTTAATAAATCGAAAGATATCTGAAAAGTTGTGGTGCAATGGGATCTATAGGAGACAGTAAAACTTCAAGGAAGCAATTTGCATCATATCCACATCACTGATCTGCAGCAGGTCATTGTTTAGGTTTTCAGTAATAATTAAGACGATAGTGCGAGTTGTGGATAGTCATCATTATTTCTGACTGGTTTCAAATTACACTCCATTGGATTAAAAATCAGGTATTTATCTGCTAAATAGGCAGTATCTTTTTAGCAGCAAGTGGAATGGTTGCTGTATTGTGTAATAATCTTATGTAAATTAGAACTGGAGACTTTTCAAATGTACATCATCTAAATTTTGTCTAAATTGTTGACTGTTAGGTTTTCTTTTTAGTAGATACCCCACATGAGTTTTCTTCCACACTTCGTATTGGTATGTGTTAAAAGAATAAATAAATTGTATGCTTAAATTTTGCAACAGTTGCAAAATTTTACAAAACAAAAAAATTTAAGAATTAAAATTGATTTTAATATTTAAAAATACTATTATATAAAGTATCTGTAATTATTTCATTTTTAGCTGAAGTACAAGCTGAAATCGAGCGAATATTTGAGCTTGCACGAACTCTGCAGTTAGTAGTCCTTGATTGCGATACCATCAACCACCCATCTCAGTTGCTGAAGACCTCTCTTGCACCCATTGTAGTATATGTGAAAATTTCTTCTCCAAAGGTAATCTTGATGCTAAAAAACAGTTTTTTTTTTTTTTTTTTTTTTTTTTTTTTTGTGTGTGTGTGTGTAATATAGCCATAAATTGGTTGTATTAAACTCTTGTATGTACATCTTGTATATTGAAAGGGGAAAAACATAAGCTTTTGGATTGCAAAAGTATAAAGAATAGAATGTATAAGAAATATTTGTTTATTTTGAATTATACTGTGAAAATATTTGAAAATGTCCACTGCACTGTTATATCAAAACTATTTAGTTGGAAGTATAATTTTATTTCTTTAATAGTGATCCTAAAATAATAATTTTGTTATTATTCAATCACAAAAATTTTGTCCTATTAAGAGTGCTGGTAATCCTCATCAGATTTATATACATAACTAGCTCATACATTCTAGATGATGTCAAAACTTTTTTATGTATAAAGTTGGCTAAGCTAAAAATGCTGACATAAACTATAAAAAATATCTATATCCAAGATTTACATGTATTTTATGATTTTTCATGCATCATCTAATTTTATCCACATTAATTGCATAAACAAAAAAAGAAATGCATAAACATATTGTATTTGGGGGCAACATATTGCATAAAATTAAATTTTATACAATGCATTTTGGGGGGAAGAAAAATTAAGATTACTGAAATATGCAAGCACATGACTCTTTGCCTAAGAGGAATGATGCCTTCATGGTCTACTTCCTAAGGGAATTTAGCTCACATTCATGTTGCATATGATAAAAGTATAAAAGCCTACCTATTCACCTGAGATTTGAACCCAGGCCAAACTCCCTGCATTCATTGGTGCATAGATTAAAATAATATCAAATAAATACATTTCAGTTAAAAGAATGACTTCATTTTCCTGATTCAAATAAAAATTCCTTTTAAATAGTTTTTGAAACATTTGGTAGTCATAAATTTTTCAGCCAACAGCTTATTATTTTGTTGAGAAATATTGTTTTAAAATGTATATCTCTAGTTTCTAGGATGAGCAAAGGAGTAGTAAATCATTTGTCGATACATATTACTTCTCTAGGAAGCAGTGCAAAAAAGGCATTCTTTTATATTAATAATACAGTACAAAGTCTGTAATCCGCACGTCCATTATCCGGAATGATCTATAATCCGAACCTCGAAGCCACAAACTCTTTTTGGTATGCTTTACGCATGCGCATTTAATGTTATGCATGCGCGTTTAATGTTTATGCATGTGCGTTTAGCACAAAAAATGAAGCAACTTAAACAACTTACATTGAAAGAAATGTTTAATAAAGTAAACAAATAAATAATAAGTTTTTTTTTTTTTTTTTTGTAAATTTTGATACCCTTTAGATCATAATTGCTCTTTATTTCATAAATTACAATTTCATACTTTTAATTGTATAATTTCTGCATTCTATTTTACCAGATTTAAATTGATGATCTATAATCCGAAAAAAACCCTTAATCCGGAAACGCTGAAGTCCCAACGAGTCCGGATTATGGACATTGTACTGTAGTAAAGTTCAAGATTATTGCTCTTTTTTAATCATTTAAAAGTTTAATGGAAGAATATGTAACTCAAATAAGTGGCAAATGAAACATTCTCATAAATTCTGTAATAAATGGAAATATTGTTATGATGTAGTAAAAATTAATTGCAAATGTTAAATGTCTGATTACATTTTTTAAATTTGTCTCACATGCTGAAATAAAGCAAGTCATCATTGATTTCCAAACAGCCAAATCAATGGTTAAGACTGCTTAATACTGAATATCCTGATATCTAGTTGTGCTTGTAACATATATATCCACTGCTCATTAAACTTACTGGTTAATAAACTCGGCCACTTATTGTATTCAAATTTCCAGGAACTAAAATGAATATAACTAAAATGAACTATAAAAATCCAACTGGCGAAAATCTGATTATGGGTTTAACAGAGATTTTTGCCAGTAGTTAGAGCTAAGATTCCCTGTGGTTGTGGTGTTGGGTATACTTCTCTAGTTCTTCTCAGACTCTGTTTCCAATCCCTTTGTCCAACTAGAGCTGAAAGTGACAGAATACCTTTCTCGTATGATAAACAAAAGCAGTCCTGTAAAGGCATTAGAAACAAGTTCCTTTATATAAATGAATTGTTTCCCAGGATTAAATAATAGGTAGTGCTCAGATTAACACTGTTTTTCTTTGTCAAACACCATCTGAGCTAATAGTGAATGGGCATGCATACACACATTTAAGTTTTTTGGGGTTCTCAGGAAGCTTACTTTCATTACCAGTCTTTGATTAGAAAGGGGGATTGGTCATTGTAGGTTAAAGAAAAAAGAAAAGCATTGATTATGCCTATAATAACCACGAAGTGACAGGTTGACTTGACAGACAAAGGAACAGTCTTGCTGCTTGCAAGAAATGGGAATTTTGGATTGAACAAATCACTGGAAGAAACTTACTTTGTTTGCCGTGTGCATGTGACTTGTACCCTGTTTAAAATACTTAAACAAAATGATTTGAGTCTGAAAGAAATGGATCAATTTCTGAAAGATTGTGATATGTTTGGTAAATGAAACCAAAGAGAAATAGCTTTTAAAATGGAGATTTCCCAAACAGCATTGTGCAGTTTACTTAAAGAAATAAAACTAATAAGGAACTAGTAAAAAATGCATGTCTCAAGCGCAAATGTGGAAAACTGAGTGACGTTAGAACCGCTCTTCTTGAATAATTTCAAGCTATGAAACTAAAAAAGTTCCAATTTCTAGAGCTCTTTTGATCACAAAAGCTGTAGAATTCGCTAAAATTCCAGGAGAAAATTTTTGCTACTGATGGATGTCTTATAAGATGGAAAGATAGAAATAATATAGTAAACTACATGGTGAGAAGCAAGGATCAGATCATCATTCCATTGAGAAATAGACAAAAGATGTTTTACTTGGGCTTCTAAAAGAATAGAAGTTACACAAAACTTATAGGTAAACACAAATGAAACTGATATGTTTTATAGAGCATTACCGGAAACATTAATGTTTAGATATGGAACAGCAACTGGTTTTAAGAAATTGTAAGAACAAGTTACTGTGTTATTAATGTGCAATATGGATGCAACAATTAAAACAGCACCAGGTTTATTGGGAGGAGTAGAAAACCTTGATGTTTAAAAGGAGTCAAGAACTGGGCTTTAACTTAAAACTTTAATAATAACAAGAACTCATGTATGAAAAGTTGTATTTTTGCAGATTTCATTTGAAATGGGACAGAGAACTAAAAAATGAAAAATCAGCTTTACTGTCAGATAACTGTGCTGCTCATCCCTCTGATATTGTACTGAAAAACACTGAATTAGTGTCTCTTCTTGCAATTATCATTCAGCCATTAGATGAAGGTATTATAAATGCTTTCAAATATAATTACAGAAAAGGTGTTCAAAAAAAGATAACCAAAATTGCATCTTGTTCAAATCTAAGCACTTTGAAGAAGATAAATAAGTCAGTATGTTTAGTAGAGGCTATGTATATTTGGTTAATGCATGGAAAGCAGTCTCCCAAAACACAATTAAAAATTTCCTTAGAAAATGCAGTTTTTATGCAGAAGCCACAAAGGAAATTAAAACTATTTCTAATTGTTTAGTCTAATCTATTGTTTTAAAGATTTTAAAGTTAAAATCTATTGTTTTAAAGTTTAAAGATGTTTAAAAGGAGTCAAGAACTGGGCTTTAACTTAAAAATGTAAAGTTGATGAAAAGTTGTATTTTTACAGATTTCATTTGAAATGGGACAGAGAACTGAAAAATGCAAAATCAGCTTTATTGTCAGATAACTCAGGAAGCTTACTTACATCCCTCTGATATTGTACTGAAAAACACTGAATTAGTGTTTCATCTTCCAATTATCATTCAGCCTGTTAAAAAATTTTATCAACTTTGCACTATTAAAATTTTTTTATCATTAAATAGATAAGTGAAAGTTCACTTACCTTCTAAATAGGGCTGCCCTGAACTGCCTGCTTTTCCTTCTTGTAGGTATCCGTCTCTATGATGAACTTCGATTCACTTCGAAACACAGCTATAAACTTTTTAAGAAATTTTAATTCATATGAAAGATATCTACAAAATATTTACAAGTTATAATGATTACAAGCATAATTTATACGGAGACGGTCTATCGTTTTACATCTGTTAGACGCGTCAGCCGTTCAACTGACTACTTTTAGTCTCTTTCGCCAGAGGGCGTTCGTGGAAGTAAAGTTCTAGTAAGCAAACGCGACACAGCCATTAGACCAAGGTATTATAAAAGTTTCCAAATATATTTACAGAAAAGGTGTTGTTCAAAAAAAGATAACGAAAATTGCATCTTGTGAAAATCTAAGCACTTTAGATAAATAAGTCAGTATGTAAAGTAGAGGCTATGCATATTTGGTCAATGCATGAAAATGCTTTCAAATATAATTACAGGAAAGGTGTTCAAAAAAAGATAACCAAAATTGCATCTTGTTCAAATCTAAGCACTTTGAAGAAGATAAATAAGTTAGTATGTTTAGTAGAGGCTATGTATATTTGGTTAATGCATGGAAAGCAGTCTCCCAAAACACAATTAAAAATTTCCTTAGAAAATGCAGTTTTTATGCAGAAGCCACAAAGGAAATTAAAACTATTTCTAATATTTTAGACATCATTGATGGAAATTACAAAGATTTATTTTTAGAATGTGTTGCAGTTGATGATAATATTGAAACAGCATGTGAAAATGCTGATTATAATATTATAGAAAGTTTTAAAAATAGCTGCAGAAACTGAAATTGTGAAAGTGATGCAGAAGAAGGTCACTTAATGCCTTGATGTTTAAAAGTTTAAAGATGTTTAAAAAGGAGTCAAGAACTGGGCTTTAACTTAAAAATGTAAAGTTGATGAAAAGTTGTATTTTTACAGATTTCATTTGAAATGGGACAGAGAACTAAAAAATGCAAAATCAGCTTTATTGTCAGATAACTCAGGAAGCTTACATACATCCCTCTGATATTGTACTGAAAAACACTGAATCAGTGTTTCTTCTTCCAATTATCATTCAGCCATTAGACCAAGGTATTATAAAAGTTTTCAAATATATTTACAGAAAAGGTGTTGTTCAAAAAAAGATAACGAAAATTGCATCTTGTGAAAATCTAAGCACTTTAGATAAATAAGTCAGTATGTAAAGTAGAGGCTATCATATTTGGTCAATGCATGGAAAGCAGTCTCCCAAAACACAATTATAAATTTCCCTAGAAAATGCAGTTTTTTATGCAGAAGCCACAAAGGAAATTAAAACTATTTCTAATTGTTTAGTCTAATCTATTGAGTTTCCCTCAATGATGTCCAAAATATTACAAAGATTCATTTTTAGAATGTGTTGCAGTTGATGATAATATTGAAACAGCATGTGAAAACGCTGATTATAATATTATAGAAAGTTTTAAAAAGAGCTGCAAAAACTGAAATTGCAAAAGTGATGCAGAAGAAGGTCAATTAATGCCAAGCTCAGCTGAATCGAGAACACTGCAAATTCTAAGAAGAGCTCTTGAATTGAAAGATGGATAAAGTTCTTTGTAAAAGTTTAAAATTTCATCATGTATGTAATTATAAAAAAAATTTATAAAAAAAATTAATAATAAATAAATTTTCAAATTTTGTGAATAATTTAATCTTATTAATTTTTAATAACTTGTGTATTAATTATTATGTTAACTGTCAGTTACTGTCTTACTAAGTACAGTGTGTGTACATGTAATGAAATTGCTGAACTTTTAAAGAAATATTCACATACATAATTACTTAACTGTTATTCTTTTATTAAGAGATTTTAAAGTGCTATGTATTATTATTAGTAGTAGTAGTTGTGTACTTGAACTATATTATTGAATTTTAAATTATCAGGTTCTGCAGAGGTTAATTAAATCTAGGGGGAAATCTCAAAGCCGAAATCTCAACGTACAAATGGTGGCAGCTGAAAAACTTTCTCAGTGTGCTCCAGTAAGTATAAAATAGCTTCCAGATTCTTATTAGGTGTTCCAATCAGTTAATTCAGATTGTTTCTTTAAGAGAGGAATTTTAATGTGAAATGTTTTTCAGAAGATTGTTATTTGTGTTCATCATTCACTGTTAAACTCATAGTGAGTATTTATAGCATCATCGGATCAAATTCATTGCAGCTGAAGCATATCAGTTTGTAAAAGACATTATCTTTTCAGAATTTTGTGAATTGTTAATTGGGTTAGCCTTTCTTTGGATTAGTCTCCTGTGGAACACCCTGGGCAATGCTTCCAGTGATGAATAGGCTAAATGACCAGAAAATTTTAAAATGCTCAAGAAGCAAGTGTTCACCCTTTTCAGTGTGTGTGTGGGGGGGGATGAATTGTGTTTTCTATGCAAATGTCATCATGTTAAATCATAATGGCTGTAGCTGTTGCAGTCCACTAAATCTCCAATGTCGCAATCTTCATTTGCACTTTTGTTTGAATCTTCAGGGCAAGCTATAGGAAGATTGTTTCGCTGAGAAAGTTATATATATATAGAGAGAGAGAGAGCAGCAGTGGTTCTCAATCTGTTTTGTCCCATGTATCTCTTTCACCATTGCTAGAAGGTAATTTTGCCCTTCTTTTCCAAAACTTTAAAAATGTATACTTTTATTTAAATTATTTTTAACCTTTTTCTATAAATTAAACAGCAAAAGGTATAGAAAATGTTGATAAATATCAAAACTTGAATAAAATTAGAGTTTTGTATTCAAAAACTAAAAGCTTAATATCTAAATAAAAGGTTGACCACATCCATCTTTAAACTGTGAGATTTCCCCCGGGGGGGGGATTTCTTCTCGTTTGAGAATCCCTAAAAGAACTTTGAGAATCCTGGTTTAAAACATAGAAAGTTCTCATGTAGTGGGCAAAGCATTTGTAATTCCCCTAAGGGGAATGCATTTTGTGGAGTTTCTCTGTAAAAAGTGTTCAGGCAACTTTTCTTTGTAGAGGGATCTGTTATAAGCTGTGGTGAAATTAAGCCAGTTCACGCTAGTTCAGCAAAATCTTTTCCCAGAATACATTTAGTTGGTGGGCTGGGCTTTTTTTTTTTTTTTTTTTTTTTTTTTTTTTTTTTGTTGTTGAATTGTAATATTTATTTAGATAATTTATCACTACATAATAGGTAAATTCATTGCTTATTTGAACAGTAAACTGGTTTTCCAAATTTTTGAATCCTATCTCTAGTGTGAATGTGTTGAATAAGATATGTTGTAAGTGTGGCTGATGTCACAATTGCAGAAAGATGGTATGGCCTTCATTTTTCAACAAGATGGGGGCTTATCCACATTTTCACAAGAGCATTCTTATTTACCTCATTGTTGAACTTCCTGGTCATTAGATCGGACATGCTTTTCAAGATGTTTTTCCTTTTCAGTGTCTCACCTGACATATCCTGCATCTGAATTTTTTTTGTAGAATTACATCAAAAACCATGTGTTTGTACTTCTTTGCAATGATGTTTAGTACAACTTCAAAAAGATCATGTATGCAGTTTCTGATATTGATCATAACATGTTGAGATGCATATGGCAGGAACTTTTCGGTCGGTTATCCTGAGTACATGATATGTTGGTATGCGTTATATATGTACAGTATGTACAAAAATTGAAAAAAGTTTTTGTATACTGATATGCTTATTACTGCACTGTAAAGTTTACGTACCATTAAGGAAATTGTGGATCTGCCTGTGTTTGGAAATTTGTCATTGTTCAGATTCTTATTGACAATGAACAAAATATAATGAAAATAAAGCCACTCTGAAATGTGTAAAACTGAATTTAATTTATCATAAACTCTATCTAAAGTTGGTAAACTAAAGTAGTATAAGCAACAAAAGTTAAATATTGATCTCAAATTCCAATATTAAGTATTTTCAGCTAATTGGAAACCAAGAGCTTCTTGATTAGCTGGAAATAACTTAATATTGAATGTGCTGAATCTCTTGAAAGCTGAAAAAGAGTATTTATCTAATTCTTCCTACAATATACATGTAAAAATTGTAATCAAGCATTTAACACTGAGATTATTTCTTGACCAGTTACATTTGGATCATTGTATCCCATATATGGGATTATTAAAATCTAGCTGTTATAATAATACAGTCAAAAGTCGTTAATCCGGACACTGATAATCCAGACCTCAAAGCTACAAACTTTCTGCGCATGCGTCAACACATAATGCGTTCATGCATGCGTGTAATACTTTTACGCATGCGCATAATACATTTACGCATGCACATTTAATGTATAATGGATGGTATAAGCTAAGCTAAAATTATCTATTTCAGTTAATGTTGCAGATTGCGTTGTTCCTTAATCTTTGAATTGGATCCGGCTTGTTATTTTTTGCAGACTGTTAGAGGAATTTTATAAAAGTAAGCTTGTGAACTTTCGATTATGTCAAAAAGAATTTCCGATTCTGGAGCTGCTGAAGGATCTACAAAGCGAAAGCATGTTTCAATGTCCGTCAAACAAAAAGTAGAATTGCTGCAAAAAATGGATAAAGGCATGAAGAAAGTGACAGAGAGGTGATTTGTTTCTCTAACCATTCTGTAATCTGTTTATCAATTTCACGCTGCTCTGCGGGGGAGGGGCAGGAAATGTTGCGCCGTGCAATGAACTGAAGTTGATCTGTCAGCACTATCCTTATCTGCAGGGCAGATGTTTTTATTTTATTCAGCTTATAATTCCTTGCTAAATGTAGTATTTCATCTCGATGTATTATGTCTTTGATATGATTTAAATCAAATTCCTCGTCATTATAAATATCACGAGTACACATCAAATAGTTTTCTGGTTGCAATTTTCTAATTTCGACTATGCGTAATGTATGCTTTACAGATGCGCGCGTTGAGAGAAATGTTTAATAAAGTAACAAATAAATATTAAGCTTTTTTTTGTAAATTTTGATACTCTTTATATCATAATTGCTCTTTATTTCATAAATTACTGTTTCATATTCTTAATTTTATAATCTCTGCATGCCATCTTACCAGATTTAAACTGATGATCTATAATCCGGAATCGCCGAAGTCTCGACGAGTCCGGATTAAAGACTTATCAAACAGTGCTGGATCTTTTGCTAAGCTAAGTTACAATTAAACAGTTATTTTCATTGCTAATAAATAATATTTGATTCCTTAATTCATATATTTGTATAACTTTCTTGTAAATGTTAGTGTTTTAAAATTAAAAGAAAAAAAATAATACTTTTAGAGAAATTGGTTAACAGCTTGAAATAATTATAACATATATTAAAGTAGGAATCCGATTAATTTAAATAATGAAACTGCTATTTTGGCTAGCTCAGTCATAAAATTAAACTTAATTAAAAATTTTATGGCTAACCTTTCTAAGCAATTCCAATACTTTACAGGAAATGTTTGATGTGATTTTGGATGAAAACCAGTTAGAAGAAGCTTGTGAACATCTTGCAGAGTTTCTTGAAGCATATTGGAGAGCCACTCATCCTCCAAATAAAACACCACCCCCTATTGTCCCCAGACCAATTCCTTCCCCTCATCCATCACCGCGACTTGAAGAACCTAGAGGTGGAGTTGGACTTCTGAGGCATAATTCTACACCACCTGGCATCAATTACAGATCTGAAACTGAAAGGAGGCCTAGACATTCAGATGAAGTAAGTCTCATATATTAGCCTTTTTGTAAGATTACATGGCTAATGGAGAAAAGGAATTCAATTGGTCTTTAAAAATTTCTTCTTCAGATTTCTGGTGCATAAGGAAAGCTTAGCAAAGCCTTAATAGACTCATTTTATAAGGGCACTTTATAACTAAAACATAATATTCATCCCATGGGTATGCCCCATGGAAAGCATCAAAATCATTAAAAAAAAACTTACTACATTTTTTAATGTATACAGTGTATATTTGAATATGTTATTTTGTGTTTTATCCTTCAAGAGATCATAATAAAACTAAAGCCAAAGTGGTGAGTGTTTCTCGCAAAAAAGAGCGAAACTTACTTGAATTTGAACTCTAAAGTTGCTGTCTCCTGATTGTGATATTTTCCTGCATTTTTAATAACAAATATTATTACTTCTTTAAGAATACTTTTAATAATATTAGCAAGAAGAGCTTTAAGATTTTCTCTAAAAAGAATCTTTTTTATGGCTGACATATAGTTACAAAATTTCTAAAATGTAAATCATCTGTTATTCAACATGTTCAGGCACTAATAAAGCTCTTGCCATGCATACTGCGGCAAGGCTGCGATGAGTGATTTTTAATTGCTTTCATAATTGAGACATATTTTTAGGTTAAATAAGATACCATAGAATCCTTGATATATTATCACAGTTATATACAGGGTGTCCCCAAAACATTGACCTTGGTTTTATTCCTTAAATGTGATTGTAGACATAATAGGGGGACCGGAAAGTAATGTCACTCTGTTACATTAAATTCAAATTAACACATTTTTAACAAGATTTTATTTTTAATCAATAATATAATCACCCTCATTATCAACAATCTTTTGCCATCTAATGTGCAGATTTTCAATCCCATACAGATAAAAATTAATTTGGTTTTGAGTAAAATATCTCCAGAGAACATTTTGGACATCATGCAAATTTTCAAATTTTTTGCCACTAAGAAAATGTTGTAGGGATCCGAATAAATGGAAATCCAATGCTGCGATATCAGCTGAGTATGGTGGGTGAGTATGGCACCAAAATTCATTAATTTTTTCCAGTGTTCATCTTGCACAGTATGGTCTTGCATTGTTGTGTTGCAGAATGATGCCTTTTCTGTTGACAATTGATATTTTTCAATTAAAGATTGTTTCACTCCATCCAATTGTTCACAAGGTCTGCATTAACAGTTTGTCCAGGTTTCAGCAACTCAAAGTGAACATTTCCGCGAATACTCCATCAAACATCCAGAAGTGCCTTTTCGGGATGTAAACCCTTTGTAACCCCTATTAAAACTACCTTTTGAGTTTTGGATTATCATATAGGACTTAATTTTTTGTCTCCACTAATCAAATGATCAAAAAACGGTTCTGTTATAGTGCCATTGAAGCAATACTTTGCATGTGATGGATAGGTTGGATTTGTTCTTTTCAGACAGATTATGGAGGACTCAAACACCTGCTTTGCCTATTTTTCCATTCTGCTTTAAATGTTCTTGGATGGTCGGCCAAGGTTGGTTAAGAGTGTTTGACATGGATTTCCTTCCACTTCTGCTCTTAGCATGTTGTTGTCGACAAGCGCAGAAATAACATTACTTTCCAGTCTCCCTATTATAATGTAAATTAAAAGTTATGTAAAAAAAAATACAGAATTTTAGAAAATCAATTAAAATTTTGAAGGAATTAAATTTAAAGAAATAAAAAAATTTACATTACACCATAAAAGAATTACATTTTTTATGGTGCTATACATAAAAATTCTCAATTAGCAAAATGTGGCTCGTACACTAATAATGTTATGTATAAAATTTCAGAATTTTATCATAAAGGGCCACAGTGATATGAAATTACATATAAATGCTTACTTAAACCACTTTTCAGTGCCTGGATATGATTTTCAGGAAGCATAGTTTTGTAAATTTATAAATAAAATTAAAGCTAAGAGCCATATTTTATATGCTTGTGATGAATTTTGCATCCCATCATCTGCAGTCTAGCTGTAAGCATTTTTATATTTTAATTTACAATCAGCCTCTCCTCTTCACTGTATAAGTATATCTCTGTGAATGTTCTTGCCAAAATGCTGAAATTTCGTACATGACTTTATTTTTTGCATATGGGGCACATTTTGCTAATTAAGAATTTTTCTGTACAGGAACGATATAAAAATGTGTGTATAGGATGATATAATGTAAAACTGGTAATTAATTAATTATGGCAAAACATTCACGAGCTATTTGCTGTGGGAAAAATGATTTTGTGAAAGATTATGTAAAAGAAAAGGGTTGTATTTGATCACACTATACATGGAAAAAGCTACAAAAAATTTCTGCAGCTTGTGATTGACTTGGTTGGAACTATCAGTATGCAGAAATCCTATCAAATAAACACTGGCGTGCCATAATAAGTGATTGGTCATGGTTGTGAACAAAATGAACCTGATAACTGTTTGGACACATGTCATGCGAAGCTAAAATTTGTAAATCTGTATTGTCTAAGTAAAATTAAAATAACAAATATCAATAAAAGATTTTTTATTTATTAAGACAGTCTAAGACTATTGGAGTCTAAGACAGTACTTCTCGGCCTGTTTTGCCCATGCACCCATTTCACTTTTGCTGGAAGATCCTTCTCGCCTCGCTGCTTTCCAAAACCCGAAAAATATTTGGATTATAATGTCCTTAAAAAGTTTTATGTTAAATGCTTATTAATTAAAGCTTTAATTAATAAGCATTTAAATAATTAATTAAACTAATTTAGCTTCTTCTGTTCTATTAAAGAACACAGAGCTACAGAAGAAGAAAAAAAATTGAGAAATTTATAATACTTTTCCAAAACTATAAAATGGCTGAATTATATTAAGTGTCAGTTTAGAGTTTAAAGATAAATCCCAATGTATTAATGCTTTTGAAAAATCAAGAGAAACAGGGTTTCTAAAACAGTTTTTTTTTTTTTTTTCCAGCCAATGTCTCCAAGTATGGAGGTTGATCCACAAAGTGATTACAGAATGATGGCCCGCGATCCACCTCCTAGGAGAGAACTTCCTCCTATAGTAGTACCTGGTGACAGAGGAATAGCTGGTGGAGGGGGATATGGACCTCCAATTGGCGGACCTTCTGACAGAGATATGCATCCTTTACCTGATCGGTATCCTCAAACACACCATTCACAACAGCATCGAGAACCAATGATAATGGATTTTAGTGACCAAGAATATAGTGACCGTGCTGCTTGGGAACGAGGGATTGTGAGAGACCGTGACCGTGAAAGGCCACAGCATGACTATTACATGGATGAAGTGGATTCCCAGATGAAGATGAGATTGGATGATCGTGGGCCACCTATGGATTATGGAGGTGGACGTTATGGACCATCAGAAATGAGGGAAATGAGAGAAATGCCTGATCCACGTGATATGCGACATCAGCCACATCATCCATATGACAGAGATTATCCATCTCCCCATAGGGGGCAGACAATGGTACACAGAGATATATTATGAATGGCCTTCTCACCTTCATTGGGGCATTTCTTGGAATGTAATGAACTATTAAACAAATATTTCAGCAATGTACCTTTTAGGGAAAACCCTAAAAAGACAAGAGAGTCTGAAGTATTTGGACAGTGGCATGGTTCATTCATTGGGTCCTTATTATTTTCTATTTGTTACTGAAATAAACCTTTCACTGTTGAATTCTTCAGTGTCACAAATGTCAACTTTCCTCTTTGGTCAAATATCTGCCCACAACCTCTTAAGAATGGTTCTGTAAATCAAGGCTGGAATTGTGACATTCTACTGTGTTTCATCTATCGCTGCCTTCACAAAGTCCATCCCAGCACTGTTTGTTGGTTTGTTGTTCATTGTCGTCATGTAATAAAAAAAAAATTTAAAAAAAGAAAGAAAGAAACTAACCTCAGAATGTGCTTTGACCTCATAAAGCTACTCCTAGTCAATGTGCATGCTCAACTTTAGAGGCAAATGTTGACTATTGATGTTGTCTTAAATTACAAATTATAATGACAAATTTCAGTTATTAAATCATTAAAGATTGAAGCTTATTAGACTAAAAGATATATTAAAGAGCCTTAATTTGAAGTTATAGGAGAATAGCTATAATTTATTTTTTCAAGCCAGCAGAAAATGCACTTTTTTGTTGCATCTTCTTTGTGGCAGTTTTGAAATTTAAGTATTTCTGATTTGAAGAGACATGTTATTATGGATGTTTAACAAATATTTTAATAAAGCATTTCATTTTAAATATGCAAAACAAAATTTCTTAGATGATTCTTGCTGTTGCAAGAAGATTCACATAGTCATGTGTAGAATTTTCCACTGTACGTCTGTATATGTATGGTGTCCTGAAATTCATAGCCACATTGGCTTTTTTATGAGAAGTAAAATGCATTAGTTGCATATCGCCTGTGATGTGCTAACATTGTTATACGGCATCGGACGAATGATGATGATGCAAGCCTAAAGACATTCTAGTTGATTGGAAAGGTACAAAGTAGACTACTAGACAGAATCAACACCATTTAGAACTTCCTTTCATGAGAGATTGTTGAATACAGAATATAACTGCTAGTCAAAGCTGCATGTACATACTTGTTTGTAAAGCCACAATTTGGAGGCAAAACTCTACTTCTTTACCAGTATATCACCGAATTTATTTGAAGTTCTGGTTCATGTAGAGTTTAATGTTTTGTGTTTATTCTTAGAAAAATTGACAGTAGAGATTTTTTCTGCATATTAACAAATTCGACTCTCTGCTGTCAGTGCCTAATGTTCTCTAATCCTTCATGAAATGATGCATTTTGAGCTGTCATACATTTCATGCATAGGGTGCATTGTCTCAGCTATTTTGTGTACATGAACGTAGAAGGTCCCTTTCTTGTAAAACTGGTTATATGTACAGTTGTACCCATCTTTTTTAATTTTTAGGTTTTCCCTAATGTTGCAAAAGGAATTTTAAAATAAAGAAGATTGTGTTTATATTAATAAAATGTTTCAAAAGAACTATTGTTCAAAGAAGTCATAATTTAATATTATTTTTCTCATTCAGTAATATAATAGGAGGATTGTTGATTTTGTAAAATGTCTTTTTATATTCAAATTGCAATTTGAGTACTATATTTTGCATTCTGTTTTATAGTAAAGTTTCCTTGAAAAAAAAAAATTTTAATTATTTCATTTCGATAGAAAGAGATAAAGTGTGAAGCATTGCTATAGATATCCTTTTAATTGTACTGTTAGCATACACACATATAAAATGTTTAATTTTTGTTATGAAAAAGATATTCATCTGATTTTTTTATTAGAATTTTCATAAAATAAAGAAAAAAGGTTTAATTCTGTTATTTCTGAATAATACAAGTGGCAGAACATGTATGGCTGTTTAAACTCAGTTTTCATACAACCTTTCCATCTACATTGTACATTAAAAAACTACAAACCAGCTATATATTTTAGCTCCTGTAAGATATTCCTTCATGCTGTTAAATCCCCAACAGTGTTAAAGTGATTGTGATAAGAAATCAAGAGCTATAAACTCTATTGGAAAGTTATGGAAATTGGAAGATTTTTTTCAAATTTTATTTATTATTAAATCTTTTCCTCTGCAGTTAAAGCAATCATTAAATTCATTATATTAAAATGTAGTTTATGTATAAATACTTTTTATATTTAATTTTTATTTTGATGAAAGCAAAGTTAAACTTTATGTATAAAAATACGCTAGAGCAGGATTTCTAAAAATCACCTGGTGTGTTCCTCAAAGTTTGTGCTCTTTGAGGCTATATGGGTATTCTGAAAAAGGAGACAGATTTTACTTAATTTTCACCAAGATATGATTATTAAATATTATAAAAATTGTAAATTATCATGTAATTGTGGCATAATTAAATTTGCTGAACTTCAGAATCTTCTTTAGTAAATTTGAGTTAAGTATGATATAATTTCTCAAAAAGTTATTTTCTATACCTTTATGTTAGCAAATAAGACAAAGGTTGTATGTTCTTAATATGACAGATGCACTTTATGCATGAAGAAGAATTTTTACATGCAAAATATTTTGACATATTGCCACTAGTCATTTTTAGAGCACCAAAAGTATCTGTACCGCATTAAAAGCCAGAACCATTTGAAACAAATGCACCGCTGAACTAAAACTGAAAAGGTGATTTATTACCATTTCTTGCTTTAGTGTATATATTCTGATGTAAATAATGTTTTTAAGATATTTTATAGATTGCACATTTATTTAAATGCATTTTTATGCTGAAATTTTATTATACTGTATTTAATTGCATAATTCCTCTTTTCACTTCGAAAATTGAATAACTTCTTAATGAATATGAAAGGAAATTTTCATGTTCTGACTGATTGTTTCCTTTATCTATTCTTGCAATAATCCATTACCTTTAAATTCTGGTAATTGTATATTTTACATTCATATTGCTGTTTTGCAATAATCTGCATGTAAAAAATGTTTTGATGCTTGCTGCATTTTGACAGTCATTATTTTTCGTAATAGTTTTAAAAAAATCTAATTTCATGCAATGAAATTTGAAAGATTTTTTTAATTTATCAATTTAAAAGATATAAATGTCTACTAAAATATAGATGATTCACAAAGGTTATTTCAAGTTACTTGTATCAAATTATGATTTTTTAAAGGAAGAATATTCTTTTTGATGTTGTAAATTATGAAATTTGCATTTAATAATATGTTGCACATTTTTATTATGATTTTTTCATTTAGCTCTAATTATTAAACAATTAATGAAAGTTGTTGCACTCATAGGATTACTTCTGTGAGGATTATTGAAATAGATACATGGGATGCATTTCTGAATTTTTGGGGGGGGCTTTGCTAATGAGTCCAGTTTCATCTTTTTGTAGGGAAAACTAAAATTATAAGGACAAAATTTTAATGGGAAAGTTGTTTGATATTTTCGTGCATTTTATCTTTAAAATATCTTATGTCAAACATTTAGCACTTGCTTTAAAATATTTTAACACATTGGTGTTATTGAGGCTAACTGCAAAATACTTCGGCATATACAAGTCATCAATATAAAATTTACCCAACATTTAAAAATTTTCCGTGTTCTTTGAGGAAAGCTGTTTTTGCTTTCTTTGTAGGAGTCTGGAATTTTTTTTTTTTTTTTTTATGCTGTAATTTTTATGTCTGTCACTGAGCTGTATCATGTTTTTCAGGTGAAAAATAATCAGCACATTTTTCAGATAATCGTATAATAAATCTAACTAGCATCATAAAATAGTTTTTTCTGTTTAAAAATACTTTTTTAATGAATATTAGAGTAATTTTGCAATTAAATAGAGTAATATGTATTAAAAATGAATATATGTTGCATATAGAAATGAAAGAATTAATTTTACAAATAATTGATGGAATAATGAAACGTTTCTTGTTGCAGAATACAAAAATATAAATCCTGTTAAGAAAATATTACTTGCTTATGAATACTGTCATATTAAAAAAATTGTCTTTATATATAACATTGATATTATAGCATTCATATTATTAGATTATTTTAACAAATTGTATATTTTTTGTTCTAAGTCTTGTCTTGAATATTTATTATCAAATATTGAAACAATTTGTTTGTGATACTGTTTAATTCTAAGAAAAGGAGCCACATGTGCATTTATTAAAAATTTTTAAATATGTATATATAAGGAGAAATATTTAATACAGAAATTTGTCAGTGGCCTTATTTTGTATTTAATAGCTGATTAGTATAATGACTAGTAATGCTAGTAGTAGGAATAAAATAAAAAGCAGAGTGCTAAAAGCATAATATGTGCATATGAATTTACATATATTAAAGTTAAAAAGCACTGGTGACACACTAATTTTATGCTATTGTCAATATGCATTTATATGAAGTTCTTAACGACTAAAACTCGTCTGATACTTTACATTATCATACAATCGTAATCTTCTTATTCAGCCAACTGCTGCATAATGTTCATTCTATATAGTCTTACTTATTTTGTTTCTGAATTCGTAACTTCATTTATTTATTTATTTTAAATCGGACTTTGCTTTCCATGTGCAGTTACTTTTTGGGGACCAAATACTTCTTTTTAAAGTATATTTTAAATGCTTAACATTGTTTGTACAATAAAGGTGTATTCTGTACACTGACTTACATAATAACTTTTAATATAATTCATAAATTTAGGAATCTATGGTCCTGTTGTGCAATTTTGAATATTAGATACTTTTAATGTTAAATTTAAAAGCATAATTTAGAAAAACAAAAACTATGTCAAGGCTATGTGGTGATATCAATTAAGCTTTCAGCAACTGTAAAAGGAAAATAATCATTTTGATATTGAGAAAATTAAAAATCAAATATAAGGGAACCTCAGTCTGTTGTATTCCAATAGGATAAAGGAAAGAAATTATGAATACTAGAAAACGATTAAATTGGGAGAATATCACACTTTTCAAATAAATAACATATTGTAAATAAATAGCATTTATTGCTTTTGACATGAATACACTACATTAAAAGCTACCTTCTAATAAAAATAATGATGCATCGCCCTTTGCTTCTTGATTAGGGCTAAGTCTCAACTGAAAATACAACTTTTCAATACTGAAATGTTTACACTTGCTTCTACTCTGCGCATAAGAAATGATCTTTTGCAAAGCTTTGCAAGATTTGGTAACGATATAATCTTTCGTTCAATTTTTATTTTCTTCCTTTGTATTCCTTGTAGACTCTGAACATGACTTCAGAAATTATGCCGCAGGTGAAGTGTTAATATCACTGTGTTCTCCAAAGGAAAGATAATGCAAATAATAAATATGTATTTCACTTTAAATTCCTCCCCCGCAAAAAAAAAAGTCCAGCATGAAATGTAACAGAAATGTTATTTATGAACTATTAATGATATAAAATCTTAGTTTTGGAAATGGTGAATACAGAAATTATATTATTTGGATAATCAAAACATATGAGGGCTATCTGCCTAAGAAGAGGGATGCCTTTGTTGAGAATTTTCTAATGGAAACTGGCTCATATTCACATTACATATGGAAAAAAACAAGAAAACACCTATGCAAGCAGTTTGCTTGCTAGGGTTGAAATCTGCCTCAAGCAACCATTGTTCATCAATCTTAATCACTTTCCACACTACTGTGCCATAGAAATAAATTATGCTGTTCATGTAGAGCATCATTCAGACAAAAATGGCGACAATTTTGTAGGATACAAAGATAATGATACACTGAGGTTCTAATATAATAAGAATTTTGCCTGAGGTTTAATTACTATTTTATAATAAATGTGCTAAGCTTTTGTATGTTATATCTGAAACAAATTAAGTGTACTCTTTGGAAATAAAAATTTAGTAGATTTTGCAATAGATAAAAAGCTAGTGTGGTTTATAATTCTAATTGATTTTCTACATGTTATTATCAAATGTATGGAAGCTTCTGACCACTATCTTAAGTACAGCTGTTTTATGTGCTCTTATAAGGAAACAGATATTGCTGCAATGAAAGGCACTTTGGTTTGTTGAGAAAGCATTGAGTAAACAAAATAAATGAACAGATACAATTTATAGCCATGATACTTCAGCTATTGCTTTAAATTTCCTCTAATGGACTTGCTGCTATATTTCATAAAACACGCATAAACTTCTAATGTTCCTTTAAATTCCGTGTGTGTTTTTTAAATTTCTTAAAAAATAAAAATTATAATCTCTTACTGCTTATGTATTTTCCGCAATACATTTCTGCTAACCACAGTTTTTTACTAACTTCATTCAGGAAGACATTAATGGATAAAAAAGATTTCTTGCTTATCTCTATGTAACTTTCCCGATAAAAGTATGCAAATTGCCCATTTGTATAAAAAGGAATTTTGAACTTTCAAATAAACTAGCAATTTATTAATTTTTTTAGTTCTCATGCAATGTTCTTCCCAGTATAATTAGCATTCGATATATGTAAATATATTTGAAAGTTAAAGAATTTTTTATGATTTTGTCTTGCTTTTCTTTCCATTGCTAAAATTGCTTTTAAAACTGTGGCTCTTTTTTGCATAATTAAACAACTTGCTATCAAATGGCCATTTGAATGACTTTTGTACATTGATTCTAGTGAAACATGTAAATTATGTATAAAGTCTGATTTAGTTTCATATTTGCATGCAATGTAAAAGTTCTAAAACAATGGATAGTTCTAAATCGGAATATTTTTCCAAGCCAGATAATTTTTTCCTTGCACTGGCTTTCATATTTGTCATACTTTTAATGCCTCCCGTGATACAAATGCTGCAATAGATGTACAATTAATGTCATTACACTCATTTAAGAATTTGTTCCTCTTTATTCGTTATTTTTGTGGCTTGACTGCATAATATATATATATTATATATTAAATTTCTGAAATTTTATTGTATTTTTTGACTTGATTTTCGACTTCTGCCATACAAACAAAATTAGAGAAGACAATGTAGGAGAGTAATTTATTATGAAAAATAATGTACATGAAATATTACAAACTATGATGAGCAGGTACATAAAACCCGTTTGAAATTTATTTTGCAAGTATAGCTACATGAAAATGCACACCTATAAACAAAAGTGTTTCTAGTAACGTTAATTTAATATGTACACAGTTTTAATGAATGCTTTTCGTATGTCACTAAAACTTGATTCTATTCTCTGTTAACTGGAAATGTGCCTTTATGTTGGCGGCTGTTTGCAGTTGGTAATTCTTCTAACATCTTGCACTGAAGCGAAAAATTTAGTCAGATTTCATTAGCAGCAGCAGCAGCAACAACAACAAAAACAAAAAAAAAAAACAAAAAAAAACTATGCGTAGAATTCATAATCTATCTATATATAGAAGTCCAACATGTTGCTCATTTTATATACTTTTTTTGAGAGTCTCTGAAGATGAACTTTCATTCTGCTGGTACTTAGGATGCTCTGCTTTGTTATTTTTCATTGTTAGCATTGCAGGGACGAACTCAACCACTGAAAAAAAAAAAAAAAATGTTTAAGAATTCATTAGTCACAGAAATATGAAGTTATAAAAGCAAGAATATGCAGTCGCATAATACAGTAAGGCTCTTTAAGGCTGTCCCATGGTATCAGATAATTTCGATCTTGTGAAAGAAGGGATGTTCATTATCATTGTTTGTTTCTGTTCTCAGAGATACCGGTCACTTTTGGAGACATTCGCCAAGAAAGAGTCATACTAACTACTATAATGTACATAAGTTGGTTGATGAATAAGATCTCCTTCTGCATACAGTCATATGTAGTTGGTGCAGAAAATCTCTTTCGTATGTTTTCTGCAGCTGCAACTGTCAGATGCAAAGGAGCTTAATTTTACATCGTTACTTACTCTCGTTGAATAACAACTTTCGTTTTTCATGAGAACTGAATTACGTATAAAGCAGCGATCAGTAATAGAGTTTTGGGTACTAGATAATCGTAATTGAAAATACATGATAGCAATTTTTGTTGACCGTTTTATCGATGTTCGCCAATGGATTTCATGTACCAAAACTATCGTAAAGACGAGGTGGTTTGAAAAGCAAAGTTTAATGACACTCCTTATAGCCCAGATTCGATCCTGTTTTTAGATATTCTCATAATTCAAAAAGTTGTTGAAATGTCATTTTTTTTCATCTGATACTGAAATTAATGTACGCAAATTGCTCAAAAGTAAGCAAGAAACTTGCTTCATAAACGAAATGAAGAAATGGTCTCAAGTATGGAAAAATATATGGCAGGAATGTAAAAAAATTAGTATATTTATTTAAGATATGCAATTTTCTCTTATTACCAGCATAAATAATAAATACTCCAGCATAAATAATAAACGCAGCCACCTAGAGCACCCTCCGAAAAGGTTCTCACAAACGACAACTAAATAAAGGTATATTTTGCTATTTTCGCTAAGAGTTATTAATATTTTTAATTTATTCGGGGTATCAGTAGGGCACCGAAACTGCGCTTGGTGATTATGATACCTCTTTAAAAATTATTTTACTCTGTTATAAATCTGTTGTACATGACAGAAGATCAGAACTTATCAGTCACCGGGTCTTCACCCGGGCTAATCAATTTTAACGTATATGACAGCTTAAGTAATAATCTAAAATGGTACCAAAAATTATAGCGTTACGGCTTAAACCTTTTTAATGATTCTTTTTCCCTAAAGTTAGGCTTAGCGACGCAAACCCCCCATCCTGTAGGATCATTTTTTTAAACTCCCTCTCGCCCCCAGGAAGAGCTTAAATTGCGCCGGAGCCCGGCTCCGGTACTTCTCAGCTTTCAAGATAAATTATAATTTCAGCCAGAATTTTATTTATAAAAGGGCTCGGGCACTTTTTTATGCAACTGAACCACAATTTTAGCGCAGAAATTTTGTTTTAATAGTAAACATGTCTAAAAGTCCGATTCTAACTTCTGAATGCAAGCCTGTCTTTCTATCGCACTCAAGCCTTGCACAGATGTTGAGACTTTTAAGGAAAGAAAAGCCCCCCAATTATATGTCAAAGGCTTATTCTCCGGGATACGCAAATGAATTTATAAGAGCGGGTAAATTTTGTATTCCTCAAAGAACTAAAAGTGACACCCTGGTCGTGCACATTCCACGCTAGTGATTTCCTTCTGCAGAGCTGTAGACTTTCTGAATGATTTAACCAAACGGGGGGACCACTGCTGTCACTTGTACAGAGAAGTCTTATGTTTATTCTCACGTTGTATTCAGGAAAATTTATTTACGAAAAGTAATCAGGAAAAATTTCTGCTTGACGGCTAGAATTATATCGACAGAGCATCGCGATCAGGAAGTCTTGAACTCTTCCCTCTTTATCTTCAAAGCTACACTTTTTAGTTAAATTTTCTTTCCATACCCTCATATTGTTTCTATAATTCTCACTATTCTCCTTGGTGGAGCTTTAATCGTTTTATCTTTTTTTCCTTGGTGTGCTGCAAAAAAAGACTGATACCTGTCATCCCTTGAAGTAGTATATTTTATGTATAATCAGGAAACTCAGATAGAGATCAGCTGAGCTGCTTCTTAGCATCTAAGTGGAATCGTAATTCCAGACGATGCCTCAAATAAGACGAAGTCCGATATATTTTTTTTTTTTTTTTTTTTTTTTTTCTATTTAACTATTCAAAATTAATTTAATAATGTATTATATTTCTTTTTATCTCTTTACATGTTTCTTAATTTAAATTTATTATTTAATTAAGTTTAATTAGTTAATTTAATCAAATTAATATTATTCTTAATTTAAATTTATTATTTAATTATTAGCTATTTTAGTTATTTATTCATTTTTTTTCTTTCCTTCCTCACACTCTTCATAGGGCTCCGGCACTTCTAATTTTAGAAATTAAGCCCTGCCCCCAGAGAAGCGTCTTAAACAAAGGCACACCGTCTCGAAAGGTTAAAGGTGGCTTATACTGCTAAATTGTTTCGGTATTTAAATTTCAAATAGAGAAATTGGGAGATAGAGAGCTACATCAGACAATTCTGGATATTCATTTCGAACTTTAAACCAAAAATTTCTCTATTCGTGGAAACAACTTTTAATCCTCCATGAGATAACTCAGTTTTTCGCTTAAATGAAATAAGTTTTTGGTAACATGCACTGAAAGGGATTTCGAATCCATTCAGAGTTAGAAAAATCTTCCTGAAAATAAGTATTAAACTGATATTTAAGATCTGCTAAGTGAGTTGTTATATCTTTATGACCAACTGAACAACATTTAGCTTTTTTCCCCCCCCAATGGCAGATTGTGAACAATTACAGATGTAACCCAGTTCATTAATCTATACAAGGCCAGATGTGGTGGTTTCTTTATTATGGAGGCACCTAGTAGGTGGGTTACCATCGCCTTTCCTATGAAGGGACGGACAATTACAACCATGCCTTCTCCTGGATTCGAACCCGGAGAAGGCATGGTTGCCCAGTCGTTTCCCTGACCACTATACTGACTGGGCGGCGAACAACTTTTAGTTTGTTTCCTAAAACTAAATTTTCTAAAGTGGGAAATGTTGCAAAATTAATTTCCTTGCAGTATGAGCACCACAAAACAATTTTCTTTGTAAAAGCTTTGATTTTATGATTTAGCTGTAAATATATTTAATTGTTTTTCTTGAAAAATTCAGTTCGTTCAACTTGAGGAAAGTATTAGTTAAGTAAGCCAACCTATGTAGCCATTCTTCATCAGTTAAAAAGTTTAAAATTTTTTTATCATTATCATTGTTATTTAAAAAAACAAACTCTTAACCTTTAAGGTCAAATTATCTCGTTAGGACCCTACCCCTCGAAAGGCAAAGCACTTTTGTAGATAAAAGTAGCAGCTGATGTTTACTGGCCATTTCTCCGCATATTTGCGAAAATCCTTGAATTCAGAAGACGAGACTTAAAATTTATTATTTTAACTAATATTAACCGTATCTTAGACAGACTTTAAGTTCGGTGGCATGTTTTTCCATACAAGCGCTTCTATTAATCATACAGTGAACCTATGTTACATTGGGAAATACTTTTAATTCGAGTTAAAAGCCCCCTGTGTTCTCTTACCGTGGCACAAACTTCATCACTGCATACGCTCACGCAATTTTCCCACAAAATACTATTTCCCGTGATGTAAGAATTAACCAGTTTAAAGATTAGACCAGTTTAAAGACCTAGCCTTTAGTAATTCTTTGTAAAAAAAAAAAAAAAAAAAAAAAAATTGCGTTTTAATGAATTAACTTTTGCATTCAAATTTGCAAAATAAATTAGATCTGCAGCGTTTTGGCAATCGGTGAATACTTCCAACTGAAGACCGAAAATTTTACTTTTTTGAATTCTTCTTATAAGTTCACTTTAAACATTATCTGCCATTTCGTATAGTCTGCCACCAATTGTTGTATCAAAGAGTGGTACTTAAATACATCTGCTCCTTTTCATTTTCACCAAACGTAATGCTTACTATATCCTGGTCTGATGGAACAATTAACTCTTCATCAGTTGTGTACAGCTAGCCAGTTTCAGCTACACGATAGTTCACGAATGACTATAACTATACGAATGCTTTCATTATTAATATCAATAAGAGTAGACAAAAAGTTTCAGTTACATTTCAAATGCCGTGTTTTTTTTTTTTTTTTTTTTATGAAAATTTCAATGGCTGTATCTTTGTACTCTTAAGCGTTTAGTATGTAGATGCCTTTGCAGATTACTTGCTTTCAGTGACTCATTTGACAATACTGCTAAGTACAGAACGTATCTGACCTTTGAATCATCACCTTCAGTAAATACAAAACCATATTAAACTTCCTGTCAACCTTAAAAATTCATGTGTTTGCTTTTAATAGTTATGTCTCGACACTATACAGGCAAAAGCCTCCAAGTATATTTGGTTCGTGTCGGAAGTTAAAGCATCCGAAACTGAAGTATACTTCTCGTCATTTTTTCAGTGACTGTTTTTTCAATTATCGATGTTTTCGGCTGACATCCTTCTGTTAATGTTCCGTAGAAACATTAAAAAAAAAAATTAAAAAAATCTGAAAGCTTTCAGATTTTATATTACGCCCAAAGGGGTGTATTTTTCATTTACAAACACATACATATTTCGAAAGCATTTGGGCTAAAAATATTTTAAAACAGGATATCTTTAGAATTTACGATAGACAATCTTGCACGCTAGAAATAAAAATATTTTATTCAGTACAGTGTTGCCGCTGGTCGCTTTGAAATCGTATTTTTTTAATCAAAACTTCGTTAAAGTTTCACAAAACATGAAATTGATAATAAAACAAATTCCAAATTTGGGCTTCCATATGCTCATATTCGGGTGGAGACGTACGTTATTCAAAATTGAATGGCTCTAGGTACCGCTGTTGTATCACATTGCGAGAAACATACACACATACATGCAGATTCTTCATTATTTAATTTCTTTAAATATAATACAGTCTCTAATATTTGGTGACAACAATTTAAAAAATGATTCACTATTTATAGTGAATGAACGCAAAATGCCAAAACGAAATTAATAACCCTTCTGGACAAATTGCCCCTTTGGGTTAAGAAGAAAAGAAAAAAAAGGGGGGGGGGCAGAAAAAAAAAGATTACCACTTTATAGCTGGATAACCAGTATCATATTGTAGTCGTAATGACTGCAACATTCTTTATTTTCTAAAAAGAATTCAATGCACTATTTTGTATAGACTAGGACTAACAGGTTCCTTAGGGTAGGAAACGTAAAAAATCAGCTTTGCCAGGATTCGAACACAGATCTTCCAAGTATCACCTAGCTAGACGTACTAACTACTTCTACCATGAGATCAATACGCTGGGAGAAATGCTATACAGTCAAAAGTCTTTAATCCGGACTCGTCGGGACTTCGGCGATTCCGGATTATCGATTTTTCCGGATTATAGATCATCAGTTTATCTGGTAAGATGGCATGCAGAAATTATGCAATTAAAAATATGAAATCGTAATTTATGAAATAAAGAGCAATTGTGATCTAAAGGGTATAAAAATTTACAAAGAAAATGCTTAATATTTATTTGTTTACTATATTAAACATTTCTTTCAACGCGCGCATGCGTAAAGCATACGTTACGCATAGTCGAAATTAGAAAATTGCAATCAGAAAACTATTTTATGCATATTCGTGATCTTTATAATGACGAGGAAATTGATTTAAATCATATCGGAGTTGATCGAGATGAAACACTACATTTAGTAAGGAATTATAAGCCGAATAAAATAAAAACATCTGCTCTGAAGATGAGGATAGTGCTGACAGATCAACTTCCAGTTCATTGCGCGCCGCGACGTTTCCCCCCCCCCGCAGAGCAGCGTGAAATTGATAAACAGATTTCGGAATAATTAGGAAAAAAAATCCCCTCTTTGTCACTTTCTTCATGCCTTTATCCACTTTTTGCAGCAATTCCACTTTTTGTTTAATGGACATCGAAACATGCTTTCGCTTTGTAGATCCTTTGGCAGCTCCAGAATAGGAAATTCTATTTGACATAATCGAAAGTTCAAGCTTACTTTTATAAAATTGCTCTAACAGTCTGCAAAAAATAATAAGCCGGATCCAATTCGAAGATTAAAGAACAACGTAATCTGAAATAACGCGACTGAAATAGAGAATTAGATAATTTTAGCTTTGCTTATACCGTCGGTTATACATTAAACGCGCATGCGTAGGTCCGGATTAAAGACTTTCGACTGTAATTCTTTACGTGTTAATACTCCCTACATATTACATACTCCCTCCATCTAAATCTTACTATATTAACTCTTGAAGGAGTCCTTTATTGCTTGAAATAGAAAAGACATTAACTCTTGAAATGGACCTTCTATATTTTCTTTGACTTCAAACGATTTTTAAAAATGTAAAATCTTGAACTTTTACTCAGTTATACTTTATCATAGAGAAACTGAGTCTTGAGATTTAAGAATTTTAATTGCGTACTTTCCATTAAATTTCATTTGTGTTTTTTCTTAATAATATATATTTATTTTAAAAAACTGATTTTAATTTCTAAACTTAGATTCCAATTTGCTTTAATTAAAAATTTTAATATTAATATTATTATGATTATATTTATTATTATTATTATTATATATATATATATATATAATATATATTAAAGTTTTTTCTTCATTATTTTCATGCAAAAGATTAGGGATGTAAAGGATTTGGGAACCTTTTAAGAGTCGTCCCACCTCTTTGAAATTTTTTAGATCATGGTAATCACATTAATTCTATCTGCCTAATGTGAGAGTTGCATCCGTGGAGGACTTTTCAAGGAAACCTAGCTCTCATTAACGTTACAACGTAAACAAAATCCACAAAAAACGCTCGTGCAGTCATTCCCGTTCTGGAATTTGAACCTAGGTCGAACTACCAGGGTTTTGTAATCTTATCCGCTCATCCTCTACTGAACACGTATCGGCTCTCTTTTTAATTTAATCATATCCTGTTGCATAATTTTACCGTAACTGCTTCATATATACAAATTCTGTTCTTGAATTTTAAACATATATATAATATATTCGCACTTACTTCTTTTAAGTTTATTTTAACATATCCATTTTGAAGAGGATCCTTCTTTTCAAAAATTTCTGAAAATGAAAAATATGTAATTTAGGAAATTTAATATAAATCCATTTCATCGTGTAATCTAATAGGAAAAGGAACACGAAAAATATTGCATTTCAAAATGAAATTTGAAAGAACAATAAACAGATAAATACAGAAAATGTTGTATGGAAATTTGTACTAAACCGCAAAATTGCTGCTATTTTATTGCTTCTGCCCATAAAAAGAACTCGCAAGCATTTGAAAACATCCGCTACAGATAATTGAGCTTTTTATGCAAAAGTTCAGAATTTTTCTGATTAAATTTTCAAAAAATGCGTAAAGAATCATAATGGTCTGCAAAATTTTAGTGGACCATTATGTAGTACAGGAAAGAAATAAGGTGGCACAGTTAGTGGTAACGGAAAAATAAATACTCAAAGTTTTTTTTTTTTTTTTTTTGCAGACCTTATGAACTCTTGATGTGGTTGCCCACTAGAGTCTGATTCTTGTGTAAACCCACGAGGCTCAGGTCTAGGCCACAAACCATGTTTCCTTCCTATGCAAACACTGAAAGTAGACGTTACGAGTCTCATTTTGTCATAATAATTCTCTATTCATATCTTCCCACTCGCACTCCAGCATTACTTAGTCCCTGTGAATTAGTACAGTCAGTATTGACTTTAGGTGATGAAGGTTATTATAGTTGCACATAAATTAAAAATTTTGGTAATGTAAAGCGAAATATGTCACTTGTTCAACCAATATTCAGACGGTGGCACCGTATGAAAATCGAAGCCTTAGTCTGCTTGTGTCGCCTATAGTTGGAGCTGGCCTTGGCCAGAGTAATACATTGTTTAATTCCACTAAATCTAGGTACACGGTTGCCCAAACTCTTTGTCCTTTAGCCTCAGAGGTATTCGATTACGTCAAAGCACACGAGGCTATCTGTTTAAGGGAAGAGATGCCTCGTGGAGGACTTTCTAAGTGAACTGGTTAGTTCATGGTAACTGGTAATGCAGTAGTTTTTTGATTGGTGCTGTTTCAAATATGGAAAGTGAAAAGCAGCGTTTTTGGCATATTTTACTTTTCTACTATCGAAAATGTAAAAATGCTGTTCAAGGAAGAAAACAATTATCCGATGTGTATGGAAAAGGTGTATTGACAGAACATCAGTGCCCAGACTGGTTTGCAAAATTTCGATCTGGCAATTTTGATCTTGGAGAGCTCATGAAGAGCTTAAGAACAAGAGGAACCCGTATGTCGAGCTTTGAGATTACAACCTAGGCGTTTCGAATGACCATGAACTGTCGAATTCGCTAAATTTAATCTCTCATCGATATCATGAGTTGTTTTTCGCCCGGTTTGCATAAATGAATACCTTTATAAGCTTCAAGTGGCCTTCCAGAACGTGGTACATCTTCGAGATCAAAATTGCCGGATCGAAATTTTGCAAACCAGTTTTGGCACTAGCGTTCTGTCAATACACCTTCACCATACACATCGGATAATTTTTTCTAGCTTGAACGGCATTTTTACCGTTTCAATAGTAAGAAAGTAAAATATGCCGAAAATGCTGCTCTTCGCTTTGATCTTATTTGAAAGGTCACCGAACAAAAATTACTGCGTAGATTCAATCGAACTTTTTCACAAGCAAGCCTTGCTATATCAGCTGACAAAATATATAATGATTATGCGGCTTAAGCATGAAGTTTCTGTGAAAAAATATACTTGAGCCTTCTGTTGGGAAGATACGAAATTACTTTTCGAACAACCCAATATATTAAAATCCAGAGAGCAGATTGTTTCACTCAGTAAGAAAAAGTTAACGTTCAGATCATATCTACATAGTACGACTTATTTTTTACAACTTCAGTTAAAAATAACTAAGTCTGGTTTACTCGTAAAAAATAACGTTTCTTAAAATTCAATTTTAATACTAACGGATTTCATATCTTTTAACTGAAATACTAACTGTATGTTTTGTAGAAATATAAATTCATAATGACTGTATAGTTTTAAAATTTTCTTCTGATATCTTGAGTGATAATGCTACCAAAAGAACACAATACTAACAATAATATAAATCTGCAATAAAGTATATATGATTTTTTTAAGAAATATTTCCCGATTCTTGTACTGTCACAAGAATACGTTTTTCGTATTAATTTATAAAGCTCGAAGTGTGTTTGAAAAAAATTGAGCGATTGATTTTCAAACGGCCTGTTACCTTTTCCTAATTTTTATATTTTAAATTTTTACAATTCGATAAATTATCTTTTAAGAAGAGAAGAAATCTAAGAACGATGTGTCTCTAAACAATTTTCAAAACCATCGAGATAATTTCAGTAAACGAAATTTATGTTTGCTGAAGATTATATTTACTTACTGAAAGCTGTTGATAAGTGTAGAATGCATGAAACGAAATCTCCGAAACGCAGTGTACCATCCTTCCTCATATAACGGAAAGCTAATAATGAAAGCGTTTCCGTATTAACTTGGAACCCTGAAAATGTAAAATAAAAATATCAAACTCGATCGTAAACGTAAATAACTTGCAGTTGCACAGTGCACATAAGATATGAACTGGAACATTTCCATATCTAATTATCATAGAAACATTCACATGCATACACGCACACAAAACACACGCATACATATATATTATTTTCTCGCGACACACACATACATATATATATATATATATATAACGTAGGTCGCTCCAGAAGCTTCTTTTTATGATTATTTTTGGCATGAATTTAAAATTCACAAAAAGCTAATTCTTCGAGTAAGTAAGCCGTCCTTGTTTTAGGCTTTATATAATTCAACTGAACAGTTTATTTTTTAGTTCTGAACAAAAAATTGATTCATTAATTCTTGAAGTAGAATTTTTCTTTTTGATTTAATTTCGTTTATATAATTAGTTTGTTTTTATCCCTTTTTTTAGATTTTTTTAAGGTTTTTTTTCTATTATTTAGCATTTGTATATAATTTTTGGTCTAATTTGAGTACGAATGCATGTAGGGAAAAGATCTGAACATTTGAGAACTATTAGAATGTTGTTTTAAAATGAAAGATTGGTACTAAAAAGCGGTTCTGAGTCTCAAATGATTCAGAGGAACGAAACATGTATTCGGAACCCATTAATCAACTTGGTTTAAACACTTTTCCCTTGACATGTTCTGTCTGAAGCGTTAAACAGAGGAGGTAATAGAAAAAAGGTTTTTTGTTGTTGTTGTTGTTGTTATTTTTGTTATGTAAAATGTTCTTAAGTTTTAAAATGTTTCTCATTTTTCATCTTAATTTTAATTTTAAGATCCTGTTTTTTGAAAGTTTCATTTATTTACGTTTATTCAATTTGGTAATTCTTACCCAGAGAAGAAAGGTTACACCTTTATATAGAAGGAATAAAATTTTACTCATTTTCGTTTCGACATTTACTTTTTGATATATACATATATTTGTATACATGTGTGTGTGTTTGTTTATTATTTTTCCGCCTTCCAAAAATTGCTTCCAACCCGTCTAGTTTCTCCTAAATATTACAACCCTAGTCGCATTCCATTACAAAGGAACTTAGCCACTTCGTTCTCCGCTTCAATTTAGTATACATGTGAGTTTACTTGAATTCATTTCTGTCCTTTTTAACGTGTATTAATTAAGTAGATTTTAAAAGTCTGTTACCTTTTTACATATTTATTTCAGACTGTTTATTTATTCTTAAATAAATTTCTAAAATGAATAAATTAATTTTATTTCTTACGTTTATACATTGTTTTAGTTCCTTTTTATGTTTACGTAGTTTGCGAATTGTTTTGCTACGAAAAATAGCTATTGTGTCGGTGAATAATCTTGTTATGCAAAGGCCTTCAATAGATTTTACTTAAATAATTATTTAAGCTTTGTTTTTTGGCTTATACTTTGAATCAAATTGGCGAGCTGCTAAATAGCTGAATATCTATCCTCTTAGGTTTTTTTGTTAACTGGTACTTTGAATCAGTTTTGACTTAATACCTTCCTGGTTTGGTATTTTACAATTGGTTCTTGCATTTTAAGATGATGAAACACAATCGCTTCTATTATTGTTAATTGATCAGATATTGGTTTATTCCCCTTGAAAAGTCAATTAATTTTCGTTTAATAGCAATAATTGATTCATTATTTTTTTTTTCTTAAAATTTTGTCTTTTACCATTTTATTCCATTTTTTATAAATTTTCGTTTTATACCGTTTTTACCATTTTCCTAAATTTGCTTTTAATTAAAAAATTTCTTTACTTGCTCTGAGCAATACTAAACATTACATCAGCTTTAAAATTCACATTTTTATTTTTCCTTTCTATTCCTAGATAACTACCGCATCAATCCTAATAACTACAGCATCAATTTAGCAAACATATTCAAATCTACCGCATCAATTTAGCAAACATATTCAAATCTATTAAATATATATAATAGATAACATGTTCAAATAACACATTAGATATAACATGTTCAAATCAAATCACTATATATATAGTCAACAGATAAACAAGGCACAATTAAAATGCACACATTTTTTTATATTAGTAAACAATTCAATTAATTATTCGTTAAAGCAGCAATAATAAAAAATTGAAATAAATGAATAAATAATTTTAGTTCTTTCTAATCGGAAACTAAATTAAAACGCATATACTAAATCGCGTAAAGAGGATATGCAATAATAAAAGTTATCATGCTCTAAATTCGAAAGATTTTGGAATTGGAAATTTATTTTAAAATTTTGAGAATTAAATTTAAGAGTATTTTTGTTTTTTTATTTATTAAATAAAGGAAGGCTTAGCTAGGCTCGGATGTCCTCTTGATGAAGAAATAAGCCAAATCAGTCTTTATTTATTTAATATAATTTTTCTAATTCTCACTTTTCTGTATCTTAAATTTTAAAATGTAAAATTTATTTCGAATCCCAAACTTTTTCGATGTATATCTTCTTTGCATGATTTATTAAGAGTATCATAATCCAGTTTTTTATTGGAAAGTACTAAATAATTATTTTAATATATATATATATATATATATGTAATGAAAGCAAATTTTAGAAATCCTGATGCAGGAACACGGAAATGTAGAAAGGCAGGAATACCGATTGCCAAGCATTCAGAGAATGCAATAGGTCCATACTGAAGAGGAAGAATTTTGATTGAATAGTATGCTGAAATGTTGAATCCGTAGTGATTAGGAAACTTGGCAGCCGAATAACAATAAATTATATTTTTATTTAAATTGACATTTGTGGACACAATTCAACTTTTCACTCTAACCGTGCCTATTTCCAGAACATGTACGTTTCTGATACTTTTGCGATAGGATGCGAGCCCAACGAAACTGCATCCAAGCAGTACACAGGGAGAAGCTAAAAATGGGTATTTATGAAATATGACGGATCTGTTAAGAGAAAGGTTTTGCTCTAAGTTAGAAAGGTTTCAGTTCCCAGAGTTTAGGTTCTGAAATAACTACGTCATCAGCCTTATGCAAGCTCTGGCATAGATGAATCTAGAAATCAGGGCTTAATTTCTAAAATTAAAAGTGCCGGAGCCCTATGGAAGACTGTGAGGGAGGAAAGAAAAAATACAATAAAATAGCTAAAAATTAATATAAATAAATAATAAATTTAAAATAAGATTAATATTAATTTATTTAATTAATGGTAAATAACTATAGTGAATTTTAAAGAGTGCATTTATTCTATTGTGGTTTATGCGCTATCGACGAAGTAGATTTAATTCAATTCAATAAGTTTAAATGAGATATAGGAAAGAATGCCTATAATTTAATATTTCGTACAAGGAAGTCATGTGGTGTTCACATTAGACTTTTTTAAAATGGAACAGCGAACTGAAATATGAAAAATATTTTTACTTATTGGATAACTCACATATACCCTCTGATATCTTTCTGAAAAATATTAGTGTCTGCTATTGAAGATACAACTTTCAATATTCACATTTTAGGGTATTAACCCTTTGCGGCACAGTGTGTCCGGTCTGGACACACCTAACAATTTCTTTCTATACGCACAGAAAAATTGAATGAAAAAGGATTTATAGGTTACTATACGTTACTCTGAACCTTCTTTATTTATAGTAGATGGCAGCTCAACGCAAACTAGTCCATATATTTTAGCCATGTTTAGTTTTTTAAGACCCTCATTTTTCAAAGAAATTATTCCAGATTTTTTTTAGGGTATAAAAGGAATTGTTTGAAAAGAAATCTCTATGCTATTTTTTGGATCTATGCTAATCTCCTTATTCTATATTAGTTTTAAATTTTTACCTTGAAATCTTGCCTGAAATCAAACGGCGAACCCTAGGTGTGCCCAGACCGGGTTCACCGATAATCTAGGACAACTGAGAGTCTGTATTCTTTGTTTTTCCGCATCTCATCAGTCAGTTCATTGACAACAATGCTCGTTTCAGCACTCTTTTCAAAGCTCTGTTCAATCAGTGTGCCACACTGGGCACACCCACAGAATTAAAACGATAAGTGTTATCTTCACAAAATTTTATTTTGTGAAGATAACACTTAACAGATAATTTATTTGTGTACACCTCTAAGCCTGATTAGACTGCCTACCTTTTTTTTAAAAAAAAATCAAAACACCGACTTTAAAAGGTTGCGTGCCGGTAAGGGTTAAATGTGTTTTCGTAGGTTACTATAGAAAATATGTTCAGAAAATGCTGAGCAGAATTGAACGTTGTGAAAACGATAAGCAAGCCGATGTTTCTCCTAGAGGCCATGCATACTGTAGTCAAGGTAGGTAGTTAATCTATTAAAATCAGTTAAAATACGTTTTCGAAAATGCGATTTTAAAGTAGAAAAAAGTCTCAGAGGATTTGCATATTTAAGACTTCAGTTGGTAAGTATGAATTTTAGAATATGTGCCGATTTACAACAGTATTGAGACAATTTACAAACTAATTATGACATTATTCAAAGAATTACAGATTGGTTTCGTTTGGTTTACGTGATTACAGCAAAACCGTAAGGGCTATCTGCCTAAGGGAGGGATGCCTTCGTGGGGAACCTTTTTAAGCCAAATTGGCTCTATACACGTTATACATGAGGACAACACGAAAAAGCTCATGCGGCCAGCCGGTTCACAGTATTCGAACCGCGAAACAACTACCAGTGTTCTGCGACTTTATCGCTGGACCGCTGGTAGGCCCAAAGAATTTCAAAAAATGAAATCGAAAATGATACAGAAAAAATTGACATACCAATATCAATCGGATCTAGGAAAACACTAGAAATTCTAAGAAACACTTTTGAATTGAAAGGTATTTTTCAAATAAGCTACCAATAAATTTTACGAAATTGCGAATGCAGTTGAGAAATTGTTGTTCAACAATATGAAACAAACACAGATAGAATAGTTGTGAGTAAGAGATGAAATTTCATCAAGAACGTAATTATAAATATACTTTTATAAAAAAAATTAATTTCAAAGTTTCATACATAGTTTAATTTTAGCGTTAATTTTTAATTATTATTTTAAGATTAATTATTAAAACAGTTGATAGTTACTATTTTACTTGAAAAATTTTAAAATATCACGATTTACAATATACAAATCGTCTCAGCCGTTTAATGTACTCAAATATGTTTGGAATGGAAGCGATTTTAATAAGTAATGGATACTATACAGTTAAAAATTAATTTTAAACTGTTAAAAATATAGCAGATACGACTTACCTGCAAAGCGTATTAACCCGCTATTGTATATCCAAAATAAATAGTGATATATAAATATACAGGCGTGTATTATTATAATCATTTATGTAGATTATATACAGAGTACATATGTATATGAATTATGTATTTAAAAAATAAAACATTCTAAAAAAGTTTAAAAAAAGTATTAAGCGAACTACTTACCGACATCTAATAATGCATCTTTTAATTTCTCTGCTCTAAGAATACTGGCTGTGCTTTTTGTATGATTTCTAAATATAATCTATTGGGAGAAAACAATTAAGAACATGGTTTTCAAAGTATGTAGCTTATTTACACAAGTATCACTTGAATAACCAGCCTTGGAGTCTTTGAATAAATTTATTACAATATATTTCACTTTCTTTAACAGCTACTGAAAACTGAATTTGAAGAGTTTTCAGATTCTTGAAACTGGAAGCAAGTAAAAAATAATTCCAAGTCAAAATTTTATCTGAATTCGGTTCTTTTTAAATATTTAGCAGTATCATTTATTGTATGCATAGGGCATGCAAAAAAGCTGGCAAAAATATTTATTTATTTAAGCATTACTGTTAGATACACACTTCATCAAAAATGCAAAATGTAACAAAATTACTCTTGATTATGTGAGGAAGAAAGTTTCCTTAAAAGTAATTTCTAACTTTCATATATTAGATTAAAAAATTCCACTTACAATCTATTAACCTTGATTCAGTTTAAAGTAAACAATTTTATATTTTTTCAAATTACTCTGTCTACAAAAGTCCTTACCAGGCCATCATTTTTGCCACTGTTGGTCGTAAGACATTTAATTTACAAATTTACAAAAATGTTTACAAAATTGTTAAAAATTGTCAATTTACAAAAATGTTTTAAATGACTTATTTTGTCACGTCAAAATTAATTTACATTAATGGCCAAATTGAAAGAGCTGAATTCAAATGAGAGCTTTGCATAAACTTACTGAGCTTATGATTCCACATCTCTTTGATATTATTGATTCTATGCTTTTTTACTTCTTTGTACCAAGTAAAACGGAAGTACTGTAATCTCGAAAAGTTTCAGGCAGCATATTTCAACGAAAAATATCCATTTTGACCGCTATCGAATGCAATTTAACGATGGTATTGCGTGATATCTGTACCTAAGGACAGAATAAAGACTTTTCCTCCAAAAAAATTATAAAACTGCTTTAAAATGAATTCTGAAGAGAATTTTTCCTGGCGTCTGCACGAACGTATGTACGTACGTACGTACGTATCTCGCATAACTCAAAAACGAGTAGCCTTAGAACGTTGAAATTTTTGTATATAGGACTGCTATAACATGTAGATGTGCACCTCGTATTTTGGTTGCAATCGGCCGCACTAAACGTCCTGCTTAGTGATCTCAGTTTCTTTACTCTTATATGTTTGTAAATAGTACATTTTTTACTTTAAAAATGATTGAATTATGTTGTTCTTATCTTCCGGTTAAGGTTTTTATGCCTTTAGTAAATCTGTAGGCAATATTTTTAGAATTATCAACAATTTTAAAGTTCTTTAAATGCCAAGCCTAATAATTTTCTGATGGCGGCCATTTCTTGTTTACATTTGAAACAGCAGGATAGTGGATTTGTTGCCAATCTAGAGAAACTTAGCTTCGCAACAACAAAGATAACGCCTTCATTTATTATTGCGAATTAAATCATGCTTAATCCTGTCTGGAATTTTTTCGAGAAAATAAGAGTTTAAGATTTACTTCGTAATTTTTAATACAGATATTTTGAGTTTTTATGTATTTTTGCCTTGTCGCGAAGTGAGAACTGAATTAATTGAATGAGAAATACTCAATCGTCTGTGAAAAACTGTTTCTTTTTTGTTTTGTTTGCTTAATTTCTTTTATATAGATCATTCTAGCTTTATTATAGTATTTGAATAGAACATGTGGCAACGATTAGATAATTCTATTCTTTAAATGATATAAATTTTGTGCATTATGAGTTATAATATGAACGAAATATATAATACTGTTAAGTGAATCTAGTGCCAGAATGTCGCTATGGTAATCAAATACTAGAGTGAATTTTAAAGAATGCATTTATTCTATTGTGGTTTATGCGCTGTCAGCGAAGTAGATTTAATTCAATCCAATAAGTTTAAATGAAATGCAAGAAAAAATGCGTATAATTTAGCATTCCGTACAAGGAAGTCATGTGGTGTATACATCAGATTTTTTTACTGCAATTTCACACTTCCGGGAGTAGATTTCTGTTATCTAATCATTGACTGGGTAAAATACTAACGAATTCTCTGAATTTAAATTCATTTGGACACGAAGCAAGGAAACTCTATGCAGCCAGTTTATTCGTTAGAATAAGAATCCATGTCAAATTACTAGTGTTCAGCAGTTTTACCATTAGGCCTCTTGTGAGCCGAGTTGCTAAGGAAAATGTGCTAATGTTGTGCATATGCTAATATTTAATCAGATTTCTTCCCGTTTCTTGATGCGTTCTTGACGCGATTTTTGTTAAACTAATGTCTTAGGGGCGTCCCCAAAATGCTAAATTGCTTGTGTAAAACTGGAAGTTGCAGTCCTTGCTAGTTGAATTTAGAAATCAGCATGTTATATGGTCTTAATTCTCATTATTCAAAATTCATTATAATGCGTTTGAATTCCAACCAATGCTGTTATTTAAATCTTGAAAGATTTGTGAAGCTCTTCCTTTCTATCGGCCCATCAGAACGAGTGGTATAGCCACTATTTTATGACTACCCGCAAAGACATCAATTTCGCGTGCAAAGAATGCAACTTGCAGTTCCTTTAAATGTCCCATTCATAAAATAATTTCTCTTCTTTCTTTCCAAACTTGAATTTCTCTTTCTGCACTAAATATTATTAGAGTTCTGCGTATGTCTTGGTTATCGTACAAAAGAAATATTCTTAAATCGGTAGGAATAATTAAGTCATCAGTACTACTTGGTTTCAGTGCGAAATCTGGAACCTTTCACCGTATTCCATAATAAGATGACAAAATTTTGGGATGATGGCACACTCATGTGCAAATTTAAGAAAATTTGCGCTTTATACCCGAAGTTCTTAAAAACATGTAAGGTATTACTCCCGCCCTCTTAGCCTGCCTTCGAGGTGTAATGGTCAGCACACTCAGCGCGTATTCGAGAGGTCTGTGATTCGAGTCCCGGCAAGGGCATTGCTCATTTTTCACATCTCCTTCTTCCAAAATACCTAATATCCCTACAGTGGCGCTAGAACTAAAAACAAATGTGATGGATGATAATTCTCCACCATCAGAATTTGACGATTGGATCCCCTAATCCCCCAGTCGCCCTTTCAAAGGTATTACTCCCGCCTTTTTAGCATGCCTTCGTGGTGTAAAAGTCAGCACGCTCGGCGCGTATTCGAGAAGTCCGAGTCCCGGCAAAGGAATTGCTCATTTTTCATCTCTCCTGGTTTAAAAAATGCCTAATGTCTCTACAAACTAATGGACAGATTTTTGTGAAATTTGGTATGAATATACATTTATAACAGAGAAAGAGATGTACCATTCAAAAGTCATTTTCTGTACGCATTTTTATCAATAAAACTGTGATATCCATCTGAAAATGAGCGTAATATGGGATATGGTTGCCTCTAACAGCCAGACAGGTAGCGTAACAGGACGGCATACTGGACAGAAATCGCCGAAAATCCCTCGTGCGCCTGTATTTCCACCACCATCACAGCTCTGTAGACCAGATCTAGACATGTAGGCTTACGTATTCAATTCGGAATATTTCAGGAACGTTCCATAACGGTTCAGGTAGGTTCAGAACGTTCGTAAAAATAAACATAATTTGCATATTCTCTTAATTTTGCATACGAGTATACATGGACTGTAAAATCACAACCTCTGTAAAATGGCCCACCATTAAAAATTTTTGGTATCGCGACATCTTCTCTAAACCATTTCCATCGGCTGCGTTAGATGTATAAATGTGTTCTATAATTTTCAAAATTGCTTAGTTTTGGCTATCCATTCAACCTTTTACATCTTTCAGGTTTATTTGTATTACACTTCCAACCAGTTCTTCAAAATTTGCAGGAATACCAAATTGCCAATATCAATAAAGTTGTGACTGTACATAGTTACCCTTCCGATGTTGCAAAATGGGTGACATACAGTTCACATATATATCTTTAAAAAGTGCTAGAAATACTAAAAAATCATGAACACTTCAAAAAGCAGCCATCAAAGCAGTAAGGCACAACCTTAAAAAATTGTGTGAGTAATCATAGGTTGATTGACTGTTTCTGAATGGCTGTGTAAAAATGTCACTTGTTCTTAACTGGTTAGCACCATTAGAAAATTTCATGTATTTTCACCTTAAGAGTGCAAAAATTTCACTTGTGTGAAATATCTTGTTCGAAAATGTCACGTCACTTTAAAACTAAATGGAGGAAATGAATTCAGACAAATAAATTGCAGTAAATATTATAGTAAGCAGGCATTTTTTTTTTTTTTTTTTTTTTTTTTTTTTTTTTTTTCAGGAAAAAAATTTTGCTTCAGTTCTTTTATTATAAGCAATATTTTTACTATGCCTTGCCTCATCTTTTCATTCACATCAAAAATATATTTTAAAATCGACTTACCTGCCAGTGTTTTAAACTGCACATTAAGTTCTTGTAATCTGAAAACTTTAAACGCCCATTTCCTGTTGTCTGTATTCCGTTAAGTACTTTACGACAGTTTTGGAATAGTAGATTTCCATTAATACATAAATAGTGATAAGTTACAGCTCAATAAAGAAATTGAAAATATGAAAAGAAAAATATATGACAGAGAGGTATTGAGAACATTTTCGAATATAGGGTGGTTCCCCGATATATGAAATCCTAGCGGCCTGTCAGCTCAACCAATCGAAATGAAATTTCATATACTTAGCTTAAGGTATACGCTCGAGATTTGTAATGATTTAAAATTATAGAGATCTCACGGTTACAGTTACAGTGAAAAAATTCCAAAATTTTCGAAAAGGCGAAAGGCAACACCGACTTTCTGAATATTACGGACGTAAAACTTTTGCAAAGAAGAGCATTGCAAAGGATCATTGACAACACAAGAGAGGACAGGGAAAAAAGCTTTTTTTGAAATTACAAGTTTTCCATGAAACGTTTAGAGCGTTTCAAGACAGACGCATCTTCCATAACTTTGGAGTTTGGACGAAACCTCGATCCGCCGACCTCATTCCGATAGATTTCTGGTTCTGGGGTTACCTGAAATCTAAGGTATAAACACATCAGATCCCCGAGATTTGTTAGAACTGAAAGATACCATAAAATGTAAGAATGTAAAGTTAAACAGATTCCTCCTGCGATGTTACGTTCATCATTGTTATCAACAATCTTCCTCATGCATTGTGTCTTGAGCGAAGGTGGGCATGTTGAAAATCTGAATTCCAATAAAAGTTTTTTTTCTCTCTTCTGTTGTCTTATCATTGTTCCTTTACAATTTTGTTCTTTGCAAATGTTTTATGTTGGCAGTTTTCGTCATACATGTATCGTTCCAACGCCATTTATGGTTTTTGAAGGCGCTGATTAATTTGCGCTGGAAAAAAGTGGGTGTTGCCATTTGAAAATTTTGCAACTTTTTTCACTGTAATTGAAATCGCGATATCTGTTGTTTTAAATCATCCCAATTTCAAGTTCATACCTTCAAATAGCAATACTTAAAATTTTATTTCTATTGGTTGAGCGGATAGCCGCTAAGGGTTCCGCTCAACCAATAGAAATGAAGTTTCTATTGCTGCTAAGGAAAGTTTTTTTATGACCACCCTGTACATTTGAAAACAATGTTTATCAATTCTTTCTCATTTTCATACTTTTCCTACATTGACAAATAAAAAACAAGCGACAGCACTTTAGTCCAAGGCAAGATAGTGTAAACGCATTCAATGAAATTTTTTGCACTTAACCGAAAATTCTGGAAAATAATTTTAAAAGAATAAAGGATATTTAAAATTATGTATAATTTTTAAAAGCCACTCATCTCTTATCTTCTTAAAAGATACACATGAATATTAAGAAAGATCATGTAACATGTGAGTATCATCTTTTTATATAATATAATTTCTATACTACATAAAATAGTAATTATAGTAAGTTTTATAATTAAAAATTAATGAAATAGAATATCAAGCGAACGTTTAGGGAAAGTACCTGAGTATATTAATAATAGAAGGAGCTAGTTTGTTTTTTAAAATTTCTTTTTGACAAAAGGAGGAGAACTGTAGGGCGTTTAGTTTAGTGACGGAGGACGTGGGCACCATCCCTTTACCGTTATGGTTAAAATTGGTAATAGCACCACGCCCACCTTTATCCAGAGACTAGTGGGACTACAGATCATACATTAAAGTACTTACGATATCGTACTATAAATAAACCATACAATATCCTACATATGCATGATATAGTATATATTCAAACAGGATTATTAAAACATAATGCTGGTAAGTATACCGTTAAAATGCAAAAGGTTAAATGCAAAAGTTAAAATGCAAAATACTAAGTATCAATTAAGTTACATGATTAAATAATATTAAATTATTCATACATAAAAACCTTCAAAAAATAATGCGCTATATGTATATATCGCATTCTATATATATAGAGAGAGAGAATATGTATATATAGAATGTGCCATACAAAATAATACACATACACTTATACCAGTCAATATTTTACAAGTAATTATTTTGCATATAATATTTTGCGTATTAGGAGCAGAATGTGAAATATAGGATCATACAAATACAGGATCAAGTCGTGAGAATCATTGAAAAGTACATACTTAATGTGCTTTACAAATTCAGACATTATGTGCCATAAGTATCATTCATACAAACGTAAGCATTCTGGAACAACAAAAACCAATAATGGTGTACCCTCATGTTTGCTATAATACGCTACACTGGTACAGTAATTTCTTATGAAATATTTTACTTTTACATTTCAGAAACGCAAAATTTGACAGAATTTATACTGAGTGACTATTGAACGGCTACATTAAGACTGTGGTAAACTAATAAGCAAAGTAAACATATTGTTTTTCATGGGTGGTGCATAAGATACAGCACAATGATCATTTCATTAGATCAGTCCGTTATAAGACTATCACTAAAATCTATAAATGTAGCATTAAACCACGAAGATTTTGTATTTTCCAGAGTTTCCCACGAAGATTATGTACTTTGCATCAATACATTATGCCTATGAATGCTAAACCTGGCACAGTCTCGCATGCTAGAGATAAAAAGCTTTTTTGCTCGAACAGTGTGCCACTGCTCGCTTTGAAATCAATGAGTTTATTAATCAGAAATTCATTAAAATGTTACAAAATATGAAACAGATAATAAATTCAAAATACAAATTTCGGGCGTCCAGGTGCCCATGTTCGGGTGGAGGATTACGTTATTAAAAATTGATGACTTTAGGTACCGCCGCTGCTTTTGAACAGTGTGAGAAGCATACATATATTCATGCAGATTCTTCATTATTTAATTTCTTTAAATATAATACAGGGTGATAATATTTGGTGGCTACGATTTAAAAAGAGATTCGCCGTTTATAGTGAAATGCCACAAAATGCCGTTTTGAGACTAATAACCTTTCTCGGTTAACGCTTCTTTGGGCTAAGAATTTAGGTATTAATAGCAAAAAAAAAAATTAATAAAAAGAACATAGTGCTTAATACTAAAATGAAGAAAAGCAGTAAATTAAAAAAGAAAATTATGTGCTTTATCGTATAATTCTGTAGCTATATTAAATTACAAATTTTCCTGCAACCCTAAAAATATCGATAGCTTCTCTTTTTTTTTTTTTTTTCAGCTAAATTATCTTTCGTTTCAGTAAGTTTTAATTAACTCTTCTTTATTTTATATAGTTTTCACGTTTTCTTATTTATTAAGTTATTTTGCTTGCAAGATTAAATTCACTTTTAACATGATTGTAAAAAGGATACATCCAACGCTAGCACAATCTGTCTGCACACCTCTAATGTGGCACAGCTTTTTACGTAATCTGAAAACAAAATTACAGAAAAAAATATAAATACTATAAAAATAGGTATTGTAGAAAATGATCATAAAAAGAAGTTTCTTCTTTTTTTTCTTAAATAAATCCTTAAAATATATTAAAAGAAGAACGCTGAATATTAACCTTACCATTTGGCAAACAGACTTCTAAGACATCCTGTAACTCGAAGGCATTGAGTGTCTTATGCTGAAAAGAATTTTCAATAAAATAAAATTTAGAAGTTTCTCCCATTTTCTATAATCTATTATTACAACTTCGTAATCTGCATTTACTTTCACAATGTTTCTTTTCTATAATAATACTTATTTTAAATTTGAATGTTTAAAACATATTTACATAAAAATGTTTCTAAGTTCTGAATTAAGTTTAAAATCATGTATTCAGTGGCACCTTGCACAATGTATGTTCTGCATAACAAACGAGTTTAAATTACACTGGTGTGCAAAAATTAAGGACGAGACGGTTTTTTTCAATATAACTTTGTACACAAAAGCTTTTTAAATCAACACATTTAATATCGTAAGATCCCCAATACGTAAGGACATGAGTAATGTAAGCAACTCTTACTAAAAGAGAAATCAGAGGGATAAAAAGAAGCTTTATTGAAAAGTAGCATGGAGCGCAATGCGACTGAAGGCCGAAACATCCCTGTGATGGGTGTCCAGCAAGAAACATCCGGTCTTTAATAGGGGATAAGATCTTCCCTGACTGCTAGGCAGGTTTCACAGCGTCTGCCCATGCTGAGAATGAGGGTGTCAATGAGTTGTTAAGGCATTGCTGCCCATTCGTCTTGCAGCGCCAATCGAAGCTCCGGAATCGTTACTGGTGGTAAGGTACGAGCTGCCAAGCGTCTGCCTAGAAAATCCCATACATGCTCGATGGGATTGAGATCCGGAGATCGTGCCGGCCAATCCATACGTTCAATATCCTCACTCTCTAAGAGCTGTGCGATGACACGGTGCATTGTCGCACCATGTCATAAGAGCTGTGCGATGACTGGTGCATTGTCAAGCACCATGTGCGATGACATGGTGCATTGTCATCCATGAAAAGGAACTGCGGACCCATAGCGCCTCTAAAAAGACGCACATATGGAAGAAGAATGTCGTTACAATAACGGGTCCCGTTGACTGAACCTGCGTCGAAGATGTGAAGGTCTGTACGACTACCAAGCATGATGCCTCCCGAAACGAGAACACCGCCACCTCCATACCTGTCCCTTTCAATGATGTTCGAGGGATGATTGCGGCTTCCCCGCTCTCTCCAGATGAGTATGCGATGAGAATCGCTACTCAGACTGAATCTGCTCTCATCTGTAAAGAGTACTCGTCCCCATTCATTGTCTCTCCAAATTCGGTGTTCCCGGCACCCCAGAGAACCTTCTCCCATGGGCAGGCGTTAGAGGTACACACCGTACAGGGCGTCGTGCAAACAGACCACCACCGTGCAGTCTTCTGGCCACAGTAAAACGCAATATCGGTCGTCCAGTCGCCTGTGTCGTGTGTCTAGCGATTTCTCCCGCTGTCTGCCGCCTGTTTCTTCTGGCCTGTAAGGCAATATACCGGTCATCTGCGGGTGTGGTTGGTTCCTCGTGGACGACCACTACTAAACCCCCGGATAGCTGTTCCTGTAGTTTGAAATTGTCTCCAAAGTCGTGAAACGATGCTGTGAGCAATTCCGAACTCTGCAGCCACACTTGTCACACTGCGGCCTTCCTCCAACTTCCCAATGATTCGACCTCGGGTAAAAGCATCCAGATGTCGTCTAACAGATTGATTATTCGCCATTTCTCGCTGAGGCAGCAACTCGGTGTGCCTCGCTGAGGCAGCAACTGCTATACGGCGTACAATCTCTTTGCCAGAAATACTGATCTTACACCGACAACATGCTTTATACTACTCAGATATGTGCATGTGCTACCGCATAGCTTACTTAATCTCCTGATTGGTCTTTCTGTCCGCTCTGCTTCTTCGTTCAGCTGATATGCTAATTTTTCGACTTCGTCCTTAATTTTTGCACACCAGTGTAGTTTAGTTTACGAGTATGCTGCAACTCTCTTGGCCGATAATAATTGGCCTCATTGTTACGTTGTTTACGTCGCACACCCGACGCAAACAAACAAACAAAAAAAAGTTAAAAGATTAAAATACAGATTAACACAGATTGTGTATCTTTAAAAATACACTTACACAATACAAAATAAAGAAAATCATAAGCTTAATCGGTTAGAAAACAAAAAATAGTAAGAAGACACATAACTCACTCACCCAACACATAAACTCGTAAACTAAAGAAAAACCAAAATATTTAATGTCCTATTGCTATGATAGTCTTGTTTTCATTCACAATCCTCATAATTTCTGTTGCATAGCTATTCAAAAATTTTCTTTTTTCAATTACATTCTGTTAATTTATTTTTCCAAATCTCGTCCTCACACTCTCGGTCAGTTTACATTCTTCCATAAAATGAGCTGCATTTCCGTACTTCCCGCAAGCCAAGCATTGATCATTGCCCTGGAGATTAAAACATTTTAAATAGGCTGGGAATCTACCATGATCCGTGATAACTTGAATAGTATCTATATTATTAAATAGATCTATTTTTCTTTTTATGGTCAAAATCCTCAAGTAACCTTTATTTGAACCGTTCCATTCCCGAGCCCATTTCTCAATTATACTTGCTTTCATTTTTCTCAAGGTAATTCTTCTGGAATCATTAATAGCGTTATAAATATCACCTTCTCCCAGGGCAGCCTCTTTAGCTAGCATATCCGCCCTCTCATTCCCGATAACACCAATGTGTGCCTTGACCCAATGAAAATATATACCAGTTGTTTTCTCTTTTATTTTGTTATAAATGTTTTTTATATTCAAAATAAGTCTATTGCTTGGTTCCGGATTTGCCAAGCCTTGTAGGGCCGAGAGAGCATCAGAATAAATATGCATTGTAAAGTACTGTTTTAAGTTTTTATAACTCCACTGCAGTGCCTCTCTAATTGCAACCGCTTCAGATTGATACACTGATTTATTTCCTTCTAATCGTATTTTTCTATTATAGATTTCGACTCCGTAATAAAAAACAACAAAAGTGCAACCAGTTCCACCTTCATATCCGGAGCCATCAGTGTATATATCAATCATGCCAGTATTCATATAATCTTTATCGTACGTACCCTTGAAATCTTTTGGATGTATATTAATAAAATCTTTTCCTCTCAAGGCGATACCATTTAAAACATCCCCATTTTCACATGTTAAAATCTTTTTAAAACCATAGCTGAGTAAACATTTTTCATAATAAAAGTTATAAAAAATTGAGAGTGGCGGAATGCCAGCAAGTAAGTAAATAACTTCTGTAGAAACAATACGGAAAGCTCTTGTGATTGCAAGCAGCCAGCTCCTTTGCAATGAATCCAGTTTAGTTCTCAGTCTAATCAATTTCCCTGCCCGGCAGCCCCACATGCCAATACCATATAAAATTTTTGGCCTAATAACATTTAAATAAATATCTCTAAGGTTGGTGCTTTTTAACTTTAAAGTTTATGAATCAAAGGTACTTCTATAATGTTTTAAAATTTTCTCTATATCTCTGTGAATCGCCTTAAAATGTTCAATAAAAATTAGCTTTTCATCAATAATCACTCCAAGATATTTAAAAGTGACCAAATTTTAAAATTTCAACTTTGGTTTTCTAGTAGCCTTACCACCCCTAGGAAGAAATGGCATTTTATTTTTTTCATAGGAAATTAAATTTTTTTTCTTCTAAACTCTATATTTTATTTCTTCTACTCCAGTTCATAAAATTTTCCTCTAAACTCTTAAAAGTTTTTTCGAGTTTCTCTAAAGAGTCATCATAGACAATAGCCAAACTATCTGCAAAGCAGAATAATTCAAAACCAGTCATGTTAATAAAAATTTTATTGACAATGAGGCTCCAGAACAGGGGTACTATAACAGATGAGTATAAATTCAGAAAATATCACGCATGAGTATCGAATCCCATATTACGAACCACGAGCGTGACGAAACTGGGTTTTGGAAAAAGATGCCGAAAATAATCCATGTAACAAGAAACGAAAATTCTTCTGTGAAAAGTAGAGTAACATTCGTCTTTGCGGCTAATTAAAAAGATTTAAAATTGAAATATCTACTAGTTTGTCACTCAGAGAATCTCACAACTTATAAAAAGTGAATGTTATTAAAAGCTGCCCGTCCTTTATAAATCGAACCAGAAACCTTGAATTAAAAAATGAATTTTAAAAGAGTAGATATTGTATTCTAGCTCAGAATATCTATCAGTCATTCTTATTCAGAAATATCTCATAAAGAAAGGTTTGCCATAAAAGATTATTTTGTTGCTTGACGATGCGCCTAACCATCTAAAAGATTTGAATGAGAAGTTAAAGATGTAATATGACTTTTACTTGCTTTCCAACAAAACTCCTTTGCTTCAATCGATGAATCAACAAATAATTGCCATCAATTAATTCCCTTCATGGAGGAAATTATTTCTATAGCGTTCGAGGTAGTAATAGGATGGAAGGAACTTCTAGAAGAATATGTAAATGAGCTCAACACTAAAAAACAAAGGTTCCTTTTAATAGGAACATGAGGAACCTAAGGGGGGGAAGAGTCTTTTGTGGGAAAAACAAGAAGGACACAAACAAGGGGATGAATGCTTGCTCTGCAGAACCAGTTGCCATAACCTTGGGCTGGGTTCCAATTCTCGAGATGACATGGATGTTTCTAAGAGTATTGAGTCCTCCCGGCATGAAGCTATTGTATCGATCCGAAAGTTATATCGAGTACTTTGTAGTAAGAGACCATGGAGGTAGGAAGTAAGATGGAGTCGCCCTAAACAAGTTTCTCCCGTACCCTGCTCTGAAGCACCGGCGATCCCTACGTGGTGATCAAAACATTGGGTCATTTACCATTGAGTTCAATGGGATTTGACGCGTTAGGATGTAAATATTTTGTAATTACGTCGTAAATATACATATAAATGTATCAACATATTTTTAAACAACATTTCATTCTGAACGGAATTAAATGCTATACTTTTCACAGGACAGTTTTCTCAGAATGGTTTAATTTGAATGAAATATTTTCTCAAGTTTTCGTTAATTACATTAGAAAAAAAATTAAGGTAATTCGATTTTATTCGGTTAAGGTACAAAAATTAAGATCAAAGTTTATTGTATTATTAATATTAAAATTACGCATTATTTCTTTTCTATTTATAGAGCTTCTTCCTAAAATACTTTCTTAAATATGACATGATTTTTTGGCTTCTGAGGCATCTTTTAAATCGAAAAATGTAAGTCAATTTATAATTAATCCTCTATTCGGTTCATTTTCAATTAGAGAATTATTAGGAATTAGCGAAATACTTTAAATAGTACTTAACTTTTTCTGAACATTTCTGAAAGGGGATAAAATAAGGATTTTTTTAAAGTATTATTGAAAACTTGTAACTGAGTTATTATAAAATGTAAGGGAAATAATTCTTTTAATTATACTTATCAGATTTTTTTTACCCTTCATTTCAACAATACATATTCCAAAACTCTTTATTACGTTCTTGAGCGCGCATCTCATAGCATTTGCTTTACAATACCTTTTAACAGATTGCTTTCCAATACGAACAATTCTTGCTTAAGTAGTTTTATAACGCATTTGTCAACAGGATTTTAATTTATGTTAACAATTCAATATTAAGGTTATTATATATTTAGATAACATTTATAATCATTATAAATTAGATACATTTAATAATTAGATTTCTTCACAGTACTTTCACTGTTGTTTATAAGTGAATAAATTCTTCATTTCAAATACATTTATAAATAATTTAATGACCTGCGTACGTTAAGAAGCCAGCATAAAACTCGAATTTCCGAGAAAAAAAGACTTGCGTGGGAAACATTTAACAATCTGGAATCAATAAGAGGACCATTCATGATCGGACCTCCTTTGGCAGGATATACAAATGTTTTCACCTCCGTCGATTACCCTATTTTAAAATTCTTAATACGCTGTCTTGATGATGAAGCACGTTCGCATGGTCACATCATCTTGACCGAACGTGGTACTTCCTCCAAATTCGCAAATGTATCCCTCTTCTGTTCCACACATTTGTGTAAAACTGTACTTAATTTTACACAAATGTGTGGTTCCAAATGAAGAGAAAGCTAACTTATTGGCATATCTGTGTGTGTATTTATTAATTTTGACGAGGATTGCAGCATTTGATGGTAATTTTATTTTTAATTAACCCAAATAAGTAAAACGTGTAAGCCCAAAGTGATTATTTTTCAGATATATAAAATTAAAACGATGAGTTTAAAATGGGCAGCAGTAAAGCCTCTCCTCTAAAAAAATTTTAAAAGATACATGTTTAAATAATATATGGATGTGAAAAAAAATTTGTTTTATTTAAAAACATTTTGGCGTTTGGGAAAATAAAATAAAAGTAGCGAATACTCTATAAAGGGTATCGAAAGAGGTATACAATTTTAAATGTACCGTATGGTATTTTTCATTCTTTAAGCATAACATTTTTCTTAAAATCTATATTTTTGTAGTTCAACAGCTTAGAATTTTATAAAAGAAATTCATAATCAAAATCGCTGTTGTTAATTATCGAAAAATAACAAAGATGTGATTTTTGCGTAAATGTCACTAAACTACACAAATTGCTATTATCCATCACACTATGAATGTTTTTTTCATGCGAAAGTGTCCCTTTTTCGATTTGTATGGAACTGTCGTGTGTCGAAATACTATCAGAACCCTGTCAAGGGAGCTTCTGAATGTAAACAAAGAACACCCCATCTGGTGACCCAAGCTTCAAAGCAGTGCTTAACTTCTAGGGCTCCTCCTTCCTTTTCTACCTCCATGTAAGAGACTCTCGGATTCGTTTCCTGGGGGGACTGATTATCAAACCTGTGCTTGTGATCTATAATGCGTCCAAGGCTCTGGTCTTAATTTCTTGGCCATGATTAATACATGGACCTGATTGCAGTTCTCCCGGATAAGGAGGATAAGAAACAACAAAGCAGAAATCTTCGAAATAACTGGGAAGAGACTTAGGCCACAGGTAATCAATGGCATTCTAAGCAAGCTGGGGTGAAAAGAGTGGCAGATCTACCCAATGAAAATACAATGCAGTAATATATCAAGATCACCCTGAAGAAACAGAAGTAAACTGCTTCAGACAACCTCTTTTTAAACCTGTACTAACCAAGAAATCAATAAAGGCCGATATGCAAGGTCACGGACAGCCCTGAGTTTTTCACTGAAAATGAAAAACTCAAACTGATCAGAATGAAAATCCATGAGATTGCTCATGTATACAGTGTATGTAAATATTTTCACAGAAAGGCGAAATAAAAAAAAAAAAAAAAAAAAAAAAAATTGCATATATGTGTTAAAACATGCAAGTACTTTTTGTAACTAATAAATAAACTCCTTCATAATGTTGCTGAATAAGCTTTTTACTATTTCATATTATTCTCAATTCTTATTAATATTATAGAGACAGCGTCTTTCATAGCCATCGAATCGCTCGCACAAATAACGCTATTTTCAACCGAATACTTTCGTTATGCGAGGCACCACCGCATTTAATACAGTAGTATATTCAGCATTTGAAAACCTTGTTAATATATACGCAAATTTGAAAATCCTCTTTTAATTTGAAAGGAAATTTCGAATACTATTAGGAAAACTTACTTCATCCGATAACTGCAAAAATATTCCTTCATAAGTGTTTATCTTCGTCTCTATTGACGCAGAAGCCTAAAAATTATTTCAAAATTTAAAATCATAATGGTAACTACATTGTTATATAAGGTAGAAAACGCTTAATTATCACTTAGAATTAAAATTGTAACCGATACATAATCGTTTAATTATTGTGTTAAAATGTGTCTAATTATACATTTTCTTTGAAGCTTCAGTTTATGAGCAATGATATGAAATTAGGTTGCAAATTTGGTATATTAACGGGACATTTATGATTACAAAGCGCTCTTATATAATATAATTTTAATGACTACAAATCATATATATTAATTTTACCTTTATTATTGCAGGCTTCAGAACAGTAGGTGTGCAGTCTAATAATCTGAAAAAAAAAAAAAAAATGCGTTGAAAGCTAATGACATTCAATCTCAAAAACAATCTCTTAACAGTGAATAAAGAAAAAATAAATTCCTTCGTATCTGTCTACATTCAAACAATAGAAAATTTTGTTAAATTTAAATTTAACTTACTTGAGTTTTATGGCTTTGTTTGAAATAACTCTGATTGTGAAATTGGCTTCTTCTCCAGGATCGAAAGTAGTCGGAGTGATAAGATAGCTCCCTTGTTCAAAATGCACCCTTCCTGAAACCTAAAATGGATATTTTCAAAGGTTATTTTTACACATAATTATATTATTTGATGCAAATTTTAATAAATATTGTTGGAAGTTGTAAATAAGAACAGGTACTAATTATAATTTTTGCTTTCTGGCATTAAACCTTTCCAGATTTTTCCTTCTTTAAACAAAAACTGAAAATTTTAGTTTTTATTGCTAACACATTTAAAGAACTAGACAACTGAGTTTAACGAGACTTGGAAGCGGGTTTAGGAATGTTTTAAGAGAGAAACCAAGAATGAAAAATGACTAAGTTCCGCAGAGATTCTGTTATTCTGTATGAAATGCAACAGGTGTTTGTTACCTGTGGTATTGTTACATAAGTTTAAATTAGGAGAAAAAGCAATTTAAAGTAAGTTTTAATAAATATCCATCGATTTCGGGGGCGATCTGACAAAGATCTCTCTTTTTCAGAAAGGGGGTTTCAAAGGTGGTAGTAGCAAGAATAGGTTTCTAGGAAATTCAGCGAACATAACAAAAAGAAAACAAATATAAGGCAAAAAAAAAAAAAAAAAGTAAGAAATGGCAAAACTGAGAATTCGAAGCGTTGTAAGTAGAATGGTTAATTATCGTTCGTAAGTGCAACGTACTTGCTAGGAAGATCTTCGGGAGCATTCTACATGCGACATGCGACGGAGGACGTGGGCACCATTCCTCTACCATTAGGGTTAATTGGTATAGCGCCACGTCCACCTGTGTCTAGTGAAACGTGCCAAGGTCACTGAGTCCACAAAAACGCCTCGCACCGACCACTGAAACCCAGCGTCTGATGCAGGCCACATTGCATCAGCTATACCCTTGCGGCCACTGGGAAATTATTTTACAAATATTGTAGAAAATGACATGGCTAAACAAGGGTCATCACTGCTGCTGCAGGCTGAATTATCAGACATTAGTATGCACAAGTTGCTGAATTATATACCAGATTACTAAATTATATATTGGAGTACAATATGGTATAGAATCATGTAATGCATAGTAAGATTATGCTAATGCTCAAAATACATATTGAAACAGGAAGTATTATACATATTGAATTATGACACTTACTGTATCTGAACATACTAAGATATGATATACATGATGAGGTTATACAGATACTTCTGAGACTTGAAATACATGGTGAAACATTAAATACTGTACATACTGAACATGAGCATACTATGACTGAGCATATTGAAACATGAAATATATAGTGAGATATTACTGATTACGCTAATTACACGAGATACCTGATGAAACATGAAATACTGTACGTACTGAGACAGAAAACATACTATAACAGAGCATACCGGAACGTGAAATGCATGGTAAGATTATACTGATATAAGATACTGAATTATATACAGGATTGCTGCATTATATACAAGAGAGATATTTGTATAACAAACATAGAAGGCATAGTGAGATTGTACTGAGACTTGAAAAACATGTTGGAACAGGAAATGCTGAACATACTGAAACATATAACATACTATAATTGTACATTCTAATACGTGAAATACATAATGTACTGCTACAAAGTACTGAGTTATATACGGAATACTTAATTATATCCAGGAGAGATATACATATGTCAATATTGAATTGTATAGAAAGGTTATACTGGTGCTTGAGGTACATAGTAAAGCACATTGTATCTGAGCATTCTGAAACACGAGGGTAACATAATGAGGATATACTGAAATAAGATACTGATACTAATACTTATGTTATACTGATATTTGAAAGACAGAGAAACATGGGAAACTGAACATACTGAAACATGAAACATGCTGTTACTGAATAAAATGTGACATGAAGTACCTTGTGAGTTTATACTGATGCAAGATGCTAAATTAGATACCGGATTACTGAGTTATACAAGGAGGATATATGAATTACAAATTTGAAATACATAGTAAGGTAATTGATACATAGAAAGGGTGACATTATGCTGATATAAGATAATAAATTATATACAGGATTACTGAATTAAATATGGGAGAGAAATACGTATTATAATGTTAAATACGTAGCAAGATATGCAGACAGACGCTACAAGAATACATAAACAAAACAGTTCACTTGGTGACAGGATATAGGAGTGTGTAATAATGGCGTATATAAATTACAGACTTGAGATGCATAGTGCGGTGATATTGAAACATAGAGAGGGTGAGATTATACTGATACGAGATAGTGAGTTATATACATGATTACTGAATTAAATACCGGGGGGAAAAATACGCATTGCAAATTTAATACGTATAGTGAAATTGCAGACTGGCGTTACAAAAATACGAAGATAACAGTGCATTGGTGGCAGAATATAGGAGTACATAAAGCATACATTTGGTATTTCATGTGTACATATGATGCTGCTGACTGTGATTACAGATGCTGCCATTACTGCGTTTTATGATGACAAAGTACTTGTATACTACTGCTGCATACATAATAAGTTACAGCCATTCATATGTGCAGTTACAATTATATAATGCTGCCAGTGAGCTCCCTTTAGCTGGTATGGGAATGTTGCATTATGCATTAAGTACTCTTAAATGGTTTACACTTGGCATAGGTCTGTTCCGAAGCCCATAAGCTTGTCAACAATTTTTGTAAGTTGTTTCTACAAGACTCGTATTTGTGTTACGCTTAAGGGAAGCAGCATAAGACACCCGTGCAACAAGTTCATTCGCCTGGATTCAAGGGCGGAATGAACTTACTACTATTCTGTGGGCTTAACCACTCGACCACTGGCTGGACGAATTGGAATTAATGCCATTGATTAGAATATGAAATTCTTCAAGGAAATCCAATATACTAACAACAGATCATTGTGGATATTCGCATTTGACTCTGTCAAAATCTTGACCAAGGCTACTCCTGTTAGTAAACGGGGTTTCCTTGAAGTTTTCACATTCACGGAAGTTTGCCTTGTGATATTAATTCCAATTCGTTTCTTCCCAGCACTTTCAAAATTCTAATAGCTCTTCTTTTTCACATTTAATTACTGTTTTTCTCGACAGCTGGCGTTACGTTCATTTCCTTTTCTTCTGCCCGTTTATTTTCTCATAAATTTGTTCTTTTTCCTCCAGACTCTGCAGTTTTCCTCATAGTTCCCGAAGATGGGGAATGTATATCAATTTTTACTTTGGAATATCGTTGCATTATTCCAAGTAAGAAATGGCAAGACGCTATTGAAGAAGAAGGCAAAAAGCTGGCAAGAAGCTATTAAGAAGTTCCATTAAAACCAAGTAAGCGGATAAAATCGCGATACAAAAACTGATTCTGACCATTTACAGAATTAAAACCAATTATTTTTTTTTGAAAGAAACTATTATGTAAAACATTTAAAAAAACAAAGGCTGTTATCTCAATTTTAAAAATCATTGATGGGCAAAATAAATAACAGTGATAGTAAAAAAACAGAACGAACCTGTCGACTATTACTATATGAAGAACTGTATATAGACTTCGTCTTCTTGAAGAAAGTTTTGTCCATTGTTTCTGCTGTTAGTGACTTGCACATCTGTAATTATAAAAAATCAATTAGAAATTCATACTTGAAAAACATTTTCAGCTCTAGTAAATACTGTTAACAATTAAAATTTTATAAACATTTTTAATAAAGATAGATTTACCAGCTGATGAGAATTCTTAATGAATAACCAAATGGCCAGTTTTAAGATTGAAATATCTGAAGTCTTCCATCAATCCATAGAGACGAAAAACTTTATAAAATGGTATGTTTTCACTCGTTTTTGTTTAATTAGTAATTTATTTTAGAGCAAGAGAGAAAAATAATATGGAAATTTGTTATTGCTTTAAATCGCTATTTTTTGGCATAATAATGAAGAATTATCACTTTTTCAGGCAGAAATATATTTTATGATTATGAGTAAGATAATATTGCTGAAACTTTTCAAAACATTGGGTCTGATAATCCTTTAAGACCCAAGCTCAAGTCTTAAACAAAAGTCATTCTATAGTTCTTCACAATTCCAATTTTGCCTCATTAAAAAAAAAAAAAAAAAAAAAAGGGTCTTTAAGTTCCGTGTTGGGGAAAAATGCTATGTTAGGGACCTAACCTGGCTTAACTAAGACTTAGTACCAAAGCCAAGTAAGCCAGTACAGAGTGATACTGAACAGCAAATATTTTTAGTGAACAGCAGTGTGAAATTTAGTTTCCTAATGCTTTGTCTGAGCTTACTAGTGATTTCGAAAATATGCCGTATGACCTGATGGACCTTGCACTGGAAACTTCCTAAAAATATGAACTGGTAAGATATAACAGCCCTTGTAAAAGTGCAATCCTAACCTACCTCAAATGAACTTTGCCAGTGCAGAGTGTCATTAAATAACAGCGTTTAGGGTTGTGTGCGAAGTTTCATTTTGTTTGGATCTATTGATTTGTTGGATCTATATTAGGGAAGATTATCTTCCGTATCTTTCGCTGAGTAATTCCTGACATTTCGAAATGGCAATCATAGTATGTAAGAAAGAAGTGATACTAGTTGTATAAAAGTTAACATACTGTTGCCATCTACGGGTTCGTGGATTAGAAATAATTGATGACAACACTTGATGAAGAATCAAAACACAATTTATTCGCCAGCATTACACAAGACAGCTCCAAACACACGTTTACAGTCGTCGAAAAACTACGATAAACCCGCTGAAACAATCAGCAACACAGTCTTCAGGATATATAGGCGAAGACAGCTTCACGGAAAAACATTAAATACAGCTCCCGACTCGGTCGATCGCTCTCAAACCAATCTCTGAACTCAAGTCACTACTACTACACTACTGAATTCAAAATACTCGTACAGGCAGGGTATATATATAGCTTTAACCTAACTTCAAGATTATTCTCGGGAAAACCGCTGAGAATGCGTCCATAATGTTCTCGCTCCGTTTATGGCACATCGCCAATTTTGGCGATTTTGCGCCAAATGTGGAAACCTTGCCTTTCCTTGCCACTTCCTGGCAATCTTAACCGCGCTTTACGGGGAAGCTATCCCACCGCATCTAGGCATTTCGCAAGAATACTTTTGTTGAAATGATATTGCTTAGGTAAAATTTCGCGCAACTAGAAGCCTTGCTTTCACCAATGAAAGCAACAGCTTTGCCATTAGAACATCAGATTTTGATGCTCTGCATTTAAGCTGCTGCAAAACGTAACTCAGAAAACAGGTTAACGCTCCTTCGAAAAAGTACTATGAATTCTATGTATATTCCTTGTGAAATGTATATTCCTTGTGAGTGCCTTCATTCTACACCTTTTCGGAAGACAACATCAGCGGTGCAAATTCAAGAAAATAAGCAACTATGCATTTGAGAACAATTATCACTTTCTAGGAAATGGAGACAAATGAGAATTCCAAATGCCTTCTGATGATAGATTGACCATCATATAATTTATGCTTCTTGCTTGCCTTCTGATAAGAGATTGACCATCAAATAATTTATGCTTCTTGCTTGCAATCCGGCAAGCAAGAAGCATAAAAAACCGGTCCTCTGGTATGCTGACATATGTGAAAAGAGTTTATCTTCATGTTTCGTAATTGTTTTCATTTATGGTGAACTCTACTACTATACTTTTTCTTCCAATTTTTATTTTCCCACTGGCTTATCGAATCTTCGCAACCTGTAACATATTCAAATCTCTTTACCCTTCTAATATTTCTTCCTACAGGAAAGGTGATAGAAAGCATATAAATCTACACTTACCCAGATCTTACCAGATTAGATCGAATTATTTAAATTACAGCGAAGCACACGCGGGATTATCTACTCGAGGAGAGAGGAGGATCTTCGTATAGGACGTTTTCAGGAAAATTGACTCGTATTCATGTTACACACAGGAAAATGGAAACTCCCATGCAGCCTGCCCACTCGCTGGAATCTTTCTGCAGATGAATAATACTGCATAAAATCTTGTGCTACGGAAATAGTATATGGTTATCTTCTTTAACGTAACCCACTAAATCTACTGATTTTTACGCCAAGTCAATACTCACGATCACGGCTGGATTAAACATTAAGCAATATAGGCACATGCTTAAAGCATCAGACAAAGAGGGTACAACATAAAAGGCCTTTGGTATTCAGGAAAATTTGGGACCCAAAATAATTTCCTGTTGCCGGTTTCAAAATGGAAGGCAAGATGCAGCACTAAAAGAGAGAAAAAAATGAAGAAAATGCTGGCATAAACATACGGAAAGTCATCGAAATATTTTAAGTGCTTAGGCCTTCTTAATCCGGCCTGCTCATGACGCGAATTTTGAGCTACAAAATTATTCAAATCTAAACAAATACCATCAGAAATCGTTAGGGTTTCAGTTTCAGTAATGTTTTTGATAATAAATTGAAAGCTCTTCTGGTTTATAAACTAATTAAAGGTAAATTAAATTTAAAAACAATTAAATTTCAGAACTGTACACAGTGAATTGATAAATCTTACACGTGTAAACATTATCAGTATGCTACAAATTATTTTGCTATGCAAAGTGATTTTACTTACTGGAAATACAGCGAAACCAATAACTTTTGGCTCTAAAATACTATGTTGACTGAGTGAAATTACAACTTCTTCCGGTTCTGGAAGAACTATTTGAAACTGCGGATTGATGTGAAAGGAATCTGTAACGGAAATGAATTATTTGAAATGATTTTTAAAAAATTTTAGTCATACATAGATCAGTTATAATCTTGATGGTAGTCAAGTGGCAAAAAATCGCGAGGTAATAAATATAAAGCAGGAAATGCTCAAATTATCTTAAGACTTCATTTTTCTTTCGGAAATGCATTTAAGACTTAGTCATTTCAATTTACTTTCCTATATGATCGTTATGGATCCTCCCTTATTTTAAATAGTGCTTGATAGATCTCAAATATGCAGTTTTGTCTAACAAAATGTCTTAATTCAAAAGACTATTTTCTGATTTGAAATTAATAGCTCTAATAACGAACTTTTATTACTACCTTCTATATTTACAGAATTAAACATTAGTAAATTCCATTAGCCTTAAAAAAAGACATCCATAATTGCCTTCTATATTTCCGCTACTTAAGATTAGTAAAGTTCATTATATATCGAAACTAATAAATCATACAATACAACTCACTGCGAAACCGTAAAAGAAAAAAAAATATGAAAGGTTTTAAATTTAAATTATGTCCCCCGGTTTTTTTTTTTTTTTTTTTTTTTTTAAAACAACAAAGATTTTTTTATGTTATCTTTATTTATCAAATATTATGTTCTTCGCACTTGCCATAAAATTCAGCTCAACAACAATATCGCAAAATAATTCTAAAATGAGCATATCTTTAGAGTTGCCGATACAGTCTCGCGCGCTGAAGATAAAAATGTTTTTTCTGTACAACATTGCCATCGCTCGCTTTGAAATCCTTGAATTTGTTAGTAAAAAATTCGTTAAAGTTTTACAAAATATGGAATCGATCATAAAACAAATTCCAAATTTAAAATTTGGGCTTCTAGGTACCCATATTTGCAGAAGGATTACGTCATTCAAAATTCGATGGCTCTGATACCGTTGTTTTACCACAATGGAAGAAACATACATACATTCATGCAGATTCTCCATTGTTTAATTTCTTTATATATAATACCAGACGATAATATTTGGTGGCAACAATTTGAAAAGTGAAACAGTGCTTGTAGTGAATCAACGCAAAATGCCAAAACGAAATTAATAGTCCTGGGCAAACTGCCCTTTGAACTAAAAATAATCAGGAATTTTGAAATGAAAAGAAACTCATATACCAAACATTCTTCTACTCTGTCCGTATGCTTTCCCGTTTTTGTCATTTCTCACACTATTTTGTCTAATCCAGAAGGCTAATACACATTCAGTTACGTGAGGCTGAACTTTAAATAGTGCGGATTCTTAAATTTGGCCGGCTGAGACTGTTTACATTGTCTCTTACCTCAGAGAACTGCTTGTTTATTTGGGTTGACTAGGAATTTCTAGCTGGTTGGTAAGAGAGAAACTGAATTTCTGCTATCAGGTCTAGACTATTTTCAGGGGTCTATTGAGTTTTGCCATTAAGTTGTAGTCATTAGTTCCTTCAGCCCAGCTGTTTATAATTATCTGTATGCTGGTTACTCTTCAGTTCTGTATTCTATCATACGTATGTTAAACTCCAAAATTGGCCCAAAATAAAAGCTTTTTAGTTGCTGATTAAGTTGTTCGCTTGTTGCCGATAATCCGTTTTGACATAAAATGTTGCCTAACTTAGGCCATTAAGTGAAATTAACAAGTATAGTTTTAAATTAGAATCAAAACCTACACGATTTAAGTATTTAGTTATGTTTACTACCTAAATTATTCCTACAGCCTCCTGCACTAACACCACGTTGCCATTGTCCATGCCATACTTTCATTTGCCATGGAATCTTCGAACGGAGTGTTGGCTCGTCTTTGCTGGTTTCCGCATCCAAGTGCACAGCTTCTACACTTGTGAAAGTTTTCACAAAATCGTGGTATGTTATCCTAGTATAAATAAATGAATTAATCAGTATTAATTAGAGACATACATATATTTAACTAATTAAACACATAAGAGCACAGTTTGTATGTTAAAAAAGTATAAACATATCGCCTTAATTCTAAAAACAGACAGGTAGTTATTTCTGTTTCATTTATCTTGTTTAAAAATTGATTTTCAGAGCAGACTGCTTGTTATACATAGGTTATGTGCTTTGTTTTATATAAGTAAGTAAAAATATATCATTTTGCATTATACGAAAGATCGAAAATGAATACTATAGGGTTATCCGAAAGAAAACCACACTAAACGCCAAAGTACGAGTAACTTACCAATATTACAGTAAGCGTCAAGGCACTGAGAGATTTAAGAATCAGTTACTTCAATAGCTGTGGAGTAACTATAAGTTTTGTAGAGGCATTAGATTTTTTTAAGCAGGAGTACATAAAAATGAGCAATGACCTTGCCGAGACTCGAACCTGGACCTCTTGAATAAGCGCCGAGTGTGCTACCGTTATACCCCGAAGGCGTGCAGAAAGGAGAGAAAAAATACCTTATATATTCTCTATTTAATACCTTATATATTCTCTATTTAATACCTTATATATTCTCCATTGAATAACTTATATACCTATCATCCTCCATTGAATTGGCCTGACCTGTTATGTCCATGAGACCAACATGTTTGGTTAGGTGGGTTGTGCTGCGCCCACTCCTCATACCTTATATACCCTCCTTTTAAAGGGTGACTGGGGATTAGGGGACCCAATCATGAAATCATGGTGTTGAATAATCATCATCCACCACCTTTCATTTCGGGCACCCGTGTACAATCATTAGGTTTTTTTGGGGGGGGAAGTAGGGAGACGTGAAAAATGTGCAATGGCCTCGCCGGGTCTCGAATCTGGACCCCTCGAATATTCGCGAGTGTGCTACCGTTACACCACGAAGGCATGGCGAAAGGAGGGAGAAAATGCCTATCATCCTACATTTAAACCATAAGGCCCACTTCGGTTGGCTAGGAGGGCTGAAGGGCTGCGCCCGATAACCGCCACCTTGTAGGTTTTCTCTGCATAAAGCTGCTAATATCCTCACAACAATTGTTTTCTAATTTGTCAACAACAACCTTTGTAAAAAATATGAGCATTTTTATGCTGAAGAGCCGCTGTGTAAATAGGATTTTAATTGTTACTCAAAGGATTATCAAAGAAAATGAAATTTCTACGTATGCAATGGTGTCCCAACATAAAAGTCCCTTACCTGTGTTAGGTTTGCTTTAACAAGCTAGAAACTGATTTCATATGATATCACACTCAGTTTAGGTTCGATATTCCGATGCGGCAACGCACGCAAGGGCAAAGCCTGCTTAAGCAAAGGAATGCTTTTATGAGAGGGCATTTTAAGAAAAATTGGATCGGATTCACATTACACATAGTGGAAACCAACCTTGCTGGTACGGGTTCGTAATCGATTGAATTCATAAGTTCGATAATAGGTTAAAAAAATTTATCAGAACTCTGGAAGTTTTCCTCAGAGATTTTCGTACAAGTGTTCACAATACCACGCTATATAATCAGTAGTTATACTTGAAACTACTAAAAATGTTAGATACAACGCAATACAAAGAGCATCTAAAGAGAAAGATAATCTTAGTTCAACCGGTCGCACAAGATATTTCTATCATTTTCTGCTTCTCGAAATTAATGGGAAACAATACGAGGAGGGAATTACGGTTACAGTTAACATAATGTTCAATTACATTTATTCAATTTCAATACAAATTACCGTGATATGCATTTACGTAATGTTAAGTGCACGTGCTCCTGTATTCTTACTTCTCTAACGTAGCTTTCTCTTAAAATTTGTCTCGAGCTATATTGCACGGAAAATTACAACAATTTTAATTATAATTCTACTAAAATTACCTATATAAAAATAAAATTCATAATATATATGTAAAATATATAAAACACGATGGCTGTGCTCTATGCGAACAAGGAACCTCTAATTAACTTTCCGCAATTTCAGGATCTACACCCTAGACCAGTACTTTCGAGAATATTCGAGCCTATTACGTAACCGCTCCTATAAATAGACAACTCGCGCCATTTTTTGCGTAAGACGAGACCGCTTTCTTCTTCTGCTGTTAAGACCTATGCTGTTGCTCTTCTCATCTGCCTCCCTTTGTTCGAATAATATGAAGTAGTAAACTTAAAGTTAAACTTACCTGGGTAAAGAATAATGATTTGCCATTTGAATTGAATAAAGATGTGGAATCAAAACAGCTAACTTCTTCTGTGTCATAATTTTATGTCAAGCTTCATTCATGTGCCCGACTGCCAAAATATTACATATATATGAATCAACTCGTTTAGAAACACATAGCAGTGTAAGAATTAGCTGCTAATAATTGATAGGTTATCGTGAAAAAAAATTTTTTTAATCTTTGATCGCCAATGGTGAACTTTCTTACGAATTATATCATCTACGGAGAAATATCTGGCGAAATTTGAAAATTTTGTGAAATCTCCGAAACAAATCACCAAATGAAGTATGTATTAATTTCAATTTCTGACATTCAATGGGATAGTGAGCAGTGACTCCAACTACCGTCGATGTGCCAAGCCGTGACGCCGATGAGCTGCTGTCAATCGTAGGCTGCATTCAGGACAGCGGACTAATAGGCCGCCTTTATGAGGTCCTCTGGCCACGGTAAACTGAGACACAATGTCGTCCAGTTGCCATGGGCAACTGCTGAGCAATGCTGCCCGCTGTCTGGTTTCGATCACTTTTCGACTGAAGGGAGATATATCGGTCATCAGACACCGTTGGTTTCATTGGACGAGCACCAGCAACCTTTCCTACAGCTGTACCTGCCATTTGTAAGGCCAAACTCATGAACGAGCATTTTTATCAATTCCAAACTCTTGGACGACACACGTCAAATTACACCCCTCCTTAATAATGCCATCATTCTACCAGGTGTACAGGCGTCCTGATGTTTTATTAAAGTTATACTGCAGGTGTACTTTCACTTGCACTTGCAGAAGAATGGCTGTAATAGCGCCTTTTCTTGTTTTTATGTTGCCTTGCACTGCGTGTGCTTAGTGTGCCTTGAAGTACCCTCTGGCATCATGGTGCTGATATTGCATCACCTTTCTGCTGAATAGGCTTTTCACTGCATTGGTCTCAAAAAGTCCTTTTCAACAGTTTCATGGTTGTAGATTATAAAATGAATTTGTTGTTTGAGTATTGCGCTGTAATACATATATGTATTTAAAGACAAATGAGAGTTCGGGGTTGGAAGAACTTTGTAAAATCGAACTTCTAGAATTCAGTGGTCTTAACCATTTGTCACTGGTTGATGCTTCAGTAATTTTATTATTTATGGGTGTAGATAATTTTATGAACATTGTAGGGTTTATATTTATTTTAACTAACATTTATTTTAAGTTTAAACTATCTTTTCTGTCAAGCCTTACTTTCCCCTGGAATTGCCAATGCCAGAGTATGTAAATTTTAGTAGAACGCGCAAAGTATTCAGATTTTCAGCGGAAGTAATTTGATTTAAATAGAAGGGAAACAAGTTCGAATGTGTGCTTTTCTTGCTTCACGAGCGTGAAGGTGGCTAGGTAGAAATTGAAGAACCGCGCGTTTCGGCCTGTGTGCGTGCCTCGGCAGACAGTTGAATCTTTCAACTTAATATGCAGAAGTTTGCTGAAATATCAGCGGTATCTTAGAACGCGGTTAGGTTAGTTACGTTAGAGAGCCTCGTAGTTAGTAACTTGTTATTATTCATTTTTAGTTTCTTCGCCGGGTCGGCGTAGTTTGTGAGCGTCAAGTGCACGCATCTGTAACTTCTAAAGTAGAATAAAAAGGGAGTTAAACCCTTCTTAAGAGTTTTGTGTACTTTCCAGTTCCTAGCAGTCACTATTATTGTTGCGTGTAGGTTGGGGCCGCGCAACACCACAACCTTATGAAGATTTTTCTTTTTTCGAATGGTGGCCCACGCTCATAAAGGTGCATGTGCCTTTATTTAGTATCAAAATTATGAAAGCGTTCTTTTTTTGCTTTTTAATCAATATTAGCTAGCTATTGCCTGCACTATAGCTTCAAAATAGAAGAAAAAAGTATTCATCTATTGTGTTGGGTTTTGAACTTTCGACTGATACCTCTGCATCTCATTCAGCTCTGCCGTTCAGATCTCGAAAATGTTATCTTTGTATCTTTCCTCTTTTGCTATTTGCTAAATACATGATTGCAACAGAGGGATAAACATTTATTGGCAAATTATTCATCGTTTTTTGTATCTATCCGCAATTCCTGGTCGCGGATAACGCACAAGTACGGAAATTTGTACAATCTTTTTTTAACCTGCTTATTATCACAAAAATGATAAAAGGCAATTGGATTAATTTGCCTCTACTCGCAATGAAAGCATGATTAAATAACATTCAAAATGCACAATAAATTTATGAAATTTTGAAGCATTTTAGTTTAAATCTTATTTGTATTGCGTGCGTAATATTAATTTGAAATGTTATTAGAAAAAAATCTTGTATATATGTTATACGAATACTTCTAGACATAATATACGAATTAACTCACCTATTACTTATAAGACGGCTTTAAATTAATTTTAAATTCCTTAAGCATGGAAAACTGTCATCTCAATGCTGAGAATCATTAAAAAGTTATTTATTTAGCTCATAATTTAAGAACACATAAGATGAGTATATTGATTAATGTTAAACTAAATTATTCTCAAAATCCGTATAATAGTTTCCTTTAATTATAAAAATGAACATGAATTTTGTTTTAATATAAGCTTTTGGATCTCACAGCGCAGATAAACATCACAACCCGAGAATGATTTTGGATTACAGTACCAAAGCCTGCGTTGTTGCATTTTATAGGATTTATGGGTTAATATTAAAGTATCTTTTAAAAAATTGGAGAAAAACGTACGTGCAAAAATCCATTATCAGACGAAGAAACAAGTTAAACACATTTAACTTCCTCTTATCATCGAGAGGAAGAATAAGTTATGAAATTTTGTGAATACGGAAATACTATATTTATGATACTTTGAATTACATGAAATTTTTCATGTAAAATTTATGAAAACAGCATTAAATTTTGCAATTCTAAGACAAAATTACCACCTAATAAATTATTTTTCAGTGAAAATTCTCAAACTTTCGCTACAAGAATGTTTTAACGCTACTAAAGGAATTACTGCCGAAAGCCATCTTTATAATACATTCAGACAATAAACAGTTGTAAATGTGATCTTGCTCTGAGCAGTTGTTGGTACTTTATTAATTAAATTGGGATTAAATAAAATTTTTTCCTTACCAAAATTCCCCTTCGTTGAGATTCCGACAGTTCAACCTCTGTATATCTTCTGAAATGACGTTCTCCCATTCAGATGAGCTGAAATGTAAGGCATTAATGAAGAGTCATAATACTACTAAAAATCTACATTTGGTGTTCGAAAAAGAAAGCTACAGGCTTTATTTCCTGAAACATTGACTGAAGATGTATATTTTCAAGCATGAAGTTTCTCGAAATAAAATAGGAAAATTTTCTGACACTTTATATTGTCCTGTAACATGCGTTAAATAAGATTTGGTACCAATACTTCAAAAACAAGCACTATGACATTCAACAAACAGAGCGCTCTGGAGGGCCTACTGATGTTGATGATGCTCGCCTGTGAGAACTTGTGGAAGAAGATCAGTATGCAATCACTCGAGAGCTTGCTAAGGAGTTAGACGATAGTGCCATGTTCATTAGTTCATCTATGCATCGCATAAACTTAACGTAGAAGTTCAATCACTGGGTGCCGCATGAGCTGACTCAAGCAGATAAGGACAGATGTGTTCGGCCCTGCAATAATCTGCTCGAATATGAACGCGAGGACAAAATTCTGAACCAGATCGTCACATTGGGTTAAAGCTCATGTGGGTTTTATTGGAAATGAAAGGGCCGACGTGCTCGCTAAACCGGCTATTGCTGATGAAAATGCAATCTATTTTGAAACCTCTATTATAATGTTTGGAAAATTCAATGGGAAGAGTCTGAGAGGTGCGCGGGATTTCTCCAAGCTAAAAAAATCAAAGGGGCATGAGTATTGTTAGTGATATTGACCTGAATCAATTTTTAACAGGGCACGGTCGCTTCCCTGCGTACCTCTCAAGATTTGGCTTACAGGCCACAGATTATTGCAATACATGTTGTAACTGGAGATGTTGAGCACTTCTTAAATCACTGTGCCTTATTTAAAGACTTGAAATTACAATATGGTCATAATAACTTGAGAGATTTTGATACTTTAGGGAAATTTTCTAAGTGTGCGATGATGATCATCAATAATAACAGGGAGGCATTTGGTGTTTTCGTCTAACAGATATAACTGTCTTTATATCTTGACCTTTTGATCTTGAAGTATTGATTTTAAATTTTAATTTGTTTTTAGAGAATTGATTATATGTGATTTTACCAATTTGAATTCTATTGTAAATTTGGCCAATAATGTATGATGTTTTATTTGTTTTTGTTTTGGCAATTAATGCATAATATTTATTTATTATGGCTCTACCCTCTAAAGGTCCTTGGTAATAACTGATTAAGATTGATTTGATGTCCCTCTCATGTTGAAAGATGAGGCCTCTGTTATTCTGTAGTTTTGTGTAATTTTTCATATTACTTAATAATTTCCTTAATTTAATTAATATTTTTAATTTAAATTAGTAGGGTTTAAATATGTTTGAAAACTAAATATGTAATGGACTATCTTTTTTAATTTTATTTTATCTTTTAACTGTATCTGCTTTGGGTATGCTGCGTTAACCATTAGGCCGATTATTATCGGCCAGGAGGGTTGCAGCATACTCGTAAACTAACCAACTAACTAACCAGATCTTCACTTGTGATGAAACATGGACTTACTTCAACAAAACAGGCCGAAAAAGGGGTTGCTCTGCGCCCGGTGAGCCCGTCGGCATGTCGCAAAGCACAATTTGACTAACAAAAAGATCATGCTTTTTGTTTGGTTGGATTGCAGTGGTATTATCCACAAAGAGTATCTGCAAAAAGGTAAAAGCCTCGACAGTAAGGTGTACAGCGAGATGCTAGGTCGTGTTGACGCTGCTATCAAGGAAAAACGTTGAACTGAGTTCCAGTGCAAAAAGTTAATGTTCCATCAGGATAATGCAAAACCACATGAGTCTGCATTCACCGGCTGGACTCTGTATGGACTCGAATGGGATCTTTTGCCACACCCACCATATATCCCCGACATCGCTTCCTTGGACTTCTACCTTTTTCTCACACCTGCAGCTATCTCTTGCTGGTGCTATCTTCCATTCTGCGCTGGACGTCCGAAATGAGGCTGATCTGTTTTTGGACTCGCGGCCACCAAGTGTCTGGGGCGAAGGCTTTGGAAAACTACCAAAACGTTGGCAGAAATTAGATTTGGGTGGTGATTACTACCCGCACTAAAAGTACTGCTTTCATGTTTTTTTTTTTTTCCCAAAATTTAATAAGAATTTTTTTTGGCGGAAAACTTTCGTTACAACCAGATATGAAAAATAAAGCAAAATCATACTTTTGCTCGCAAAATTTGCAAAAATATTCTAAAATAAATATACTGATTTTAAATACCCATTATTGACCAAAATTTAGCATTAGCCGCAAAATTTCACACCAAAATTCCATAACCAGGTTTATGGAGTTATAGCAAAAATAAGTTGCTTGCTCCAGCGATTAACGAGTCTGTATATGGTAAAATCAGCATTCGCTGTTAATTTTGTGACTGGTCCTATTTAGTAACATCTTTGAAGCTTTTGTTTGCATTTACCTTTTTAAAACAAAGTGAACACTTACTAACATTTTACATTTACAGAACACTCCTATCTCCAGTGATGGAACATCTTCTATAAAATTTTCTACCTGATTTTGAGAAACTTAGAAATGAGATATCTGTATCTAGTATCATTACAACATTCTAAAGAGTTAATAGAATTTAAAAAGTTTGATTTAAAAAGTTAAAGATTTAAAACGTTAACTTAAAAAAGTTTGCATTTGTAAATTAACCCTAAACTTTACGTATCCAAAAAGAAAAAAAAAAAAAAAAAAAAAAGATTCACAATATAATTTTTCAACAATACGTACTCTTTTGACCAAGACCCAACATATTCTGATAACGTTGGAAGAGGATTCCTTAATTTTACAAGTTGAATCTGGTCACCATTTATGGTTTCAACCTATGATTAAAGAAGTAAAATGCTTATATTATTACGAAATTATGCTATTAATGCAAATAATTGCAAATATTTCTTAAATAAATAAATATGTGTATACTAAATTATTTTTTAAGATTTCATGCATATTGAAATTTACAGCCTGTAAGTAACTCTGTTATTGCAAAAGGTAGCACTCTCAGGACAGGAAACTGGCAACAACATTTTATTTTTTTCAGAGCTCCAATTCCGCGGAATCGAGGGGCTCCACTAGTCAAATCCCAGGCTTCCGATGGTCCAAATAAAAATTCGACATATGATACATGTCAAAGAGAATGACATGCAATGCGTTGCAAAACGAAACCGTTTTCTAATGGAAATTGACATTTAGGCAACAAAAATTATACATAACGGAGCACCTTTTTCAGTTGAAGAAAATTGGAAGAGATTATTTTCCATAAGAGAAAACTGATTGGATAAAAAATTTGCTCGAGTAGTACGATAAATCAGAAGACTTGCCACTGAAGGACAGGGAACAACTTATCAACAGATTCGATGTTAAAAAACTTAAGAAAAGGCAGCTTCCAAATTTTTAGTTGCAGATGCATACAGAAGAGCTAGAAATTTCTCAACAGCTATAAACATTTTAATGCCATTAGAAGCAATGTCTTTAATTTAAAAATCTTTCTCACCGTATATGCAAAAAAAAAAAAAAAAAAAAAAAAAAAAAAATACGGAAACAAATAAATGCAGTATATGAAATAGATCTACGTGCAACATTATAGAATATTAAATTATAGAAGAATTATATAATAATAACATTATAGAAGAATTCGACAGTTTATGTAAAAACGTGAACCACAGCCCAGTCTTTAAATATATTGCAAGTAGATGTGACACCTGAAGCACGAGTTAATGCTATAAATATGTAACTCACATTCATTTTATATTAATTTTTTTAATAAAAAATACAATACTTTTCTTTTTCATTCTCCTTACGTAGTGTACACTGCGCAAAAAAAAAAAAAAAAAAAAAAAAAAAAAAGGAAAAACAGTTCTATATCTCCCGTTTACGGGTGCTGGATTGATATTTAATACTAAAAAGTTCCGGCGGTCCTACAAAATGACCGCTGTCTTAAATATTATAAATTCTAATTAAAATGCTTTGTGTAAAGGTGTCTGCTATTTCAAACTGAATTACCCAGGGCAGGCGGCGAGGACGCCCCTTTGCTTACCCCCACAGGGGTTCTCCTTCTACTTGCTTAATTGCTTAAAGTAGAGTGCAATGAAGGAAACCACTGGCGGTACATTTCTTAAGAGCCACCGCTAGCTCAATAAATAAAGGTCATTTAAACAATAAAATGTTAATCACATGTCAAATATCTCTTTGTACACAAACATTTCTTGTGTAGATCTTTCCATCATTTTTAAGCTCGCCTTGCAGAGGACCAACCATTAGTTTTTAATTTTACGTCCGTTCTTCCACGAACTCTTGAACAGGCAACATAAAGTTAACCGTGCCCAAATGCAGGGTCAGGTAAAAACAAAATGCCAACACGCTTAAGCGTTTGACCTTAAGCGTTTGGCCTGTTAAACTTATCGGATGGTCATAGCAAAGGCAGACAGGAAATTGTCAGGAAATTGGTCTACGTCTCAATTGAAACGGCATCCCTGTGCCGTGGCAACTTCACCGTGGCTAGTACAGTTACGCAAGCAACCAATGAAGCTATCGCCGGTACAAACAGATGTTAAATTTATTTATTTCATTTAGTGTTTTTTTTCACTTTGCCGGTTTTTGCCGGTTTGCTTTTCCGGATTTATTTTTATAGATTTAAATTTATTTATTAAATGTTAATTGCACGTGCTCTTGTATTTTTAATTTTTCCGGCTTAGCTTTCTCATAATATGCGTCACGCGCTGCACTGCACGGGGAATAAAGCAATTTACAGTTACGCAAGCAACCAATAAACTATCGGCGACAAACACTTAAGCCGGTTATATAGAGAGAGACTTGCATTTTTTTTTTCTTTTTTTTTTTTTTTTTTTTTTTTTTTCTTTTGCGTTATTTATTTTCTCAGTATTTAAATTTAGGTTATGATTTTTACAATAATCTTGTTACTGACAAATGTTTTATTTCACTATTAAGTTTTTGCGAACGGTAGCAGTTGTTCATGCTTTATATTTCAGTAGAATAGCGTTCTTAGCCGCACTGTGCTGCAGGCAATCTTTCTATTAAAGAAATTTCTTGTTTTAGAACATCAATAAAGTTTTTATACAAAGCTGATGTCTTTATTTCAAGGCAACTTACTGGGCCGATTGACGAAATTCAAATTGCGTTTTTCATGTCTCGAAAGCACTACTTAGGATGTGTATTAGATTTACATATAGCATTGTTCTAATATACTGTATTTTGACATGCAAAATCGGACTTTTTTCTGAAATGACATGCTCTTTTTTTTTCCATATTTTGATTCTACGACTCAAATTATGCCAAACTGCAAAGTTTTGTAAAAATCGCACGAGTAGTTTCTAAACACGTTAGCTCTCAAACTTTTAGCTCCTCAATGTTAATTCAATTTGGTATCTATTTATTAATATCACCTTTTTTTATTACACTTACTTGATTCCTTCTTTCACAGTTCAAAATTTAAGTTCATGCCAAATAAAATTACAAAAAAATTTTTGAATATACCAACCATATAATTAACCAAAATTAACCTATACAGTTTTTACCATCCTCTTAAAGTAGATGTATTTCTAAGCATATCTGCAAAATTAGAAATTTTTGTTTAAAATTTTCTAAGATATACAAAATTACATATACCGAAGTATATATAGTAGAATTTATATATTGGCGCGTTTTGAAATTTGGCATATTTGTTGAAAGCGATAGTAACATCCACATGTGGTTTTACGCACTTTGTTTAAAATTATTTGAAACTATAGGAACAATGTGACTTTTGTTTTACCCCTCAAGTGCACAATGTAAAAAAAGGGAAAAGGAAAATAGGTTGCTATAAATTAAGAAGTTCGCCAAGTAGAATTATTCTTGGATAAGGAATTTAAAAAAAAAAATTGCGCCAAGATAAAGTTTTGAATTTCTCTTTAAATTTCGCACCAAATTTTGCAAAATTTAATATTTATTTAGGCACAATTTGAGTCATAGAATCGAAAGATGGGAAAAAATTGTCATGTTATTTCAGAAAAGTCCGATTTTGTGTCAAAATACCTATATTAGAACAAAACTATAAGTAAATGTAATCCCAAGTCGTGCTTTCGAGATATAAAAAACGCAATTTGAATTTTGTTAACCGGCCCAGTAGAGCGGGAGATATAGAACTGTCCCCCCTTTTTTTGCGCAGTGTACCTAGAACATACTGATCAACTTTAAATATTATTTTAAAATATATATTTCAAAGAATAGGATGGGATTCCCCGAAAAACTTCACAGTTCTAAGAGTTCCGTGAGTTGACAAAGTTTGAAGACCATTGATACGTACAGACGAATCTTAGAAAATCCCCGTTTTCTTCACCGCATTTAAGATATATGTTTTTAGGGCTAGGGTTGGATTTCCCCAAAAATCTTTTAGTTCTAAGGGCTACGTGAGCTGACAAAGTTTGAAAACCCGATTCACGATTTTTCTGAATTAGTTCCTCAGAAAAAGTGAAGTCCAAAATATCCCGCCTGCTGTTAATCGTGTTAAAGCTGTAGGTTGGTTTTATTACGAACCAAACTGTAACAACATGTTTTGACAATTTGATGATATTCTGCCCTTCTATTAAAACATTTGTTTTCGTTGAGAGTTCACGATGTTCTCTGACAACTCTGTAAGTTGTTAGCGGTGGTTAACTTATGCAGGCTGCTTTGAGTGACAGCATGTTATCTCTGACATCATCCTTTTTAAATCTTCCTCAGACAGATATAAAGCATTCATTTTGTTCCTGATTCGGAATATTGCTCGATAGCTTATAGAACAGTTCAACCATCTGAAATCATTGCCTAATGGTAACGGTGCTGCACAGTGTGTGTTTCGGTTTTCATCAGTAAAGTTTCTTAGCAGGAAACACAGCAGCTTTCGTCATCATTATGAGAAAGTATCGTATTCTCCCCTTGCATTTCTCGTGATATGGTGTAAGTGGTTAGCACATCCAGCTAGCAATGGAGTTCGGATTCCGGTGAGGGCACAAGTTGATTTTCCATGCTCCCTATTCCTAAAATCTTCATAAAACCTACAGCCTACGAATAAAATTTTTCTACCGAAAAGTTTTAGTGGAAACAACTAAAAATTTGCATACTTTTAGAAGAATCTACCAGAAGAAGTAATTGAATAGAGCATCATTTACTGCAATAGCGTACGTTATGGTAAGATGTTTCTCTACGTAATATAGTGCTACGAAATGCCCAGCTGCGGCAAGATAGCTTCCCCCCCAAAGCGGGGCTAGGGTTGCCAGAAAGTAGCAGGGAAAGGCAGGGTTTGCCAGGTTCGGGGAAACAAAAACTTTTGACACTTCAAGTTAATACTTACGATGTCATGATTTAAATTTAATGCAATATTAAGCATTTTCTCAATATCAATAAAAGAATTAAGGTAGCATTAATATATCATGTCATTTATACTAACCTGAAACAAAGAAGTTGCCAACAGCAGCTATATATTTTAAATGCTGACATTAATGAAATTTTCGGCATCACCTTTCGAAATTAAGCAGATTTTTGTCTCCAGTGCTGAAGACTGTTGCCGCTCGGAAAAATGAGTGCGAAAAGTAGCGTTTTGAGAATTTTTAATTAATATGTCCGCTAATTAAAGTCGTACGAAGATGAGAATAGTCGAAGTGGCTTCCCACGAATTTGGGGGAATCCGGGGTTACCTTTCTCGAAGCTCAATTCTGTGTCGTTCCGGAGGAGATAATGCCAGAAACAAACAGACAGACAGACGAACGTGCACAGGTTTTAATATTATAGATCTTTATAATAATACAATTAACACTTTTTATTATTAAAACAGTAATTAATTAAGTTCATTTTATTATACAAGAATTTAATTAATATGTCACACGGCCACTGAATGAGAGTGCTGAACTCTAAATTGTTTTATATAATTATCATATTTTGATATTTAATTTTATAAGCTTCTTCGAAATTTCATTTGCATTAGAGAACTCATATTTAAGATACGAAAAATTTCATTTGTCATGCTCAAATGATTTAATTGTTTCTGAATTCACTAACGTATTACTCAGAAACGATTTGCAATTACCCAGTATGCTACTTAAAAAGTGAGTACTTATTTTTCTAGGGTATGTAAATTCAGTAATTTAGCTTACCTTATCAATACAAAGCACCCTGTAATTTGTCGTTAAAAGAATTCCATTAGCTAACTTGTCTGGTTGGTTCCGTGACTGAAAATAGATTTACATTTTTAATTCAAAAACTTAAAAAATCAAAATGATAAAATTTGTCACAAGCTATAATTTTTTTCATTACCCGAAATAATCAAAATTTTTAGAAAAAAGGCAAATATTATTTAAATACAAAGTCATGCTTATTTAATATTACTAACACTATATAATATCTACTTAATCTATATAATTACGCTTACTACTAATATCGAATTACGTTTTAATTTTTATTATAATTATTTGATATGCCACTTTTCGCTAGTATTTCTTCAAACGTACCCTGAAGATTAATCCTATTTCAAAATTCAAACCGAAGTTTTGTATTAGCCTGAAGTTTAAAAAGAAAATCGTGCCTGATGTTATATAAAGCTGAACTTTGCTGCCTGCCATTGCTAACAAACAAATAATTTTGAAGCCAAACGTCCACGTTTTACTTCCTTGTACTATGTAAAGGTAGTATTGTAATCGAGAAAAATTTCAGGTATCATATTTTCAAAGAAAATGTCCATTCTGACCGCTTTCAAATCCATTTAGAAAATGGTAGTGGTTTAATTTATATTGTAATTATTTTTTTCTCCCCCCCCCCCGCGCGTTACATCTGTACGTATAGATAAAATAAAGGACTCCTTTTTTTTTTTTTTTTTTTTTTTTTTTTCGAAAACGAATTGTAAAATGGATATTAAATTATTTTAAGATTAGGTTAGGTTAATTGATCAAGGTAAAACAAATCGACAGTTATCTACTTATGAGAAGGGATGCTTTCGTGTAGAGCTTTTTAAGGAAAGACTGACTCGTATCAATGATATACACTGGAGAAACAACGAAACCTCCTATGCAGGCGGCCAGTTCTTCTGGACTTCTTACCGCTCGGCCACTAAATACCACATTATTAAAACTCTTTCCTATTTACAGTTTCGTGGGTAATCTCTTTCCTATTTACCGTACGTATCGTGGTTCAAAATACGCATTTCTGCAATTATTTTCCTAATATTAGTTGTTGTTGTTTTTTTTTTCGCAGATGTCAAATAAACTGGCCAATTTCGGATTCTATGTAATTATTTTTTAATTTTTACTATAATTATTTGATTTTTTTTTACTCCAATTTTCGCTAGAATTTCTTTAAAAGTATGCTGCAGAGTAATCTTTTTCCGGAATTCAAACCGAAATTTTGTATTACCCTAAAGTTGAAAAAAAAGTTCTCGATGTTACATAAAGTTGAATTCTGCTGCCTGCCATTGCCAACAAATAATTTTGGGCCAAGCGTCCGCTTTTTATTTCCTTGTACGAAGTAAAGATAGTATTGTAATCACGAAACATTTCGGGTATCATATTCCAAAGAAAATATCCATTTTGACCGCTCTCGAATCCATTTAGAAGTCCCCCCCCCCGTGAAATCTTCACGTACAGATATAATAAAGAAGTTCCTCCCGCCAAAATGGATTGTAAAATGGATATTAAATGGATTCAGAAGGAGTTTTTTGGTGACGCCTGTACGTACGTATGAATTTATCTAGCATAACTCAAAGATGATTATCCATAAAAAGTTGATATTTTGCATATGGGACTGCTATAATATGTAGTTACGCACCTCTCTTTTGTTGCAATCGGCATCGGCTTAATGAGGCTGCCATTTGTTTACATTTGAAACTCTTAGCAGAATACAGAATTAAGTCAGTTGGTGCACCAACTGTGGTGTCTTTCTGCCAGTGTGACCAAAAATTCACTTTTAGTTTTGTGCATCAAAAATGTTGTTTTCCTGCCCTTTTGCCGAATTGCTTGTTTTTGCGTAGAAACTCTAATAATTTTTTTTAATGTTTTTAACTGTATTTGGTGTTCAAGGATTTTCTGATAATTTTTAATGCAGATGCTTTGAGATTTTATACATTTTTACCTTTCTGTGAAATGCCATGTATATATAGAGAGAGACTGATAGATTGATAGAACACAACGTTTATTTGGCTGCACACTACAGCTATTTGTGTTACTAACTTCGTTTCAAATAAATTCTCTCCGAAACTCCGAAATGTTGAGATAAATCCTCAACAGCAAAATTGTTGGTGTGAACACCACGAAAATGTCGCAAATTTTCACTATTTATCTCTCAACCGCCCAGCGTATTTTGCCTTTTCTCCTACAGCAGAATTACTTTTGAATCCTTCGCTCTAAAAACGTGTGTGCCTCGAAATTTACGAACCTACTTAGACATGATACACTAAGTCATGATGCAGACATGATACACGAAGTCATGATGCAGACATGATACACTAAGTCATGACACTCTCAAGGCATGATACACTAACTAAGTCAGCATGCAGTTCCACATTCTCAGACACATAAGTCTACTCCTAAAACTTATATAAGTCCCTATTACAGACACTTATCAAATAATGTACAATCAAATGTATTTAACATTTCCTCTTCTGTATATGCATAATACTTAATTTTTTTATTTTATTTTTTTGATTTATTTATTTTTTTTTTTTTATTTTATTTTATTTTATTTATTTTCCTTCTGAGCCTGTATTTTAATCCTATTATTTGTAACTGTATTTTTGTATCTGTATATTTAATTTGTTATTTTATTTTATTGTGAATGTGCAAAATTACCATAGCAAATTGCAACAACAAATGTCAAAACGGTTTAAAACGAACAACAATCTGTTTAAAACGAATGCAATCTGCCCTTGTATGGCCATGTAAATGCTCTTGTTAACATCCTAAAAAGCTCCCGAGGCGGCCTCTTGAGGCCTCAGGGAGTTGTTCCTTGTTAGTGGAGGGCGCGGGACACATGCCTGTTTACCTCTGTTAGACATCAAGCATCCCCGTCCTCCGTTACCAACCAACCAACCTACTTAGACCTTAGGGTTTTGCATATAATTGCTATCTTTTCTCACCTTTGTTTGTTGCTGGACAATGCTTGTGGTAACAGAGGTTGTTTTGAGCAGCCTTCCCAGTACACGTAAACAAGAAGTAGGATCTTGTCGAATGTTGAATGTTTCAATGATGCCACCCATCAAATCGGCAAGTCCATCTTGAGAACAAGCGTATTTGAGAGCTTCATATGAACCGTGTAGTCTGAAAAAGAATTGAAGATTACATAACTGCAAGTAAGGCAGCAATTATTTGTTTCACTAGGAAGTCAAACATTTTAAAGTTTTAAACTAATGCTGTGTGACACAGTATATAATGCAAGATCTTTTAATAATTAGACTCGAAGATACTACCTATTTTTATCTACAAACAGGAAACAATAAAATGATTCCCTTCTCTGTGCAACAACTAATAGCTATAGCATGACTTGATTTTGTTTTGTTTCTTCGCATATATTTAGCAGCCGTATGGAGCATCTAATATTTTGTCAAAATTACTTTAGGTTTCCAGTGGTGTGTACGTGCCCTTCAGTGGCTGGGTATTTAAAACCGCTGAACACTGGTAGTTTAATCCCAGGCTCAAAATCCAGTAAACAGGCTGATTGCATGGGCGTTTTTGGAATTTGCTGTGCGTGTAATATACACTGTTTGACATTGAAAATGCAACACCAAGAAGTAGTGGTCAGAAATGTATGCAAATTTTAGAGTAGACGCACGTCACTGAGTTATGCGAATGATGTGAAATGCGCAGCTCTCCGACGCACGTGAAGTAAGATATAAGGGAAGGAACGTGCAGAATGGGCAATATTCGTGTCGTTATTTCTGCCAAACGAATTATCGAAGAAAGTTGGTTTTTGTCCTGGAGGATATATGTAATATGAGAAAATGCTAGGCCGCCATCAACAAAGACCCTTCCAGAAGATATACGATTTTACGAAGGGTATGGTGATCGGATTGAGAAGGGCGTGTTGCTCCTTACGTCAAATCGCAGCTGATACCCACATGGATATGAGCACGGTGCATCGACTATGGCGAACATGGTTGGAACAAGGAAATGTGGGCAGAAGGAGGGGTGCAGGTGCAGCTAGAGTTACGTCAGCATGCGTGGATCGACGCATCCGCCGACAAGCTGTGGAAGTCCCGCAAGTCCCTTGTACCGCGATTCTGCAGCATGTACAAGATACCCTAGATGTTCCCATGTCGACCAGAACCATTTCCCGTCGATTGGTTGAACGTGGCTTGCACTCACGGCGTCCGTTAAGAAGACTGTCATTGACCCCACAGCATAGACGCCAATGTTTAGAATGGTGCCGGACTTGAGCGATGTGGATGACAGAATGGCGAAACGTCATGGTCTCAGATGAGTCACGCCTCTGTTTATCCAGTGACAGTCGCCGCATACGTGTGTGGCGTCGACGTGGAGACAGATCTTATCCGGCAGTAACTGTGGAACTCCCCATTGCGCGACAACGTGGCATAATAGTTTGGAACGCTATTGCCTACGATTCCAGGTCACCTCTAGTTCGTATTCAGGGCACTATGACGGCCCAACGATACTTGGATAATGTACTGAGGCCGGTGGCAATCTCATACCTTCAGGGGCTGCTTAATGCAATTTTTCAGCAGGCTAACGCCCGACCACACAGTGCTCGCATCTGCCAATATGCTCTGCAAGGTATACAGATGCTTACCTGGCCACCGTACTCTCCTGACATGTCACCAATCGAACATAAGTGGGATGTAATTGGACGCCGTTTGAAGACTCTGCCCCTGCCTCGTTCAGAAGACAAACTGTGGCAAATGGTTGAAAGGGAATGGAGAGCCATCCCTCAAGACACCATCCGCACTCTTATTGACTCTATGCCTAGACGTGTTTCTTCATGCATCGCTGTCCGCGGTGGTTCTACATCCTACTGAGCCGACGCCGTTCTCGCTCTGTATTCTGACTATGATTTTGAAATAAAGATCGCTTATTGCTGCTTGCTGTCTCTGTCTTTTTTCCAAATTTCATCACTTTCTGACCACTCCTTCTTGGTGTCGCATTTTCAGTGTCGAGCAGTGTAAATAACAACTAGCTGCCCATAGAGTAGTGTTTCAGCTATACAAGGATAGCAACTTGATTGTTAAAGGCAGCAGTTCAAAAATGAGATCGTCTAGAATTTAACAACCAATTGCCTACTATGATTTAACTCCCATTAAAAGGAGAATTGCTGGTGTTTCATTTGAAATCAGTGTTCGTTAAAAGTTTTGTACTTTTTTATACAGCCGCATTTGAAAGTTCGAAGTAAATCAATTACAGTTTGCTTGGAGATTATCGCTTATGCCAGGAATAAATGGCTGTTTAAATAGGGAAGTAATACTGCACACTGTACTGTAGTATTGCTTTTGACATAGCAAACAAAGTGGTTGTCGATTGTTGCCTCCAGGCACGCTAAGTGAAACGATTTGGTTTGGCTTATTTGATCATGGCAAAACACTCGAGGGCTATCTACCTAAGAAAGAGATACAATCGCAGAGGTTGTTAATGTCGAAGAGAAGTGACTCCAAGATCTAATGTTTAAGTATTTTCTAACTTGATCTGGCAACTACGAGTAAAAAAAAAAAGACGAAAAGCTAGCCGCTATTGACTGAGTGTGTCCTGGTTATGCTGATTATGTGATATGTATTTTAAGGTGCGGATGACAAGAGTGTCCATCCGAGTAGAATACTCATTTGTATGTAATTTCTGTTAACAGAAAAAACATTAAAGATGATACAGTCCACAATTTTTGTGAGTGAATTTCATGAATATTTGGTGTGATCAAATCTTATGATCCTATGACTCATATCCACGTTACGCATGGGAAAACCACTAAACTCCCATGCAGCCAGCCCGTTTGCCTTATATCAAGCCCACATCGAACTACCAGTGTTCAGCAACTTTACCACTGGTGGGCCAGTATGAAATGAAACATTTCACAGACAAGCTTGTTGTCTTCAACTGACCTTCGGGCATCTTTTACATTTGGATAAGTATGGCGATCTCAGATGAAAATATATAATTGTTTAAGTCTTAGACACAGAGCTGTTATTAATGAAAGACAGTGATACAGAAAAGCATGTATCGTATATAAGTATTCAATAGCTCGTTTTCAGTAATTTGTTTCATTCATTCAATAAAAATAGCATACTAATAATTAATTTTTGACATATTAAAATCAAATTAAAGTTTTAATACATACTTTATTTTTATTTTCTAATTTAAAGTCCAAATGAGCTTTGTCCCTGAAGGACTATTGTTTTCGTTTTCCGATTTTGCGTCGAATCACTTTGAATGTCCATTTCACTTTTCAAACTGTTGCCACCCAATATTATCGCCCTGTATTATATTTGAAGAAATTAAATACTGAAGAATCTGCATACATGTATGTATGTTTCTCGCATTGTGATAAAACAACGGTACCTAGAGCCATCCAATTTTGAATGATGTAATCCTACTGCGAACATGGGCATCTGGAAGCCCAACTTTGAAATTTGGAATTTGTTTTATCATCGATTTCATGTTTTGTAAAACTTTAACGAATTTTTGATTAAAAATTTCGAGGATTTCAAAGCGAGGAATGGCAACGTTGTATTAAAGGTAACACAAAAACGTTAAAGGGGCGCCTTAGTAGAGAAATATTAAGAATTCATCCCAATGAATGTCCATGATAAAGAGTCACCTTTTCGTCTTTTATACGGTAATGTTTGGCCAACGAATCAAAGAAACGAGGCGTTATGCAAATTCAAATTTAAATTAATTTCAAGTTTTAAAGAAGTATTCTGAGAAAAGTCTCTGTTTCTTCCTCATTCTACAACTATCATTCGCACTCTTGAGGCTAGTTATAGAATTTCCTTATTGTTAAATCTGAAAAACACCATACTATAAGAGGAATTTAATCAAACTATCAACATCAGCATTTCTTAAAATAGTTCGGGAAAGTGATGACAAAGACGTGAAAGCTACACAACCCAATAGGTACTGTTAGCAAAAGAATAGGATGAAATGAGTGAAGATGTTAAAATACAACTTGCTGAAAACAAGTGAATCTCAGATGAATGAATCAATTTTTAAAGACAGAAAACTTGCTTAAAATATGAGACTGATAACTTGCTTAAAATATATCGATAAAGATGATTTGCTGAAGAAATGTTATTCTGTAAATAGTTAGAGAGCTGCACTACCTCAAAGATATGTATATAATATAAACTACAAAAAATTACTTAGATATTTATATTATACCAATGAATGGTCCTAATATTCTTTTAATAGTCGGGCGTTTTTATTTCCTTGTACGAAGTACAAAGAAAGTATTGTAATCGCTAAAAGTTTCAGGCAGCATATTTCAACGAAAATATCCATTTTGACCGCTATCGAATGCAATTCAACGATGTTTTTGCGTGATATCTCTACGTAAGGACAGAATAAAAGACTCGTTTCCTCCAAAAAAAATTATAAAACTGCTTTAAAATTAATTCTGAAGAGAATTTTTCGTGGCGTCTGTATGAACGTACGTACGTATCGCGCATAACTCAAAAACGAGTAGCCTCAGAACGTTTAAATTTTGTATATAGGACTGCTATAACATGTAGATGGTCACCTCGTATTTTGGTTGCAATCGGCAGCACCAAAAGTATATAAATATATTTATATATATATATCCACTCTGTTACCCGGGCTCAGTGATCTCAGTTTCTTTACTCTTCTATGTGTTTGTAAATTGTACATTTTTTGCTTTTAAAAATGATTGAATTATGTTGTTCTTATCTTCCGGTTAATGTTAAGGTTTTTATGCCTTTAGTAAATCTGCCTGTGCAAATATTTTTTTAGAATTATCAACAATTTAAAAGTTGTTTAAGTGCGGTTAAGCCTAAAATTTTAAATGCCAACATGGCGGCCATTGTTTGTTTTGACATTTGAAACAGGCAGGAATAGTGGATTTGTTTGCCAATCTAGAGAAACTTATCTTCGCAACAACAAAAATAACGCCTTCATTTATTATTGCGAATTAAATCATGCTTAATCCTTTCTGTAATTTTTCGAGGAAATAAATGTTTAAGATTTACTTCGTAATTTTTAATATAGATATTTTGAGTTTTTATGTATTTTTGCCTTCTCGCGAAGTGAAAACTGAATTAATTGAATGAGAAATACTCAATCGTCTGTCAAAAACTGTTTCTTTTTTG